CGTGCACAGCTGTTATGTTTGACCTTGATTCCGGTTTAATCGCCCTTCCTTACCGCAGACATACCCCCCCCAACCCCCTCGACGAGAACTGTTCTTACAGAGCATGGATAGCAATTTACCTGACCTATGACACGATTGCTTGACGCATTAGACTAAGAGTATTGCATTATTTCACTCAGGGACTGAGTAGAGCAAGCGAGTTGAAAAATCGTGAAAATAGCAACCCGCGAAGGAGGGGGAGAAAAACAAATTCTTCTAAGAATCGTGAATTTTCCATAAGAATTGGGACGCTTGAAAAAAATTTAAAATCCAACGTCTTGCGCTATAGAGGGAGTGCTATTGCCAGTAATCATGGACATTTTGAGGCCGTGAATAATTGTCAGCGGTGTATCAAATTACCCTTCAGAAGAACACTGGCAGCGGTCGCGGCTCGATCCCGAAAGCAGCGTGCCTGTATAGATGTGCTGCACAACGTAAGCAGTGCAGACATATAAGATATGAATAATTAGAAAAAAATGTCTAAAGTTAAGTCCATGGGGTTTTATGAGGCTGAAGGAGTCGCGGCGGCCGAGTCGTTGCCTGCGTCGCAGACGCTCGAAACCTTCTGTATACGGGCACCCGTAATTTTCCCGCCACTTCTTTGTAAAATGAGCGAAAGCGTTCCCTGGACACCACTGCGAATCTGATTTTGTATGGGTTGATTTTCATTTCCCCTGTCTATCCCTGCCGAGGGGATTTTGAACGTGCAGCGTGGCTACTAAGCCGAGAGCAGCGCCATCGATAGTTCACCACGAAGAAGAGCGGATCCACGGAAGCGCTAAGCTTCAATTTTTAGCTACATTTCTTGTCCTCTCGAGGCCATGGCTCACTGTTTGGAACTGAATTGTCGTTTTCAATGAAGATGTATAGATGTGCTGCACAACGTAAGCAGTGCAGATATATAAGATATGAATAATTAGAAAAAAATGTCTAAAGTTAAGTCCATGGGGGTTTATGAGGCTGAAGGAGTCGCGGCGGCCGAGTCGTTGCCTGCGTCGCAGACGCTCGAAACCTTCTGTATACGGGAAAAGGACCAAGTGCTTATACTTATAAGGACCAAGTGTAACCCACGGCAAACACGAAAGGCGGCAGAAAAACTTCAGGAGAGAAGATAGGCTGAAAAAGCTAGACGTTACCGAGGGATAAGCTAGCAAAAGTGCTGGGAAAGGTGTTAGCAGAAAGATGGGATTTTTTGAGATCAGACCACTGATAAGAAAGTAGCCTGCGAACAAGTTCTCCGGGGCGCTCTGGCGGCGGGGTGAAAAAGAAAGGAGAGTGCCCTGGAGAGCATACTCGCAGGTTAATAAGAAGGGGTTTACGTAGATGCGCTCTACACGACCAGATTAGATTTTTACTGCAGTTATTAATGTTTAATTATAAATCCTGCCTATACCATTATTGGAACAAAACAGAGTCAAATATTAATTTTTTTGAACCTTTTTTCTGTGGCGCTCGTCATTTGCAGGATTGGACATTTGTCGTCTTCGGAGTCGTCGATAAATATAACTGCAGCCGCATGCGACGTTTGTTAGTTGTTTGTAGCTGAATTGATATTCGTCTGAAAGCCATTTGACATAGCAGTGTGAATATTTTATTCAGTCAAAAGCATTTCACGTCTAAACCTCACTCAATTTATCAGTGGCGCATTTTTCCTAGCCTGTGTACAGCCTGAGGGGATGGGGTGGCTGCACACAGGCCAATTTTATTTTACCCTGAGATCTTATGGAGAGGAGACAAAGAGGTCAGCATGTCTGTCTTCTATCAATTTCGATAGCCATTTCAAGACGCCTAAATTTTAAAATTTTCCAAGGATAATATGCGTCCGGACCCCTATGCATGCTCACTTTTACGCGTTCAGATAATCATTGACCCCAAAATACACACAACTGGTCGAGGTCTCCAAAACGCAGCTTGTTTTCGTGCCTAGATGATAACCACTCCCTTATCCTTTGACCCGCCCCAAACTCACATGGTTCTACTCATAATGCTCCAGCCTGAATCCCAGAACGTAAGGTGTTGTATCCCGTGCCAAAAAAAATTACTTCACCTTCCTGACAGGTTCATTGGTCAGAAAAAGTGTTACTTCTTGTGTTTTTTGGCTGCCCTTGATTTTATGGTTTTATGTTTGTGTTTAAAAGAGAATAAAAATCCAGTTTTACTAAATAAAGGCTGGGTTGTCAAGAAGGTCAACGGCCCATTATCATTTCCTCGTCAGATCATAAATGCTGTTAAGTCTTGAAGTGACAGAAATGTTTTTCAAGTTCTTAATTAAGATAGGTCAAGGCTAATCTATCCAGTCCCATCTCAAATAAAATTGGTGACTAAGCAGCACCTCTTCGATCAGGGGAAACTTGCATTACTGTTTTTGATTGAAGAGATTAAATTATTCTCCCTCCTTTAAAACTGGTTACACTCTCGCAATAGATAAACACCCTCGAATTCCTATCAGGCAAGTGAATGACATGCTTCGAGACAGACAGACAGACAGCCATAAATTCAGATTCAATGCTTGGGAAAATTCCAACCTTTCTTCAGTGTGAGAGAGCAGAAGAAGAGGATAAAGTGGGTTTTTGGATTATCAAGAGTTACAGACAAAAACACTTGAAATAAAATATATTGTTTTAAACACGTTTCTAAAAATGTACTTTTAATCTGATACTTTTGTTCCTACAGAATTTCCTTTAGAGATCAGATTACGTGGACCACTGGCTGTGGAAGCTTACAACAAGGCCCTCATTGACGGGAAGGCATATGTCAAGAGGCTTCCAATCATGTTAATTGGACAAGACAACTCTGGAAAGACCAGCCTTAAAAGGTCACTAACGGGAAAACCCTTCAATCCTGATGAAGACAGCACAGTGGGGATAGATGTTGATCCCTCACATATCAAGGTTTCAACTGAGATTTGGAAAGCAAGAAAAAACGGGGATGGTACGCAACTGGCAGGAGGTGTAGAGGCCATCTCTTTTGAGCAACACGCAGCTCGTTTGGTTGCGGACGATTTAAAGCGAGAAAAGAGTGTTTTAGCAGTAAAAAAGATGAATATCGCAATTTCTGGGTCTTCAGAAGTGTGCATCTCAAATAACTCAAGTCAATTGTTTTCACCATCTGATGAAGTATTAGGAGATCCACAAGTCATTCCTGAAGTCCCCTCAGATCCTTATCCGAGGAGGGAAGAACAACCTCCTGTCGAGTCGCCCAGGATACCAAATGATGTAGCAAAGTTGATTAAAAAGTTAATAAATGAGTCCGAGAACGTGCAAGATGATGACGACATATATGCTATTTTGTGGGATTTTGGCGGACAAAGTGTCTATTATGCAACACATCCACTTTTCATCACTGCACGAGCAATATACCTGTTGGTTTATGACCTCAGCAGGGATCCATATAAAACAGCTAAACCTCTTGTGAAGCAAGGAGTGTATAAGAAAAATTTAGACAGTCATGGGACGAAAACCAATATGGACTATCTTGACTTTTGGATGACATCCGTGGCCTCCCTGGGCAGTGAAACTGAAGACCAACACGTAAGGTTGGGCCATATACAAGTGAAGGTTCCTCCTGTGTTCCTAGTCTGCACTCATGCTGATGAACCTCACAAAGGGACAGATCCGTCTGCGCTCGCTCGTGAGGTATTTGGCAGTCTACAAACCAAACGTTTCAAGAACCAGTTATATGAAGATGTGTTTGTGGTAGATAACACAAAGTCTACAGGACCTGGATCCGAGTGTTCAGAAGTTACACGGTTGCGGGAAAAAGTTCTTGCTATTGCTAAGGAGCTACCTCAAATGAAAGAAGCCATCCCGATCAAATGGTTGAAATATGAGAGGGCTCTTCAAGGCACTGCACGAAAGGGGTATAAATGGATTTCGCTCTCAATGGCAAAACAAATTGCGTCTGAAGTGTGCAATATTGACAATGATCAACAATTTCTCATATTGCTGAACTTTTTACATGACCAAAGAATTTTGGTTCACTTTGATGACACCCCCATGTTAAATAGTTTGGTTGTCCTGGACCCTCAGTGGCTAGTTGATGTCTTTAAAATGGTGATAACTGTTAAGCCGTATGACCAAGAGGAAAGTGAATTTAAAGAATTGTGGCTTTATCTCGAGTCTAAAGGTATTCTAGACGAAAAACTTTTGGAGCATGTGTGGGGTCCTTTATTAAGCCATCAAGAAACCTCCGCCAGCCTTCTTGCAATCTTGGAGAAGTTCAGTCTACTTTGTCCTTGGCCTTCGTCAGATCCTTCAAGTGGCAAACAGTACCTTGTCCCATCCATGTTGATGTCGCATCCACCAAAGGATATCATCAAGTTGGTCGCTTCTGCTCAAATTCCTTCTCTGTTCTTCAGGTTTCAATCTGGGCTTGTTCCTCCTGGCTTTTTCCCCCGACTCGTGCTGCAGTTCTTTCAGTGGGGTCAAGACGAGTTTTGGAGCGCAGGGAATCCTCAGTTGTGCTGATTTTGCGCGATTCTATATATCTGAAGATGACGACTGCTCTGTAATCCTTCTATGCCATTCATCGTGTGTTGAAGTTGTGGTTCACAGAGGAAATCTCTGTGCCAGCCCGACAGAATATTTACAATCCAAGCTGAATCTTTCTGCAGACACCAACTATGGTGCATTTGAAGTGGCCTGTGCTCGTGCTGTGCGCAGACAGCTGGCGCTGATGCTTGAGTGCATGCGAAAAGAATTCTGTTGGCTGAAGAAAATGAAGTATGAAGTAAGCGTGATCTGCCCCGTCTGTTGCCAAGGACGTAAAGTTAACTACTGCAGCACTCATCTAAAGCAATATTGTGAACAAGAGGAATGTCTGCATTTTTGGTCTGAGCCTGATTTACGCAGTGCCAAACAGTTCATCAGGTGTCGTAGGTATGCAGCTGCTCAAAGTGACAAAGTGAACGTAAAAATGTTTGCGCCGTGGATTGAACCCTCAGATGAACAGGTGAATACACTTCTAACACTTCGTCGTTTTTTTTGTTTAAACTTCTTTTTTTAAAACTTACCAGTTCCAATGATTTATAAAGCGGCACCTTGACATTGTCTAAAAATCACAAACAAAATAACTTCAGACTTCGAGTTGGACGTTCCAGTTTTCCGAAGCGACCCTTAAGGTCTCTGTTAGCCTTTTTGTTTAGTGCCTTTCAAAAGGCTTTCCCCAAGGTAACTTTGGTTCACAGGATAGTTTGAATTAGCCTCGAGTATCTCCTCCGCCTTTGTTTATTACAGATTCTAACTGATGAGAGTGAAGAAAAACTTCCAGCGTCTGGGGGAGGTAGGACTGTCACAGTAGGGTAACCGGATAATGTAAATAGTTGTGTTAAGGTAGTACGTGTAAGAAGAATTTCTTCAGTCATTCGGGAATTAAATCTTTTTAGCCTTACTTGTACGGTAATCAGCCACTTTTCATTCTCGCATGAGAGTTGTATATATAGGGATCATTGATCATGTATAATTACAACCTTGGCACTGTTCGAAATAACTAGAATTCAACTAGACGAGCTCATCGGTCTTTTTATCGCCTTACAAGGCGCGTTATTCTTTCACAAATATTAATACTTAAAGTCGAATATGACGATAGGTATTGCTCAGTTAGTACAAGTGATGTAAATGTTAGCTTCTTCCACAGGAATTGATGAAAGAGTGCTTTCTCTTCCAAGCAAGGCGCTACAAACAATTATGTCTCAACTATGTGACTCCAGAGAAATTGTACTTCAACTGAAAGACTCTTTGAAACTGGATCAGGCTTCCTTAGAACAACCAGACCCTGGGACCAAACGACTGATCCGTTGCCTGGCAAATAAAGCAAAACAGTCTGACAGGCTTGATGTGGTCAAACATCTTAGAGAAATTGTACCAGCTGGAACTACAGGTATGTTTTAATGGCGGCGTTATATATACATGCAATTTCTTGTTGCAGTATTTTTTAACTTGTTACATCGCCTTCCTCTCTGTCTCATACTTTTCCTCCATAAGCTGCCCCATCTAACCCACAGTGGCCCATTTTGACTGTATTCATAATTTTAGGTCCTTTGTTACCTGAGCACCTTGATATTGGCAATATTCCCGTTCGCCAGATGACTGATCTCGCAGTTGAATTAAGCGGTAAGTGTCACTATGTCTCACAATAGACGCGCATAGTTAAACCTTCCTGACTTATACCCGCTTAATAAAAGGGCTGGTTCAGTGTTATTGGCAGTTAAGATTTGACACAGAAATCTCTTTTCTGACCATAGATTTTTCATAACTTCAATGAATGTACTATTGCAAATTTCAAACGAAATCATGCCTACACTTTCTTATTCATTTTCAAAGTTGCTGAGAGCACATACATATAAAAGTGTTCTTCTGACAGACTTCATATACCCCCCACATGCATCCCGTGGGCATTAGATTTGACAGGAAGAGGTCTTTTGTGGACAAGATAAAAATGACCTCGGAATGATTTAATCGAGTCAAACACAAATATGATTAGGCAATTGTGGATCCTGTTTTGGTATCAACGGGTATCACATGAAAGCAAAGATCGCATGATCAAGCTTGAGGCCTCAATTTACGTTGTAGGAGGAGAGGAATGGAAGTTGGTGGCAGAAGAACTGGGATTGTCTCCAAGAGAGATTCGGTACATTGACAAGCGAGTTATGAATCCATGCGAAGCCGTTCTGGCGTATATTTCTAGGCAGTGTTCAATAAGTGTGGGTGAGCTGTACGACAGGTTAAACAAATGTGGGCTGCCTGTGACAGCTGACCTTCTTTAATGATGTCATGTCACAGCTTTAGAAGTAGAGTTAGTGAAGGCGAAAGTATCATGATGTCCATTTTTAACTTTGACCATTGTTCCGGTGTTGATTTGGACTATTCAGTAGTTAAGTCGAAAGATAATAAAATTACATCTTCATATTCCTAGAAATAAAGCTCACTTGTACCATTACAGTCGACTCTCAGGATCAATGTAGGTTTCTGAGAAAATTCCCACCTGCCCATCCCCTAAGCCAACATTTTGCCTTAAGTGAGAAGTAAGTTTTAATGTTAGCTTAGGGGAGGGGTAGGTGGGCAGTTTCCCATAAATCTAAATTGACCCGAATCTCCCACAAGTGACCATTTAAAATGAAAAGATTTAGAGGTGGAGGCTAATGAGAATTGATCCACAGGGAGTCTCTTCGTAGAAGAGGTTTGAACACATCTAAGTTTTGGAAGAGAATTCATTGCATGCCATTTTAAGTTACTTTGTGTGTAGTTTCATGTTTTGACCAAACTCCGAGTAGTGTAGTAAACATGTGTCAAGCGGTCGCTCACAGGAGGGTAAAAACAAAATTCAAAAACCATCATCCAAAATTAAAAGTGTTTTTGCGGCGCTAACAAGAAGTGGTGGTTTTTAAAGAAGTTCTAACTGTAGTGATTTGACTGGAAAATTTTGGTGTTTTGGATACTAGTGGTCGCTTATGGGAGGTGGTCAGTTACGAGATGGTCGCACATGGAGGTTTACCTTTATATTAACTTTTTTATATGATTTTTTTTTGTTGAGAAGAACCACTGCTCGCTAAATATATAGTGCAGACGTGTATTTAGATGTTATGTTATGTCTGTTTGAGACCTCTTCACAACAACTTAGTATGAGATGGTGTGATTAGCTCACTAATGTCCAGATTTGCACTCAGCTGCAAAAATTTGCGATCATTCGTGTGTTTTGCGAAAAATCGCAAAATTCGCAAGTTTGGTGATTTTTCGAAAGCGAGTTGCAAAAGGGACATTGGGCATATTTCATTTAGTGGAACACAGTATCAGAAGCAAACAAACAGGGTAAACAAACTAGAGTTAGTACTTCATACAACAGGTTTATATGAATTGCACAAAACGTTAGACTAAGTGCAAGGGAATGAAGTACTACTTTGATAAACGACTGTATTCATGTTTTGTCCAATTGCAAAGGAAGGGAGTGGTTTGGGATCTCATTTCTTGGGAGGCTTAATAGACCCTTCCACGGCTTTCTCAGCTTTTGATAAAAAGCAGTAAACGAATATCCATCAACGATGCTGGAAAAGAACCTTGAATTAAGGTCACTTAGCGATTTCAAAGGCAAGAACGTGCCCCTCACCATACAAACGTCTGTAAAATTCCGCGAACTATGATTAGTAAGACTACCTAATACATTTATTTTAAGATTTACTGTAGCTCTGCCATTGATTTTCCCATGTGTAATTATGATAATGTTTTGTTCTAATTATCTAACTGAGGGAGCCCATTCCTTACAAGCCCGGTGGCTTCTCTTGGGCTTCCTCGCCATGAGAGTTTAAATAATTAGATTTTTTTTCCTTTGTATAACTTATGGCAAACAAAACAATAAACAATAAACCTTTTCAATTTTCTTTGGGCAACAAAAGAACTAAGAGACGTCTGGACGCTAGCCTCCCACGCAGACGTTCTCAGAGGTTCGTCACGCGTTCGGGGCAAGAACGCTTGAGAACCGCTAAGAACGTCTGCGTGAGAAGCTATCTGGACGCAGGCTAAACTACCGAACGAATGCGCTCTACTAAAAAAGGCTCTACAGGCTGCAGGCTGTTTTCGAGTTGGCTGGTAAATAAGGGCTGGGATTTAACTATAACCAGCATGTGGCTCTGGCGAACCAGTGGCTAACCTTGATGGAAATCATTGTTCCTGGCTGACTAAAAATGCTTAGCTTTTGTTCTGGCAAAAGAATATTCCATTACCCTAACCTATCTCTTGAATATTCTGAATATGGTTAATCATCGCGGTTTCTGGCCTCTATCAAACTTCCAAGAAACTCTCGTCACGTGCGTACGTACGTAAAATTTACGTTCTCAAATAAAAGAGAGTGAATATATAAAAGATAGCGCGTAAAAGTAAAAGTCGAACCTCGCTCAACTTCACGATTAAGGGCAATACTTCATACCTTGTCTTTATTTTATTTACTCGAGTAAAACTTAAATCCATGTTCACGCACGTAAAAATTACGCGACAGTGGAAATCCACCCTAAAGGACAAGATCCCCCATATTGGGCGTGTACTGTATTTTCGACGTACACGCCACTCATAACTTCAGTTTGGCTTTGTCACAGGCAACCCGATAAAAAGTCCAAAAAAAGGGTTATTTATAAGGGTATTTCACTTTCCTGAGGCCTCTCTTTTATTTGCTGCAGAGCAGACTTCACTTGTTCGCATTCTTTAGGCGAGCGAAGGCAAACGTAAAGCAAGCGAGGAGCGCCGGACACGAGACACGTCCAACGTGGGAGGCGCCTACTCCTGTCGAACGTATCTGGAGCTTCTCGCTCGCTTCGCGCTTGTCTTTCCTCGCCTGAAAAACGCGAATCGCGTTTGTTTAGCTTTGTCCTCTCTTAATTATGTGTCGGGGTCTGGAAGCGGGATCTGATCCCGTATTCCCGGTATTTTTTTTTTCACGAAAATCCCGCATGCATCCCGCTATTTTTATCATCGCTTTCCCGTATTCCTCTTTTCTTTCCAAAAAAAACAACAATCGAAAAAAAGAAAAAAAACGCACAGCTGTTTGATTCGCATCAGTTCCGCTGCACAAACGTATGATTTCCTGAATTCCCAACGTACAGGCAAACAAATCCCGCCAATATAGACTCAATAGGTCAATAGACTCGTACGGCTGGGCTGGAATTATTGTGGAGTTGGGTTTGGTTCCGAACGTTCCAAAACGGTTCCAGAAGTTAAAACCTTTTTGTCTTCCAGGAGCACTAGTCTGTCATAACGTAGACAAGGTAAGCAGGAGGCTGCATACACTCTATTTTGTTCTGGTTGTCGTCTCAAACCGTCTTTGCCATTCCTTGCTTCCAAAGAGTGTTAGTTTGCAATCGTTTTGGAATTTAGTGAGGCCAATAGAAGAAACAAAGATAGGTAAAATGTTGCTTTCATTTCATTAATTCTTTTGTAAAATATATTCCTGGACATCGCTCTCGCAGACCTCGAAATTACGAGTCTTATTTAAGACCTACACATTTGCTCAGAGGTACCCAACGACTGTTTAAAATATTTATTCGGAGCAGCAAATATGGTCGGGAAGTTTCTATTACTTGAAAACGGCTTAAAATTTCTAGATGACTGTTCCATTCATGTGATACTATTTTCGAAGCTTGTCTAATTTATTCTCTATGATTTTCGGAGGATTTATTTTTCACATTCACTCCCCAGGTTAGGCTATTTTTCGTAGGACAAGGAAACCTAAAATTTTCGGATTAAAAAATACGATGGAGAAAGGAATCAAAAAAATTCAAAACGATAATTTGCATCTACAATTTTCGAAAAAGAAAACAAAAAAACAATACTGAAGCTCATGTAATTCGAAAAGACTCAAGTTCCTCCTACGTCCCTGAGGATCGTGACCGAACAGAAACAAATGTTATAGCGCCGCTTACAATGCATTTCTAGAGATCTAAAAGCGTTCTGGATAGTCTTAAACGTGTTTTCAGTGTATTTAGGAGGAGACTGCCATTGAGTGCCCCTGTTTGATGAAAACAGTTTCCGCGTTGTCAAAAAATTATGTGTGATACAACCAGTTCCATTTAGCTTTAATTCTTCACTACCTTGAAAGTATATTTCTTCACATGTTCATATTTTAGAATTCTGTACTCTGTTCTACACTTAAAGAATTCATCGACATGAATTCGCGTGAAATTACAATGATCTACACTCAATCGACGCACTCGATCAGCTCCACGACTGCGAACGACTACACAGGTCCAAGACTAGTGCAACCTTCAGTTCTGAGATCACGTGACGAGTTTCCCCGCTTGTTGTCCCTATAGTTTTTGGCTACTGGTGTGCCGACTTTCCTGTCTTTTTTTTCGCTGCTTGATGTTTAACTATATTGAGTTCTAGTTCGGTGCGAATATGGCTGGACAGGCAACAAGAACAGGCAACAAAGTCGAACGCACGCAACAGTCAAAAAACAAGTCCCAAGCGTAAACTCTGAAAGAAACCAAAATTCAAAGAAACTGCTAAAATATTCTTTTGACTAAATTTCTCCTATTAACAGTAATCGCACGTGTTCGCTATGAGCACATGTATTAAAGTACACCTTGTACTGTCGCAATTTGTAATAATCATCGCACTTTGTAATACCTGTCGCGATTTGAAATAAATCCATCGCACTTTGTAATACCTGTCGAAATTTGTAATAAACCGTGTCGCACTTTGTAATAAAAAAGCTGTTGCAATTTGTAACAACTGTCCATCGCACTTTGTAATAGACTAAGCTGTCGCAATATGTAATAATTCCATCGCACTTTGTAATAACTTTTTGAGAGTAATTAAACTTACTTCGTCAACATTAATATAACGCCAAAATATGCATAGTACTTCATAAACAAAGATGGAGATGACGTCTGCTAGCACGTAACATCTCCGCTCATTCAAACATTTAACTTTATTCACAGTCCTAAAAATTTTTTTAGATTAATGTTGATTAGTTATCTGACTTACGAAATGCTGTATTCTTGAACCTTGCTATTGTACTAGGTGGCTTGCATTCAATGGTTACCCGGCGGATGTACTTCGTTATATGGCCAATACGGGGATGTGCCTCTGGACAGAGCATTGCCAGAGTAGAGGATCTAGACAGAGCTAGACACACTAGACACAAACAAGCCATTATTAAAAAGCATTTAATTTCCGCTAATCGTAACATCCATCCTATATCGTTCAAATAAGGACACCAGGAGAGTTCAAGCTTTCCTTGTTAGATCTTATAACAGGTTGACACAACACGTGGTACACCGTTCTTGTCTAACGAGCAATCTTAAAGAAGTAATAGTGGCTTCAATATTTTGGCCAACTTAATCAAACGTAGCCTGCGCGCACACGAAATTAAACTCTGGTTAACTCCGTACTAATCAGAGTTTAGTTATCGTCTGCACGCAGACTAAATCAAGGCCTGGAAAGATTCAAAATGTATACTGGAAATAAAAAAAAACGTCACCAGTGGCAAACCTTCGAACCACAACAGAAACCTAAACACAAAATCCAATTAGTCGCTAGCCAATACCTTCGTATGTAACTGTTTTTATAACACTCACTTGGGGTCTTACACTGAGCCGGCTGGGCATTTGGTTCATTATTCTCACTTGATTTGGTCCCATATAGGAACAAAAGGAGTACTCATTCCATCTTAAAACAATTGTTTTCTGTAAGGAGTCCTTCATGGGGATGATAAAAAATTATCCTTCCCTGCGTATATACAACTCGTAAGACCTTGTAATTCTTCTGAGCGTGTTCTGGATTACTGTTTTTCTACAAAATGGAAAGGATGGAGTAAACCAGGGGGGGCTGGCAACGGCCTTTGATCTTGCCGCTTTTCGGCTTTCCATGATCGCCCCAGTTAAGAAATCTGTCAATCATCCGAGAACTGTAGCGAGCATGTGCGTAACGGGTTGGGAATAACAGCAGCAAGTTCGTCTTCGCAGCGATTTCAATGTGTGAAGTGAATTCGCTTTTGGTCCACCTGTTGGTCAACGCTTTCTTTGCTATAACTAATTTTTTTCGCGGGAATGTGGAGCTTACGTTTTCCTCTCTGGTCTTGCGTTTGTCATAGTGAACCCAGTGTTCCTCGATGTCCGACCTTTTGACTATGTGTTTCTGTTTAGAAGACCAAGACTAAAAGAAGTGCGTATGTAGTAGAGTTTATATTAATTTTCAAGTAGTTTCAAGTGAAAGGCCCAAAATTAATTCTTCGCGATATTAAAACAAGTGCGGTGGCTGTGGTTGAGTAGAAGAGTTGTCAGAGTTGTTTACGGTTTTACTGCACCTTTAAGACGAGAGGAAATGATCATTGAGATTCTTAATTTTACATCCTTCATTGTGAACTTATCCTGGCAGAGTTGCGTTGGATGATTGAGTGGCATGGTCAAATCTCGTACTTCATGTATTTCTTTATGTACTAGAAGCTAAATAAATTTTGCCAAGAGATCATTCTCTCTTGATTTTGCACATGTTGATATATTTAAGTTAATTTCGTTCTTCTTATGATTTAGTTTAAACTTTAGCGTAGTTTCTAACAAATGAATCTTACGCAAATGAAAGGGTATAAATTATTTTTTGTTTGGAATTCTCTTTTCATGACAGCAGTTATTACACTGCCTTCAGTTTGAGTCCTCATTCAAGTGTGTTTTGTTGCAAACAAGGAGGGAAAAATTATAAATTCCAAAAACTACACTTAACCCCTTGGAACGAGATTATGGTTTAAAAAAGATGAAATTAGCTAGGTTCAGAAAATAAATGTTCAAGTTTGCATGTTTTTTGACAAGGACCACATCTGGCTAAATATGCTTCAAAGGGAATTTTTAAAGTCAGGAAAATGGTGACATTTCTATTTTTGCCTTTCCTTTGGCCACTGTGATCAGTTTTTGTCATACAGTTGCATGTAATTTTTTCGCTGTGGCTATATGGCCGGTAACCGGTCAAGGTTTTCAAAACACTAAATGACCGGCAGTCCGGTATTTTCAAGAAATTTGACTTATCGGCTAAGAATCCCAACCTATCCAAACTATCATATGTCGATTAAGAAAAGTCAAGCGATCCTGAAATGCATTATAGATCTCAAGTCTAGCATTTGGTTTACGCTGGGCTCAGAAAACGAAACCATGTTTTGTGACACTTGGAACTTTTTTCAGGTCGACTGCCGGTCAAGGGGTTTAAAACACTAAATGACCGGCAGTCCTATATTCTCGATAAATTTGATAAATCGAAAAAATCCATCTAATCTAAACTAGCATATGTCGATTAAGAAAAGTCAAGCGATTCTGGAACACTTTATAGACCTCAAGTTTAGCGTTTGGTTTACGCTGTGCTCAGAAAACGAAACCATGTTTTGTGACACTTAGAACTTTTTTCAGGTCGACCTGCCGGTCAAGATTGTCAAAACACTATAAATGACTGGCAGTCTACCCTGCTAGAGTCCTGCTAGCAGAGTCGCTTCGATCTTTCGTAGATAAGTCGTTAAAGGGGATAGAGGAAAGAGGAAAGAGGAAAGAGGAAAGAGGAAAGCGGAAAGAGGAAAGAGGAAAGAGGAAAGAGGAAAGAGGAAAGAGGAAGCTGCAAAAAGTTCTAAGTGTCACGAAACATGCATGGTTTCGTTTTCTGAGCACAGCGTAAACCAAACGCTAAACTTGAGATCTATAAAGTGTTTCAGGATCGCTTGACTTTTCTTAATCGACATATGATAGTTTAGTTTAGATGGATTTTTTCGATTTGTCAAATTTATTGAGAATATAGGACTGCCGGTCATTTAGTGTTTTGAAAACCTTGACCGGTTACCGGCCATATAGCCACAGCGTAATTTTTTACATCTTTGGACATCAACCTGCCAGGTTAGTTTGTGTCTGTATATAAATGTAGTTAATGAAGTCAAATCCTCTCAACTTAAAAATTGCCTTGTACTTGAATATAAAAAACACCATGGTATGCCTTGGAAAAAAAATGCAAAATCATATTATTAAGATAATATATTTATTTGTAGTTAACAATAACAGTTAGAAACTTGTGTTGAGGCCGCCAAAACCTTTCTCAGAGACCATAAACATTCACTGACTTTGCTGTTACAACAAGTGGTAAAAGGGTATTAAAATGTGAGATTACCTCCCTGGGCTTTCACTCAAAGAGAGTATGGGTAGTAGGACACATTGTTTATTTCCCTACCCTTTTTTTGCCAAGAGACCTTATTTTATAATTCTGATTCATTTCATTTAGCATACAGAATTAAGTTAGCTTTTCAACTTAGAAACATGGAAAAAACTTGGGGAAAAAATGGTGATACAAAAAATGTAACTATAGATTGCTCTTCATCAACCTTCACAGCCCAAACAGACACCCTGTTCAAAACTCTAAAGGGTGAAATGGTCACCACCCTAAATCAGCAGCACATACCCATCTAGGCCAAATAAGCCAAAGGTAGTATCGGAGAAAGAACTGTTGAGGGGATTGGGCTTAAGGGACACTACCTTCTTTTGATGGTTGATAAAAAATCAATTTTACCTTGTTTGTTTTTGTTGTAAATCAAATTCATAACTTTCACAAACAATATTGAAGTTGTACAATTTTCAAGCTCCTTCTGATTCTCTTTATAAACTTTGCAAAACATTCAATTCTTTTTTCTGTTTCTTGTAGCTCAGTCCTTTGAGGGATTTTCTCAATTCATACCCCTCTCTCACTCTTATTAGCAACTGGATAAGCCCGTTGTCCCCACACTAAACCATTATAATCATTTCAAGTAAAATTCAGAAGTACAGGGTAATTTTTGTACAAACAATTTCAAGGAAATACTTGAAACCGAAGTTACTATCTAATATAAAACTACTAAATACAGTATTGCTGTTGGAAATTTATTGATTATCACTCCAGTGATATTCCAGTGAAGGTTTTGAAGGTTCAGTAAACCCTCCCAGCTTTCTGATATTAAAAATAGCTTGTACTGACAGACCCAGTATATGTGAAGCAAAGTGACTGGAAAATAAATAAATATTTGTTGTAGCTCCCGGTTTACAAACAAACTTACGAACCGTGAAGTAGAAAATTGGTTTAATGATCATTCCCATATGACTGTTGCAAGACTCGTACTAATATAGTGAGCTTGTAGCATGTGTTTAGGATAAGGAAGAGAGTTCTTAATACCCCTGTAGGTGGAAAAAGACTAGGCTGGTTGCTCGAAAATCAGAAAACCTTTTCTTGATGTTTGGACGCGGGAAAACTCAAACCGAGCAAAACCTCGTAGTCCTTCCATGTCTGTATTCTCCGCCATATTTGCTTTGAAGGAAACCGGTACTCAGTCTCACTCGGCCAGATTTCTTAACTGGGGCGCTCATGTAAACTCGGTTCCAGACCTCGCTGCCAGCCCCCCCTGGAATAAACCATCCATTACTACTTGATTTACCCTATCTAAGGATCAAACCAAAGACACAAGGCCAACAACGTAAAAAATGATACCCTATTAAAGGCTCGAGATCCTCAAAAACCATACCCTATCAGGCGGTACTTACCTATCTAGCCCATCCATATATGGGATTATCCCCCCCCGCCGATGACTTCACCTGTCACGTGGCAAGCAAACATGGATTGGACGACGAATGCCAGGTTATTCATGAATTTTCTGTTGTTAAATGTTGCCTTTCTTATTTAAATATTTTTGAATTTAAACGTGATTCATATCTTTTTGGTGATATGTCACAGGAAGTTTCATTTCTTTCATAAAAGCGTTTCTAGTTTTTCACGTGATTAATCAAGGCAGAAAAATTTATAGCGGAGGACATGCATGTTTGACCAAAGAAAATGTTACGGACATGTTACATGCTAGCTGACGCCATCATCTTTGTTTATGAAGTACCATGCATATTTTGGAATTATATTAATGTTGACGAAGTAAGTTGAATCACTCTCAAAAAATTATTACAAAGTGCGATGGAATTATTACAAATTGCGACAGGTATTACAAAAAAGTGCGATGATTATTACAAATTGCGACAGTACACACCTTCATTTGTATAACTCCCAGGAAAACTAGTGACCACTAGTATTAGTATCTAGGAATAACGTTCGGAAGCAAAAAGGAAAGGAAGATGATGTGAAACTTACGAAGGATACGGGGAAGCTAAAACGACAATAAATGCAAATGAATACTGAGAAAATTCCAAAAAGTCCAAAACTAATATAATTTCTGACACTTTATTCCAAACCGATCATATTTCTGGGTCCAGTGTTTAATTTGCATCCAGTCTGCTACACAGCCGTTCTTAGTATCGTCAAGCAACGTTCCTCCCCAACCGGCTGTGTATAACAGAAAACCTATGAATCTGTTCCTCAAAATATCTGTTCTTCTGGCGGGGGCAGATTTTTGCTGGCTTGGAGACTTGGAAAAAATATTATGTCCTTGGAACAAATAAATTTTCCCAGCAATCTCCCAAAATGCGTAAAATGGCGTCATAAAAACTTTGTTCATGCTTTGTTGTTATTTTTAGGTCTTTTCCTAAACTTTTCCCGTTGGGTTCTCCTGAATTTGATAACGGAAAGTGTCTTTAACAATGAGATAACAAATCATCTCAGTATAAACTGATGTAAGATATTGTTAAAGATATTGTTAAAGATATCATGTTAAAAATATCCACAATAAGCGCAAAGTTTATCTTGTCAGAATGTTTCCCAGCCAAAAGCATTAAAAGACTGGTGTAAAAATTTTAATCTTCTGACCAGGTCGTTCAAGTCAGTATGAGATGAGAGGACTGAGAGTAAGACGTGAATACCTGCAAAGAGGCTCAATTTTTAAGTATTTGGACTGCCTTCTCCGAAAGATTTTGGTTAGATTTTCAATATGCTTCCTGTCGGCTTTGCGAATCTTGCAAAAATGTTTTTCCTTTCTGACGATAGTCCTTTCAGTATCCTAGAAGATAGCGCGAGTTTGCACAGATACATACGAAATCGGCCGAACTACCGCCGACGTGTTTTCGGATCACGATGAATCTGCTGTAGTTGAAGCGTTTGTAGGCGCTTGAAGCTTTCTGTTTTTTTTTTTCTGCGGTGCCTTCGTGCGTTGTTGGTGAATGCTGGACAGGAAACAGATTCCGCGAGATACTGTAAGTACAAATTTAGTATTAATTTGGTAATCTGAATATCGAACCAATCCCCGGCGTGAATTATCCTGCAAATGGCATGCAGTTTATTTCATTTTATTTTTTTTAACAGGCATGTATGAGTTTCAGTCAACTCCTACAATTCGGATTTTTTCTTTTTTCTTTTGCTCTTAACAAGACCACAGAAAACTTCATAAATATACAAACCAACGCTGAAAGAGTCAGATCTAAAATTAAGCTTATTATTTTATTTTTGGCACTTTTATTAATTAAGCTAATATCGTTTTTACTCACGTTGGGGTTTTTAGCCACGTGTTCGGCCCACTTGAAGGACATCAAAGTTCGACCCTTACCGAAAATTTCGTATTTTTTGGCCTTCGAAATAAGTTTTTTGAGAAATAAACCTCACAGATCTTTAGAACATACATTGAAAAGTGACATACGTAAAAATCACCACGATATGTGGCATATTTCAGCATTAACAAACCGATGAAACGACTCTCGGCCTGCTTTTGCTCGCAGCCAGTAAGCCTGACCGCCATTGTTCACAAAACCTGAGTGGACCTTGGTGGAAAAAATCACTCATTGGCTAGAAAACAATGAGAATCAAACGAAACAGCGGAGATAAAGACCAGGGGAGACCTGGACGGTAGTTTCTCTGTCCGAACGTGTGATGTCGGTTACGTAAATTAGCAGCAGTTTTCGAAACGTTTTTCGATTATTATTCGGTTTAGACTATATATTCTATAGGTTATGAAGATTATTTTGAGTGGAAAAATAGTAAGATTCAACGTGCTTTCATGTTCCGGAGAGCGAATTACAATATTTGAGTACAACGCTCACTGAAGATGTCAAGAAGTTCACCAGAGACGCCGAGGGACTATCAACCTCAACAGGCCTATCCAAAGCGGATAAAACGGAAGGTAAGCAAGCACCTCTTTGCTTTAATCTGAAATATTTATTGTATGCGATATTTTTTTATCGTGCATCGACATTCAATGTATCAGTTTGTGAAACAAAGGATCGATTATTTTAATGCGTGCAAATATTTCAATTTTCATCACTTGAATTTTCAGGGAATGCTCACTCATTTACTGCCTATGAACTGTTTAGCTTTGATTCTTTTAGTTTTTTCAATCTATTTTCGTGGCTGTAGGTTCACTGGAGAAACATGTTCATGTACGGCATAGATCTCTTGCTGTTTCTGGGATTTGAGACATACATTGCATTGTATTCTAAGACCAAATAGTTAGTTGCTAATTGAGCTTATGTAAGCTTTACTTTGTTGCTGCTGTTTTGTGTGATTATCATCTACCAAAGTCAAATTGCCGGCTATTAAATGTACACTTTGAGCTATGTATTAGGCCCTGAATTCCAAAATTTGAAAAAAGTATTTAATTTTTGTCTTGTCAGAGTTGTTGAACAAAGGCATCTTTATGGGACCTCTATGTGAGAAAAATAGTTTGGATGTGGCAAAGGAAAAGCAAAAAGCCCTTGTTACTCCACTCCAGCTCCAGAACGTTTTCCTCCACGCTGTAGCACCAACCAAGGAACATTTTCAGCAAGGAAAGTATGTGTCTGGAAAGTGCATCATATTTTCTGTTGAGCAGCTATCTAAACACTTGACAGAAGTTTTGGAACTTAACCAGTGAGGAAACTGAGCCTGAAAATGAAGGTGGACTCACCTTCTGGAGTTAAGATGAACATGCCAAAAGCTTGTCGGAAGGAAAAGCTAAGCTGGTGAAGAAGCTGAGAGATGCACGTTAAAAAGTTATGATAGCCATGAGCAAAGCATTGTGTCCCCAGTTTCAAGAAAATCCAATTCTTCTTGTGGAAAAATGAGTCATGTACAATTGCACTAAACATGACTGTGAGCAAGCTGAATGGTTCAATGCATCTGTCTTACGCCTTGCTGAGGTATTCCCCCCGGGGGGGGGGGGTATTTTTTGGGTGGTTATGTGCTGCCCGGGACCCCAAATTGGCACCCTGTTCTAAAAAAAAATTTCCCTAACATTGATACCCCCTTCTAGAAATGGGCCAATTTTTTATACCCAGTTCTAGAATTCGCCCTAAAACTGAAACCCCGTTCTAGAAATGGGCCAATTTTTTATACTCCGTTCTAGAAAGTTTGAAAATGGAAATAGCCCTGTTTTTTTAAAAAGATATTTCTTTATTTGTTTGACTTATACTTCAAATAAATGCCTCTTCATAATCAGCAACAATTTTAAGCAGAAGATAAAGCCGTGATCCACAATTTTTTACACCCTGTTCTAGAAAACGCCTCTGAAATGGATACCCCGTTCTAAATCAGGAGCTTCAAAATCACGACCCCGTTGGGCGGCACATACCTGTATAGGTAATGTATGGGAGTACCCCCCGGGGGTATTCCAGATGCGGTCGATGCAATCGATGCATAGTACATCATCAAATATGACATTGATGAAGATTGATATGGATTAAAGACTTAAACAAAGGGGGATTTGATTGTTCCTTGATTGTTTCCATTAACAAATTAAGGTTGCACCGGACTTTTTAGAATGACAACAATCATTTGCTAAATTTCTTGTAATAACAAGAGATGGCAATGATACCTACCCTCTTTGTTTGCTTTTTAAAGTGATCATCATGATTGAACATGTGAGTGTTGTCATGATAGTTGGGCCAGAGTTCAGTGCAGTCTTAACTATTGCATTTGTAAATTATAAGCCCCAGCATCAATACAAAACGTTTTCATTATACTGTGAGTATGAGGTGAGGGAAGTTGTTTGAATATCTGCATGATTTAAGCTCATGAGAATAAAAATTGTGCCTCGTAAGGGAATTTGAACAGCCATGGATTGCATAAAAAACCAGTTTTTGTATCAAAAATAGATTTTAACTTGATCTTTCATTTATTATTCAATGTACTGTAATGATTTGATTTAGTGCCTGGGGCATTAACATACTTTAGGTACCTCAAGGGAGGGCGTTTATTCAAGATAGGGCGCTCATTCCGGACGGGGTGCTTATTTCTTTTTGGAGAAATAACCGAATGTTCAAAATAAAACTTTAATATATATTTAAAAAGGAACAAAAGCAGAAACTGTAAAAGTAACAAATATGTGGTGAATGTTCAGTTAACGTGAGGGAAATTTAATCTATTTTTATGCCGATAGCTTTGACTGTGTCACTAACCTCATTACCAAAAATAAAAGCTTTCTGGTGGGGTATCTTTGATGTCCAATTCGTTGATGGTGTAGATAGGGGGTCGTTAGGCAACACACGACTTTTATCTCATGCCAAAGTGCTGCTTGCTCCAATATATTTTTAGAATGGTGCTTATTTAAATGGGTGTGCCTATTGGAATGGGGGCACTTAATGGAATAGGGGGGCTTATGAACAAAACACATTTGAAGGGGGGCAGTTATTCAAAAGGGAGCGCTTATTGGAAGGAGGGCGCTAAATCGAATCATTACGGTACATATCATGTTAAATGTTACAGTCCCAGTTGTTATAGGCACGTTCAGAATCTGGTTGTTACCATAGAAACAAGCACCTTTGACTGTTTTTTACTGCAAGTGTTATCTACCTTCAATAACAATTATGATAGAACTGCTTATTTATCTTGATATGCTGGCATAACTAATGTATACAGTGTGCTACATAACATTTCAAGTAATTTAGGTGGCTGCCATAGAAACAAGACCTTTTTAACTTCAATGTTTCTTTGTTGATCCAAGAAAGACGCACAAATGCAAATTTCTTTGTTTAAAGGTGAATTTTTTAAATAGCCTGCGTGGCAGGCGTTAGAAAGGGAAGGGGCTGAGGGAATTAGGGTGCGAGACCACGCGCGAGGGAGGAGGGAGGAGGGGAACGCCTGCAAGGAAGCCATTGTTTTCGCCATCCCGCCTACTTATTAAAAAAAATAACAAAAATAAAGCAACTGTGAATGACTAGCTGTCAAAAAGGGTCTGGCCGCGATGCACGCATTCTAGTCGTATTTCTCGCACTGTTTTTCTTTTGTTTTTCCTAAAGAAATCTAAAGTAAAGGTAAAATAAAAAAGTTCAAATGCGGTCGTCCTTCGAATACCCTGGGTACCAGAGGTTTTTCCCGCGTGCGGCGGGAATTTTCCGTGTTGGCCGAAGGCCGAAGCCACGAGCGGCGAAAGACTTGACAGAAACCGGAAACCGCGTTAGAAAAGTCTCTGGCACCCAGGGTATCCTTCGAAGGAATCTTCTTTGAAAGTTGCAACGACGCGTGCCGAGTTACATAAAATCCAACATAAATCTATTCAAGTTGTTGCTGAAGGAATCGGGTTGGAAAACTATTTAATAAGAAATGGAGCGGCTCTTCGCAACTTTCAATGCAATGTTTGTCTAAGAAAAATTAAAACACTTTGCCGTCACGCACTCTTTGAATTTCTGTCATGACGAACTGGATCCAGCGTAGCACACTAAAGAACGCTGGCGGCGGGGAAAGAAGAGCTGAACCTCGAAGATCTGCAAGAAGGCCACAATTTATTATTAAAATAAGCTCCTGGCGGTTTTATTTATTTATTTATTTTTTATTTATTCCATATTCACTGCAAAAGGAAAACTTAGCTAAATTACATAAGAGAACAATTAACTACATACTAGAAAAAAAAAATTATTGCAGTGGGGAAGGATTAGAAGGGAACATACGAAACCATTCGAGCTATATGATTTATAACCGGCAAGAAGAAGTCCTCGACCAAAAATCGCCAAAAATAATCTCCTGACAGGGCCTTTTCCTTCATACGGTCCGGGCATACGGTTCTTTAACTGCTTTTTTTCTATTCTCTTTTGAAGCTGAAATTGATGCCTTCTAATATAACGATGAATTCCCGAAGAGAGATCTCAACACGCTTCACTCACGACATATGTTTAGTTGTGAATGGTAACACTCAAGTTACTGAGTGACATGTGACCAATTAGAACACGCTATTTAGATCTTATCAAATTTGACCAATTAGGATTTTAATATTCTCCTCAGTGCATTCGCCTGGTAGACGTTAAAAACGAGAAAAACAATGGTTTCCTGGCAGGCGTCTCCCTTCCTCCTTCCTCGCGCGCCCCTCGCGTTTCTCTCGCTCCTAAAACTTCCTTTCCCAAAACTCCCTTTCCCTTCCCGTTCAAACGCCTGCCATGCAGGCTATTTTTTTAAATTTGACCGAAATTTTGCTAATTTTTGTCATTTATTTACATGATGATGTCACGAGGATCGCCATGGCAACTTGATTGACACATCAAATGTTAGGCTTGTCAAAGTTCTCTATCATGGCCAAGTTTCAAGAAAGTCGTACAGAGGGGTCCCAGGCACGGTTCACGTACCACGAAAATGACTTTTCCGGCAAGTGCCAACGAGGCGAATTCGTTTATGTTTTGTGGAATGTGCCTATTCAGATCTTCGCAATATATATATTTTTTTCATAATTTTAGAGGTTTAAAATGGATTGCGCTATAGAAAAGGATGGGACCCAACTTCAAAACAAAAACTTTGACACATTCTAGGCTTTCACTTTTATTAAACAATAACAACATGGCTTGAAGATTTGTTGGTAAGTATGAGGAAGTTATATTAGCACTTTTGTTTCATGGAAAACTCCATTGTATGAAAAATATAAATGTTAAAAAGAAAAATTTAGTTCAAATCAGGCCTTTGACAGCTGAAATTAAAAGTAATAATTAAATTCCGAGCAACAGCGTCATTAGGGATAAGAAAAATATTTCGCGTGGTAATATACATAAGAAAAAATTGGTGTACAGCAAAATGTGTGAAAAGCGCGACAATGGGGCGGAATGTATCGCAGGCCGCCCAGACGTAGTATGTGTTAAATGAATATATTAATTTTCACATGGACGAAATAGGATGAGTCGTCGAAACTCCCATGAACTAAAATAGTCCAAAAGTCAAAATATAACAAAACAAAGCTAAGATACGTTCAACTGAACGTATCCATGTCTTTCCTGGCCGGTTAAAGTGGCATTTTGTTGAGTTTTGCAATTGTAGGTACTACTTTTGTGGATAGTACAGTCGAATCATTCGTATTCTATCAAAGATTCCTTCTTTTATTTGAAAATGTATATTTCTTAATTATTATTATTTTTTTAAACAAGTGGGGGGGGGGGGGCTAGCCTCCAGCCCCTCCCCCCTGCGAGGGCCCTGATAATTAAGACTGATTGACATGTTTCGCCTTTCTCAAAGCTCAAGAAACCTCAAGTAACCGCAAGTCCGCTAAGTCGGTCATAAGGATGGTTTTCAAGTCGCTTGAAACTTTCTTGAATCGTTTCAACTTTCCGACTTTAATGAGATGCAAAGTAAAGTTACTTGAGATTTTACTTCGGCCTTCACACACGAATTTTTGGTGAAGAAAAACTTAGCAGCTCCTAAGTCTTACTTAACAGCCTAGTGCAAAGGCAAGCATTGCGCGGCGTTATAATTCTGCCGCCGAGGCAACCACGCTTCTTAGCTCGGTTGCCTAGCTCGTTGGCAAAAATTTCAGTTTCACGAATCACGATAATCAGCGTGTGAAGCACTTCCTTGATCTTGTTCTTAAGCAAAGGAAAAATTGGCAAAGAAGTCAGAGGCACCCAACGTCAGTTTTCGGATCACTAGACTTTCAGCTAGGAAATCCTAACAGATGAAAAATTTTCAGGGGATAAAAATATGCTTATATCTACCGTTTAAATACTATAATACGTTTAACAATGCTATGTTTCAGTGGTTTTGGACTATATTGTCGTTGGGTGCCCCTGAGAGGTGACTGACACACTCAGCAAATGGGCGACAAGGAAAAGAAAGACTACAAATTGCAAATTAGACTTTTATCACTTTTGAGGGACAGATAACTCTAACCATCCATCCGCTAAGTGTGGCGAATTCTTGAAGAAACATTAAATTGTCATTGTTACTGTTTCCCGTAGGATCTCTGAATCTGTCGGACTTTTCGTCGACCTCTTCACCCTCTGCAGTTCATCTATTTCTTGCCCCTCAACGATATCTTCGTGTGACAATTAGAAGTCATAGCTCTCGTCGAAGTAAGGACCAGACTGCATTGGGGCTGAACGGAACCTTTCCTTTCGGATCGTCAGACGCTCGGTACGTTCCCCGATTTAAACATTGTAGTCTCTTGCCTCACATTCTGACTAACAGCTTTTCCATCAGTTCCACCCTGTAGTTTCATTGCTTGCCGCCCAATCCATAAGTTCTTTTTTGGCCTATATGTTATTCTTAAGCTGCCTAATTGCCTTGAGATGTTCCAGTCTTGGAAAAACGCCTCACAATCTTCTTTCGACAGAATTTGAGCTCAATACTTCGGCCAGGGCCTCGTTTCGCGCCCTTTGCCTCTTAATCCAACGAATTCTTCGAGTTTTTTTTTTTCTGAACTCTACTAGCGAAGAGTATTCGCTTGTTAGCGGAAAAAGAATTCTTTCCTTTCCAAGGAAAGTCGTTGAACCCACGGAAGTTGGGTCCACGTGAAATATTTAATTGCCATTTTATTCTTTTGCGGCTTTATACATGAGTAGGCGATTTTATAGATGAGATTATAGGTCCCTCATGTTCCCATCAGCTAGGCATAGCCCTTATAACCCTGGCCTATGATCAAATGATGTTTAGCAGCTGTGCTGATGACGAAAAGACGTGTTCTTTCTTTTACGTCTCCTTAGGTGATAATCTCAACATAGTATTATTATATAATTGTTAAAAATTCAGACCATTTTTTTTAGATTTTTCTTTCTTTTCCACTTTACTCCTCGCCTCGTTTAGCGAGTGGGGTGAATTATTTCCTCTTTTCTTCTCGGTCTACTTATATTCGTTGTAATCTGTTTGTCGTGTAATAAATTGCTGTTGTTGCCGTTTGCTTTGAAGGGGATTCTTCTGTCTTAATTTCACTCGTTGTTAACCATTGCTTGCCCTCACCTGACGAAATGTCACGCATTCGATTGAAAATATGTCACACATTTGCTCTGCCATGTTTACAATGACCATGATCTTCAATTTGCGCGCTGAATTCCTTCGCGGACTTTACGACAGGGGCACCCAACGAGGATATAGTTCAAAACCACTTAACATAGCATTGTTAGACGTATTTTAGTATTTAAACGGTAGATATAGGCATATTTTTATCCTTTAAAAGCTTTTCATCTGTTCGGATTTCCTAGCTGAAAGTCTAGTGATCCGAAAATTATAGGGGTCAAAACTTAACTTTTCGAAAATTTCAGCCAGGAAAAGGCTCCCGAAAATTCTAGGTGGCCTTTTTTAGGGTAAATATCCGTTTAAAATGGGTAATTATACCATTTTGTAGATGTTCGAAAATCCTAGGAGAGGCAGGCAAGCAAGAAATTTTACAACAAATGTTCCGAAAATTCTAGTTCTCAAATCGTCTTCCGAACAGATATTTTCCCGAAAATTGCCGTTGGGTGCCCCTGTTTACGAGTCTTCAGATGTCTACTAAGTATATACGAAGAATAGCGCGGAAGTCGATATAAGATAGGTGTATGTTATTATTACGACTAGGGTATCTAAAAGATAGTAATGCTGCGGCACATTCTGTTGATACTGGCATTAGTTAGGCAGTGAGACTTAAAGAAGAATAAAAAATGACATTGAATGTCCTATTTACATGTTGGAAAGTACTAGAATAATTACTATCAGTCTATAGAAAGAACTTGTGGGAACGTTGTTTAGAAAATGATAAAGTGGTTATCAACTCTGGTTTTCCCACATTAAATTGTAAGAAATAATAGAAATTCAGATTGTTTATCCAAGACTACAAATTGCAAATTAGACTTTTATCACTTTTGAGTGACAGATAACTCTAACCATTCATCCACTAAGTGTAGCCAATTCTTTAAGAAACATTAAATTGTCATCGTTACTGTTTTCTGTAGGATCTCTGAATCTGTCTCTTTTTTCGTCGTCCTCTTCACCCTTTGCAGTTCATCTATTTCTTGCCCCTCAACGATATCTTCGTGTGACAATTAGACGTCATAGCTCTCGCCGAAGTAAGGACCAGACTGCATTGGGGCTGAACGAAACCTTTCCTTTCGGATGGTCAGACGCTCGGTACGTTCCCCGATTTAAACATTTTGTAGTCTCTTGCCTCACACTCGTAGTTACTAAAACATGAAACGACCTAAAACCACCTAAAACCATCTACAACTACCTAAAACCACCTACAACCACCTCAAAAAATTCAACAACCACCTACAACCATTTACAACCACCTCAAAAACATCTACAACCACTCGCAAACAATCTAAAACCATCTAAAACAGGGTATAAATGTCTGAAATAGTTTCACACAATTGTATGTAGTCCCGCAGAATCCTTTAGTCTAGTGTGAACGTGTCTCACTTGTAGAGCCTGATTTTATACAGCTATTAACCCGTTTACAGTTGCAAGAGTTAGAAAACATTATATAATGATATTTGATAATTCTTTTCAGCAAAATGAATCAAAACGTTCTTACCAGTAACATCCCTTGGTGGGGAGGGAAGACCCGAATATGTGATCCAAATTTTTCGTTCCGTTTTAGGTCGTAAAGTTCCAGCTACTCTAGCCTGTGCCAGGCTCTCAGATAGTATAGTGGGGACGTATTTACAACAAGCAAAGCGAAAATAAGAAGCGCGCATATCCTATCACCCCCAAGAAGAGGGCCGATTCTCGTATTTCATGTTCGTGACATGTTGTCGTCTCGCCTTATTTCAGACATTTATACCTTGTTTTAGATGGTTTTAGATTGTTTGCGAGTGGTTGTAGATGTTTTTGAGGTGGTTGTAGATGGTTGTTGAATTTTTTGAGGTGGTTGAAGGTAGTTTTAGATGGTTGTAGATGGTTTTAGGTCGTTCCATGTTTTAGTAACTACGGCCTCACACTCTGACTAATAGCTTTTCCATCAGTTCCACCCTGTAGTTTCATTTCTTGCCGCCCAATCCATAAGTTCTTTTTTCCTGTATGTCATTCTGTTAGGCTGCCTAATTGCCTTGAGATGTTCCAGTCTTGGAAAAACGCCTCACAATCTTCTTTCGACAGAATTTGAGCTCAATGCTTCGGCCAGGGATACGTTTCGCGCCCTTTGCCTCTTAATCCAACGAATTCTTCGAGTTTTTTTTTTTCTGAACTCTACTAGCGAAGAGTGCTCCTCTCTTGTTAGAGGAAAAAGAATTCTTTCCTTTCCAAGGAAAGTCGTTGAACCCACGGAAGTTGGGTCCACGTGAAATATTTAATTGCCATTTTATTCTTTTGCGGCTTTATACATGAGTAGGCGATTTTATATATGCATTCGATTGAAAATATGTCACACATTTGCCCTGCCATGTTTACAATGACCATGATCTTCAATTTGCGCGCTGAATTCCTTCGCGGACTTTACGAGTCTTCAGATGTCTACGAAGTATGTACGAAGAATAGCACGGAAGTCCATATAAGATAGGTGTATGTTATTATTACGATAATTGTCTCATTTGCTGATTCATAGTCTTTATTCATCCTTCGGAGGTCTTGAAACTGAAAATGACGAGAAAAATACGTAATGAAATCACGATGATCGTTTATCAATTCGTGTTTTTTACGGGGCACGTGCACGCTTAACCTTTTGGTTACAGAACATGAAGAATAGACAAGACCGTGAGACAAGACATTTATTACCATAATATTGCCTGTACATCATTGGCACGTTAGCCAAAAACGCTAGTCGTGACGGGCCAAATTGGTAATTCTTTTACAAATCAGATAATATTACAGATAGTAAGTAAAAAGCAAAGAGAAAAGAATAGAATGAATATATGTGTAATAAAGTAAAAAACAAGAACGACAAATCTTTTTCATGCAAGTTGTGAGAGAAGCTAAGGTTTAGGATTTCGCGATTATATTTCTCGTGTTATCATGGTTGCATTATTTTTCATTCTACCTGGTATTTCATTCCATAATTTTAGTTAACGTCAAAAATTGCGACGGCTTGGTTTTCAAGATTAAATTTTTTGATGTACATATTCTTTTTCGAGGAGTGATCTTGTGTTATAAGTATGAATAGATGATGTCTTCGAGAACAAATTAACGATTTTTGAGGGTGCAGTATTAGTATAAATACAGTGGAACCCCGATACAACGATCCTCGATATAACGATATCCCCGGTATAACGATAAATATGCTATGTCCCGTCAAAAGTTACAGTAAAATGTATGGGACAGAACCCCGATATAACGATCTTCGATATAACGATATTCCCGATATAACGATAAATATGCTATGTCCTGGCAAAAGTTACTGTAAAATGTATGGGACAGAACCCCGATATAACGATCTTCGATATAACGATATTCCCGATATAACGATGAAGCAATAAGATTTTTGTTAAAAGTGTTTTTGACGCCTGTCCCCAAACTGTCAAGAGGCAAGATTAGAGACCTTAAGCAAGGACGACGAGGACGGCAGTGAAAACGTTGGTAAAAAAATGAATTTGCTTTCTTTCAAACTTAATCGCGTCTATTTGGACCCGCTCAATATGTTAAATACAGGCGACGTTTCCTGGAGTTAAATTCTTAAGAATTTTATTCAGGTTCAAAAAGATCAAGGAAAATTCGGCGTCGTTTGTCCACGTCCTCCATAGATCGTCTAATTAGGAGGTTTCACGTCGTAGTCGTGCAAAGGACGTCAAAGAAATGTACTAAAAAGAGTGATGCACGTGTAGAGCTGTTGTTTTGATAATTAAACCTATAGCCCTTTTTTTGAAGTCGTCGTTGTCGTCGTGGTTGTAGTTGCTTAAGCTCCCTAAGTATTAACGCACGGTATATATAATTATATTTAATTTACTATTCACGAATTACATTGTTACCGCTGCGCCACATGGGAACATACCGTAAAGGTGATGATAATGTTTTATTTAAACCCTTTCCCTTAGAACTTCAGCCACCACACCCTGTTTAAGCTGATAAAGCCCTATTCAAAACTATTTTTGAAGAGAGTGACATGTGCTTTAAGGTAAAAACCCGAACTTAAACGCATTTTATCGCATTTAAAGAACAGATGCCCAACAGAGACGATACGGTATATGCTAATTCATTGGAACAAAAGAAAGTTTTTATATAAGAAAAGAGTTCAACTCCCACAGCATTGGTTTGAAACACTAACAAGACCGCCGTTTTAATGTTTTGGAACATGAATATGGCCGCCGTGACGTCATGTGAAAACGCTTTATAACCTCGTATGCGAGCAAAATATGTGTTTTTTTTACCTCGTTTTCACTCATATCCTAAGGCTAATGATCCAAATCGCTTCCATTTTCTCTTAAAAGTACTTTTACCTTCGAAATTCATCGCAAAAAGCACTTATAGACTCCTAAAACGGGCGCTAAAAAAACCCAACCCGTACCGATAGAAATATGACCAAAGCACTGTTCGTAAAGCAAGCCTATCAGTTGCCTGAAAACCAACAATGCGTTGACGTAAAGGCGGACACCGACCAAACTCGATAGATTTATAGCAAAGAGACTTTTCACGCTTGCCTTGCGATCCTCGTGGGAGTCACGCGCGATGCACGCGCTTCGTGCGCGACGAGATTATAAACCTCGCTCCGCTCGGAATAATCCGTAGTTCCTCTTATATTGTTAATCACATTTTTGTTACTTAAAAAAATATTTAGTATTTATAGTTTCCTTCATTTAAAACCAAAATGTTTAGAAACAATGGGAGATTTTTTGGCAGTAATTTCAAGTCTGATAGTTCTGGGTAAAAATTGACCCTAAGCTCCCTATTCTGGTGCTTTGAGAACTGGGGATGATCTCAATTTTGCAGAATAGTTTGACTGTTGTTTGAAAGACAATCATATGATATTACAATCAGTTTTGGAGACAGCAATAAATACTTGTAAATCAAATGCCAAAATCAGATTTAGATTTGCTTTAAGAAACTGAACATGCCGCAGATTTTTTAATGCAAAGTTGTGAACAACTCAAAACAGTGTGCAAATACTTCTTAGTTCAAAAAAATCAATTTTTCTTGTAGACGTTTCAACCAAGCAAAGACTTCGTCTTCCATTGCTAGTCTACGAGTGTGCTCTAAAATACATTACTACAGCAAGCTAGAGGCAAGTCTTGTGAGTTCGTAAGACGCTAAACTGCTTAAAAGCTAAGCTTAAATTCTTGCCATCAACTTGGCTTGGACCGTTTTTAATTACAAAACGTTCACATTTGTCTGCTCTATTTTTAATGAACATGGTTTTTGAAATGATTTTGTACTAATTTAACTCAAAAATTATAAATTGGTCATAAACCTTTTAAAACCGACCAAAATTAAGCTTAACATGTTCAATGTAAACAAATTAGACTTTATAATCACTTTTTTTCAACATTGTTTTGTGGGTCGAAAAAAGTACCTTCACGCAAAAATAAAAACAAATAAACTTTTATTCGACATATTTTCGATAATGTCACTTGCATCGATTTTCGCATGGAAATTTTCCTAATTATATAACTTGATGCTGAGCTTAGTGCTTGAAACTTCTCATTTAATTTTATTTTACACCAATTGAGAAACAAAACCGCTTTTTTTTCTTGAGCTGGTATTTGCTTGTTGTTATCTTCCAGTACCGCTTCGCTTCTATTCCCGATTTTAGATGTAGAAAGTCTAGGAATAAAGTTGTTTGTTTGGAAAAGCGCGTAAAGGTTGCGACTATATCCTTAAAATATTATCAAGACGATAACTGGTAAATACCACGAGCCACAATGTTTGATGACTATCTAAATTAAAACGTGTTTGAAAAGACAACGGCTAATTGGCTCTAAATTCTTTAAAATCGGATGGGGCACTAAAATTTCTCGTTTTACAATACTGTCACGGAATCGTGTAACCGGGCGTATAATCAGGCCCATACTCTGTAACCGCATTAATTTCCAAAGGTAAACCCCGATAGCTGTTATTCTTAGGAATTACTAAGATTTTCTTCCTAGGGAATTCCCAAGAATTGCCAGAGACCCCTAAATCTCTTAAAAGTTACAACGGTGCGTTTCAGTTGATTTGGAATCTGGGAGTCAGAGGAGGTTTGAGTGGTGGAGTGGTGGTTTTTGACGAATAGCTGAAAGTTCCGGAATACCACCTGGGGAAAAACCTCTTGTAGCAACAGAGGGAACCGTTGCAACAAACAGAAACCATACGTGGCTTCGCGGCAGGGGTATTTTGCAAAACGCTGATTGGCCGCCGAATAACTCTGAAGTTTAGTGATTAGGATTAAGAAACTCAATGCATCAAGTTTAAAGTCAAGCTTCCCAGTACTGTAATGACCCTAAAAAGAACCTGAGTTACTCGGTTTCCTACCCCTACCACTAAACTTCAGATTTATTCGGCGTTATACGAAATACCTCTCCTGGTGGCGCCGTCGACGCCGGGACTTGACTGGGCCAACAACTTACACCGCAACTCTTGACTCTTCAGAGGAACCCAACGACGGTTTCCTCCTAATCCATTGAAAATACTTCCTAGGCTATCCAGAGAACTTTTGGATCTCTTGAAACGCGTTCTAAGCGGCGCTATAAAATAGGCCATTTCCGAGTTCCCCCGGGCCTCTGTTTCAAAACGAGGGTAGGTGCTCAGCCTTTGATATGGAAATCATTTTTCATTCTCATGCAAATAAAACTCATTTTCACAAGAAAGGTTGTGCACCTAGCCTCATTTTGAAAGTGAAGGTTTTTGGAACTCGGAAGTGGCCTATTTGAATCTGTTCGGTCATCCTAGGGGAACTTGAGTCTTTTCGAGATTACAAGGGCGTCAGTATTATTGTCCCGAAAATTTTAGATGCAATTTAACGTATCACGAAAGTGAGGATTTTACTGATTCCTCTCTCCATCACATTTTTGAATCCAAAAATTTTAGGTTTCATTTTTCTACGAAAAAGAGCCCAACCTCGCCGGGGAGTGAGATATGAAAAATTAAACTTTCACAAATCATAGGGAAATTATAAGATAAGCTTCGAAAATTGTACATGAGTGGAACGGTCATCTAGAAATTTTAGCCGTCTTTATGCATCAGTCAATTCCACCTGCGCCCAGCCCCCCCCCGGGCTACCACGGGGCATTTGCCCATATTGTCAGTCCCGGGGGTGGGGCATTTGCAAATTTTGCACTGCCCGGGGGCCGGGCATTTACCAACCCCCGGGCCATTCCCGAGCTTTTGACACGCACGCGGTTTCCTATCAGAATATAACTACACAGAAGGTTTTACTGGAAAAAAAGCAGATTGGCTCATCTGTCAAGGATAGGAATAAATTGTAGAGGGTTGTAAAGGCATGTTCTCGATTTTACCTGTATGTATGCATTTCTTCATTGCTTTTCGAGCCAGAATTACATAGTGACATGATTGGAGCTATCGATGTCAATCAACGTTTTTTGGTTATTGAATCAAATTTCTGTTGATATTATTTGAAGAACATCTTTTCATATTTATAAAACTATTCATAACATATAACTTTACAGCGCTCTATTAATTTTAATGTCAATAATTTTATATCAATACTAAAACCATAAACTGGTGCATGTCGTCGCGGCGTGAAGTCTTAATTAGAATCCTCAGCGCTATTACAAAGGAAGACGTTAATTGAAACAAAAAAATCGCACATTGAAATGCTTAAAATGGCACTATTTGACTGTGCGATCAATGAAAAATGTTGCAGTGTTGACGCAGGACGGGGCATTTGCCCTCTTTTTTCGTCCCCACCCCGAGGGATTTGACAGCTCAAGAGTCCCCACCCCCGGGAATTTGCCACCCAAGGCACAAAAAATGCTAATACCGGGGGTCAGCCCGGGGGGGGGCTGGGCGCAGGTGGAATTGACTGATGCATTAATCAGAAGAAAATTCTAGGCAACATCTGCTTCCCCGAACAGATATTTTACAGAAAACAGTCGTTAGGTGTCCCTGACTCTTGCTCTTTGAGTTGCTGACATTTCGTGTGGTGATTACAAACTCAATTCCGTCTTTTTATTTGTGTATATTTATGTCTTATAGATAAAATTCTTTCTCAAAGCCTTACCCAAACCGGAATGAGTGTTAACAGGCGTTACATTTGGCTTCTTGCAATCTTGATTGGTTCGTTCTTTGGATATTACATGGTATTCAAGTCACCCCACTCTGTTAGTCAACTTCGCGCCCGCGTTCATAATCGAGATCTAAACAAGACTGCGAACCTTACGGAAAGAGTTGCTACCAACACTGCAGACGTTGCTGGTGATGAACGCCTCCTAATCGGCCATTATGTTTCTAGATTTGACTCTGTAATTGGGAAAGAGTTCATTTTTGATAATTCAACTTTAGCTGTGGTGAGAAGTGTTCTTCGGGATCAAACGTTCAAGCGAAAGCCAATCGAGTCCATCGATGCCAAGACGCCTTTTTTCGATCTCGTGGCTCCTGTAACTGCGTGTTCAAGTAACCACTACAGAGAATTCAAACCTCACATCGAAGATTTTAGAAAGAATTTCCCTGGTAAGAAATGTTATTTTTACGATCTTGGACTTAGTGACGAGCAGATCAGTGAAGTTAGAAAGATGCCTGACATTGTGTACAGAAAATTCGACTTTAATGCGTACCCACAACACATTACTAACTTGCGTAATTATGCTTGGAAAGTGCTGATAATTCAAGAAATGCTCTCTGAATTTGACGGAACAATGTGGTTTGATTCATCTGTAAAATTCGAAGGAAGCGTAACCAATGCTCTAATAGAACTTATGTCCCGCCACAACACCGGAGCAGTGTTTTACCTCAGGACAACCGGCCACTCCATAATAGCAGCTACTCAGCCGGGAATGCTGGAGTACTTACCGATTATAAAAGAAGGCGGAGTTAGGGACATGCTTCAGGCTAGTGCAGTGGTTTACATCAACAAGGATGAAGTACAAAGGCATATAATGAAATGGCTTGTGATTTGCGCCCTCCAATTGGACTGTATCGCACCACCCGGTTCAAAATTATTTTGTGGCTATAACTTTCCTCGAGACAGGTTTGGGGGTTGTCACAGATATGACCAGTCTCTGCAAAATATACTTGTCTCGAACGCTTATAACCATGAACAAGAGAAATACCATTACTGGAGTGACGATTTTGCCGTTATGGCCCGGGGGTAATTTTCCTCTCGCCCCAAGTAAGGGAATCCAAGACAGTCTTGCATTCTAAATTCCACGCCGTGAATTCCGGATTCCAGGTACTAGATTTCAGTCTTTGATTCTGGATTCCAATCGTTGGATTCCGGATTCCCAAGCCCACGGGCACGATCCATTCAACTAAAATTTCCGAAAATTTCGGTCCAAAACTCAATGGATCGGTTCGGTCCAATGGGAAAAGTTTCGAAAAAACTGGTCCACCTTTTAAGGTGGACCACTTTTTCCGGTTGGACCGGTCTGATCGAAAAATGACCGTTCCATTCGACCATTCCAACCCATTCTCATTCCCAGTGCCTCACGGTTCGGTACTTCCTGGGTGTTAGTATTTGGCAAAAAATGGCGGCTTCAGATTACCGACTACCGGTGCAGAATTTGTGACATAACTGTACCCAGCCTAGAAAATTTGCTATCCCACGAGTGTCAAGCTTTTTCAGGTAAGTTTTTGGTGCATTTATCTGCTGCTGTAGCAAGAAATAAATCATCCAAGTAAGTCAGTCTGTGTTCGCGTCTCGACTGCGACCATTCCCGCCAAAACCAATTCCTACGAAAATGTTGACATTTCAGCCTCCGAATCTATCGGTTTACTTTTCGAATAATTCGTTTTCCTTAACAATGTCGTCATCATCTTTCACAATATCATTTAGAACGTCGAAATCGTCCTCTTTAAACTCTGACACAAGCAGCAGAACACCCGCCATTTTCTCTGTTTGAGAGAGGAACGGAACGAGACCGGTCGTGGTCGCGATCCATTCGTCCCCACGACGTTTTCGAACCTTGGCCCGGAAATTTTTGTTGAATTGATCGCGCCACAGGATTCCGGATTCCACGAGCAAAAATTCCCTTACCTGAGGCGATTATTCGAGACAACTCGCAAAGAAAAGAGATTCCTCATGATTGTATATCACGCTTTTATAAATATCATGGTTATAGTTAAAAACGTTGTAGCAGACGAGCAAGTCTTAAATTAGAAACCAGCATTACTGTGTTGCCCTTACCACGTCAAATTGGTTAAAGTGTTTTAAAGTTGAATATTAATATTAAACGAGGGAGATGTGGCTTGATACGAAATCACCGTTGTAGAACGTTTTATACATTATCCCCTCAAATTGTTCAAGTCTGGATGTTGAAAAAAGAAAGCATTAAATTTTAATTTCAAAAAAGCTATGTATCGTGTTGTCTTTCTGCAGAAAAGTGTCATTTAATGCTTGACCCGTTCCAAAGATCGCACACAATATCATTGTTTCTTCTCGCTTCACCAGGCTATGAAGGTCTGTGCACCCGATATACTAAAAAAGCGATGATCCTTCCATTGACCATGGGTACGTCCTTACCTCGTACCCAGTCGCCTCTCTCTCTCGATGAAAAAATTGCGCACAAAGGAAGTCGGGAAGGAGAAACTTCTTATCTTTCTCCTTCTCATGAACCATTGCGCTTCGTCGCCTGTCACTCGCGTTTCGCGCTCGCCTCTGTGCGAAAATCGACGCGCCTAATGAGGAGGCTGGGATACGTACATTGTTTCAATTGTGATTTTATGAAAGACAAAACTGTGACAACGAAAATCACAAGGCAAAAAAGTGTGACTTGATGGATTTATTTCAAGTGTCGCTGCATGATGTCTAGCTGCGGGAGGAATGTACATAGCTTGTTGGAGATCTCTGGATACAGTAACTAAATATTTACAACGTATTTACATCTTTAGTGTATGAGTGGTTAGAAACGTATGCCTCATTTCTGTTCTGGGCATAATTTATCTGTCCGGCAGGACTGAGGCTCGTGAACATAATACCATTGTTCAAGTAGTGGTTTATTCAATCTTCATGTTCAGCGGATTCTCCCTCGTCTGCAGCATTGTTTGCGCCTATGAATACAAAGGTTGAAAGTCAGGTCTAGCCGTACCCAGGTCACCAGCAACTCGCAATGCCCCAGCCGAAGAAGGTCCTTCCAAGTAGCGCCAGTACCACTCAATTAAGCTGAATATAGAGCGCGCGGGACTCGAAACCAGACATACTGATTGCGAGTCCGATACACTTTACACCACTCAACCAAATAAATAAAGAAAGTCATAACTTACTTTGATTTGGCGTGACCGGGGCCTCACCAGGAACAGAACTGCAAGAAATTAAATAGTACAATAAGAGAACTCTTAGGGCCAAATATTTAAACGAAGTCTAACTTAAGCCGCGGTTTAACGAATCTTTGAACCTCCAGATCTCTTCTTTGGTGGGTTGTTTTAAGAAGATAATTGCTTTTCTAGTCTTCTCTATACAGCGTATATGCTCTCATAGAACTGATCAACAAAAAATGATGTTTCGATAAAAACGTTGGGCAAATTGAAAATGACTTAGAACGCAGTTTTGTTAAACACTGGCTAAACTTTGTTTAAATATTTGGCCCTTAGAGTTTATCCTTCTCAGCATAAGTCGACAACATGAACAATGCGCAGATGACAGTTACACATGAAATCTTCGTTGAGTCAACATCTCAAGGTACGGTAAAGAGCAACAAAAACGTGCAACTTGTTTTGCAACATTGCTGCAAAACGAGTTGAATAGCGAAGTTGCCTGTTTTAACAACCATGCTCAAACCTGTCAAGATGTTGCATGTTGGGTGAATACTGACTTCAAGATTTCACGAGAGTCACGCCATACACGGAGTTATGTGACTTGCTGCAAAACAAGTTTGCCATGGGCCGGTAAAACGCGCAACGTGTACAGGTTTCGTTGCAAAAAGTAGAAGTACTCTCTACTTTCTGCAACCTGCAAAAACCTGATTTGTGCAAGACAGGTTTGCTTCATGGGTGGTAAAACGCACAACATCAATAATCAACTCGTTTGACAGCAAGGTTACAAAACAAGTTGCACATTTTAGTTGTCCATTTTACCTCAACTTTTACCAGTACTCGAAGCTCATTTGGAAAAATTCCCTGTGCGTTAAGAAAAAGACCTTTTCCGCAGTCCGCATACAAATCTTTGTTTTTTTTTTACCCATATTCTCCAATAGGCGGCTTTGTTCACAGACATGCGAGAAAGGTCGATTAAACATTTCGCAAAAAAAATCATTCACGCAACCACGTAACTAGAAATCAATCTTCAGAGCAAAAAGGTTAAGCTAAAATTAATTGTTGTGAATTTACTTGGGTATCATCACCTTTCTCCCACGTTCTAAACTAAGGCAAATGCACGCGCGACTTCTTTATCATGCGCGATGAGAGAGAAACTATTTTCGATACGATACCTCCTTCCGGATTCATCTTCGTCTCCAGTCTCCTCCTCATGTTCCTCACCAAAGGGAGCCAGCGTCAGGGGATTAAAACCAGACATTGGTTCACCAATGATACCAAGTCTGTAGGATACATAACAAATACAAAGGAACGTTACTGTGATGTTAACATTAGATTCTATCGGTCTAAAACCCCTTGTTAAGTTTAACGTTAAGTTTACAAAACGTGGTATTCCTCATCGCCTCCATATTATATATCTACAGTACAAGGGAAGACAAAGCGATAAGAAATACTACGTTGTGTCAACTTCATTAGGTGTCCAAGGGGGTTTTAGGCCGGTGGGACCTAATTCTAACCAAAGTAGGTTATATTTATTGGTTTGTGTGAGAGGGCGGCCATGCTAGACGACAAAATTTCAGAATTTGCACCAAAAAAAGACTAGTTCCCACCAGAGGAAAACGTTTTCGTTCTTGACCACCAACAAGCATGGTCGCCGTAAGGTTAGCTGCAAACTAGCAGTGCATCAAGTGGCTTGTACAACTACCGTTTTAACTCGATTTGATGCCGCGGCGTTTCCGATGCGGCCTTTATTTAAGGGCGGCGTGTATTCGAGAGCGGTATTTATTTCAAAACCACATGATTTCTTAAATCATCGAGGACAGTGACGGTGAATCATTTGCAAATATTATGTGAAGCAGAAAGTTGTAATGTCTCTTCGATTTTACTAAGATAGAATCCCAAATGTATGCATGGCGTAGATTACCAAGTTGGACCGATTTTGTTTTTCTTTATATACTCGAACAAACATCGCATTCTTCTGATTTGGTGCAGCGTTTATTAATAACAGTTGCTTCCATCTGTGGTATGTTGCCTGGGACAAGGCGAGTAAGTGTCATTTCTAAGCCACTGAAGAAGAATTTAGCAAAAAGCAGGCTTACACCGCCAGCCAATGGCAGCGGATCACACTCACATGCCATGACTTGTGAGTTTTTGGCGCCTTCTTCGCAACAGTCCTTGATTATTTGATTTTGTACACAGTTAGATGTTACTGGACATTTACAAAAATATGCTATAGAATATCACGAAATAGTCTAGCTTCTGAACGCTACTCACTTCACTTGCAACTGAAGATCCATTTTTTCTTCTTCATGCGGTATGTCGCTAGCAGAGTAAATAGAATTTAATGGATATTTAATTTATACATCGGTAAAAAATTAAAATTGATTTAAAAAGCCCTAAGAAAAATCGACAAAGTGCGGAATTGTGGTCTACTAGCAAATTTTTCACCTATACTCGTTTGGGGCTATGTGCGTGTAGCATTTAGCCGTTTGGGTCAGCCGCAGGAAAACGTGCAACTTGTCCAAGGTCATGAAAGTGTGCAGCTAACGGCAGGTCCAGGAAATCAGAAGCGCTTACCATTTGTATGGAAAAGCCGATAATTCAGGGGAGATTATAAATGGAATGGTTCATATCGGTATAAATTTTCCAGAAAAAAAGTAAAACCTTTTAAGCCCTGTGCAAACGGATGCAACACAGTTGGCCAACAACTCCCAACATTGTCGGAAGTTGTTGCGTCCGTTTGTACGTGGCTAAAAGTTTGACCGCTTTCAAACTTTGCCCAACAACACGCAACAACATCCAACAACATGCAACAGGGTGTACAAACAAACGCAACATGTAAAGTTCAACAAAGTTGGGAGTTGTTGGCCAACGATGTTGCGTCCGTTTGCACGGGGCTTTAAGGTATTATCTTTTTACCATTTTTAACGAAATGACCGAAATTTTTTGTTCCATTTTGTCTAGTTAACCAGACAAAAATGGCAGTTTTTTAACAGGAGGGTTCTGGTGTTTTGCAAATGGTACAACCCTAACCCATTCCTCTTTTCGAAACTTTTTCAAGTCCAGTACCATTTGTCAGACATCTTTAACCTAAATTTCCTAACAAATGGTAAGCTCTCCAGCACTAACTGCAGACTAATCTGTAGACTACGAGCAGTCTCTGTTTTGCCTTTGTCCGTCGAGCTAAACGCGCGAGACACTAAAATGAGGACGCGCGTGACTGAAGGGGCAAGAATGAAGATGAGGAAAAAGTGAGACAGCTCGCAGTTTACACTAACGGTGTCGCGTAATTTTTAGCGGAGCCTCTGCGCGCGCGAGTGTGGACCTCCATACTAAGAGAAAATGGTAAACTATACATCCAAGAAAATTTGGCTATCACGTCACCGTACGTCCGTACGGACTCTCCGAGAAGTTAGTAGAAACGAATTCCTCCCCTCTCCCCTACAGAGTTTAGTCCCCTATTGTTTCAAAGGCCTTTAGAAATGATTGACAAATCAGAATCTGTCAGCTGAGAAAAAAATGTTTAGTGGATTTTTGGGGCCGACCAATTGACTTTTGAGGGGGTTATGGCTGATTTCAGAAAAAAAATCCGGCTCCCAGACTGATTTCGAGGGGAAAAAGCTTGAAAGGATATACCTGGGAAAAATAATATCCTGCACTGAACAAAAGCATCGCTCATGACGTATATAATGCCTCTATTTTGTTTATTCACGTAAAAGTAAAAATTACACGACAGTGGAAATCCACCGTAACTGATGCGGCGCGAGCGGACATGCAACCCCGAGGAAAGCGACTACAGTAAACACCCGCGACTAAGAATCTTCATTTTCCAAGTTAGCTAAAACAGGTTCTCACATAAATGGCAATTAGCGCAAATTTAGGCTATTTAGGTTTTTAAATAAGTTCTTATTTTCTGAAGAAAAATATACTTTATAGCTAAGAGCATTTAGTGGTATTCAGCGTATTCCCTATATAAAATCTGCATACCATTACATTGCAGTTGGAGTATGTCTCCAAAGAGGATCCTGAATGTTGACAAATTTGTCTGATTGTACAGGATTTTTTAATGGATTTTAGAAAATAAGAACCTGTTTCAAATTTTAAGCTGAACAGGTTCTTGCACAGAGGGGCGTAAGGTTCTTAGTCACAGGTTTTTACTCTACACTCACATGGTTGTTCGTATTCCAACTACTTATGGTAGGTTTTGTTGCTATTTCTACATGATGAAAGCAGTAACAAAGCCATCACTCATAATGCACAAATTTCATGTGTATATGATCAAATGCTAGAAATTACTAGAAGTGGTTAACAAAAAAACTATATAAGTCAAATGAATGGCAATCTTACTTTTCTGACAGGGGAAGAGCTTTTGTGCGATCAAGGAACCACGGACTGGCCTCTTTCGATGTTGGTAGTAAAGACACAAGCACTGGAGACCGCTGACTAAATGTGAAAAACAAAAGTTTCGGATTAATTTAGGTTTCTGAGAAACTTTCTACCTACCCCTCCCCTAACCCAACCTTTTTGCCATAAGTGAAAAGTAAGTGTTAACTTTAAGTTAGGGGAGGGGTAGGTGAACAGTTTTCCTCAAAACCAAATGATCAAAAGATGATACAGGAGGAAGTTCTTGTACAGTGTTAAAACTTCGATAAATTTATGTACTCACTTTATGATAGACTTGATCGGAGGCCGCTTTCTGCAAGAAAATAAAGTAAGTAATAACTATAGAGCGTTTTCACTCACGTGGCCGGTGTCTATGCAAATTTATTGCTACAAAAGAAAGCGTGTTTTCATAAGAAAGGACTTCAACTCGCACAGGATTGGTTTGGGACACCAACATGGCCACCGTTTCATTGTTTTGGGATACAAATACGGCTGCCGTGACGTCATGTGAAAAGACTCTATTATTATCATCATCGTCATCATCTTCATTCTAAAAATCGGAAAACGTCGGTTGGGCAACACAACAGCTATTTACTTGAAGCTTACCGATAAATGTATTTAAAAATTGCATAGTAGCTAAAACATAAAGACGAAAAACGAAAAGTGTACTAACGGCTTGAGTCTGCGATACTCTGCCGGCGTCAGCGGGTTCTTTGTGTTGTCTTTAAGACGATCAATTGCATACACCTCTAAAGAGAATTACAACAAAACAGGTTAAAGAATTTTTTTCTGAATTCCGCCTTTCTAATTTTCTTTGTTTTTATCGAATACTGTGACCTTTGGCTTCATGTTTCGGGGTCATAAAAGATCCAAAACCACCATTTGCAAAATAAGTAATGACATTTTTTAAAAAACAAAAGCAGCGGCAACATAAGACAATCAATATTTGACTTGCGCGCGTTTCCCGGTTTTTTTATTTACCTTTTTTATTTACAAAAGTCATATTTTCACCGCGCTTTACATGGACACACGTTTCTGCTGGTTTAACTTTTGTCTTCATGAGCAATGTAGTGTTGAACAACGAGATTCCGCTTGTTGCTTGATTAGTGCCAACGTGCAACAAAACGCAGCATATGATAGTGAATATATAAAACTTCACAAACAGAGTAAGAGAAAAATTTTCTTATCCATTTGTCCCTCAGAAAAGCACTATATTAAATTTGGCTGTCCAAAATCCAAGAGTTCTTGTCAAAACAGTTTTGCTAGGTTCATAAGTCAAATGGAGCACGTAATGGCCGCCATATGACAAAGTTAAAAGGAATATTTTACCATATTTTCTTAAGTATGAAGAAGTCGAGAATCTTCAACTGTTTCTGTATTCTTTGCTAATTAAAAATGTGCTTGTCCAATGAAAAGTCATGTCAAAGGTTTACATGTCCAAATTAAAGTCCTACCTGTCCAGGACAATCAGACGTTTTGATGCATCCTGATAGCCCTTCCTAGAGTTTAATTTAAAAAACTCCTGATCCCACCCCCCCACCTTACGTGAATGACCTTCCCCTCTGAGGCCCCAGCCCTCCCCCCAAGAAAAAAAGTACCTTTCCTAAACTACAGGAGGATTTGAGAAGGATTGATCAGGATTTGAACCCACGACCTCTGCGATACCCATGCAGTGCTTTTTACCCCTGGGCTATCAAGCCACCAGAAAGCTGGTCATGCTGTAGACTGGTCACCCTATTTTTCGTAAGATCCTCAGGATCGCGCGCTTACCGCGCACTTACTCTCTAGTAAGCCCCCCCTTTCAGCTGAAAAAACTGTGTTAATAAGCCCCCTCCCCTTCCCTCCCCTCCCCTGATTATTCTTCACTGATAAATGATAGACTGTATCAATTAATCACGACTGTATAACTTCGTGTGGACTGATCCGGGATGGTTTATCATCAACTGGAAGTCCGGATTGGTTTTTGACCCTCGGCTGTATGACTTCTTGTACTTAAGCTTTTCCATTTTGTATTATAGTTCTTATGGAGACCTGATATCATCGTCTTTGCTGAATTAAATAAGGTGTCCCCTCTCAAATAAGCCACCATCTCTATCGAGCTCCCTTCCCCAAATGTGTTTGAAATAAATAAGCCCCCGGGGACTTTTAAATAGAGGACATACGGTACTACTGAGGAGCGGGCGTCGGGGTTTATTGCGTTTTTCTTGCCTTCTCCCAAACCGTCCCCCCCCGGCACTCATCTCCATGACAACCTTGTCCCCAGGGGGCTTTTCCCGCCAAAGCAAGGGAGAGCGCCTTGGGGACGAGGTTGTCGTCCCCAGGCTAGACTCGGAACAGTTGAGACCAAGATGGCCACCCGTGACGAAAAGCGCTCGATCCTGACAATCGATCTTACGGAAAAAATAGCGGACTGTGAACAGTTTAGTTACATTGTAAGCAGGATCTGTCACCTGGATCTCGAACCGGATTTAATGAACATGTAGGCGACAATATCCGCACAAATTATTCATATAAAATTGTAACGCAACACAAACTTTTAAACGACAAGCTGTATACAGTAAAAAAAAAATGTCCGTATTTCAAGTCCTTTAGTGTGGATCTACCACAATATTGACTGCTGCATAATAAGATGACAACTGCAATTGTTTAGTAAGTACCTTCAATAGCTTTAGGCCTTCCTGCGGGGTTAAATGTGTCTGAACGGAACATCCTGATGACAAGACCGAAAATAACGATTTAAGAGGATGGAATGAGAATAAGACGAGATCGAACGATCTTGGACACAATAAAATGGAACAGCAAACCCAAATCCCCCCAAAGAAAGGATGAAGCCGAATAAGCATGTGTAATCAAATGGTGACGAGTGAAATTAGGGAATAATTTCACGCGCGTTTTGTCCAAATCCTAATAATTTCCCTCGACTAAAGGCTCGGGAAATTATTAGGATTTGGACAAAACGCAAGTGAAATTATTCCCTAATTTCACGAGTATACCATTTGATTACCTATTAACATCATGGGTGACGAATTACGTTAGCAATCTTGGTTTTTTGACATGTTTATCCTGGATCGTATCGATCGAGAACTCCACTCTCTCAAATGTTTAGTCCTTAAATTTGGCTTATACAGTTCAGAATTTTTCAGACTTTTTCGGCAAAATACCTGTTAGAATCCTTCTTGGTGTTCTCTTGTGTGTTCAGGTTTTCTAAAGCGTCTTTTTGTGCCCTGACATCTTCATTCACGGCATTTTAAAACTTCGTCGCCATCCTGACACTGAGACGTATGGAAGGGTTGCCATTGCAATTTTGTAATTTCACATGTGAAATTACAAATTAACGCTGAAATTTCGCGCCAAAATTAAGGAGTAATTCGTCAACTATGATATTAAAGCCAAAACACGCCACTTTTCCATCCTTGATTTGGGATGAGGGTATAGATTTTCCATCTATTTTGTCCACGATTGTAGTAGCCTGCTTGGCAGGTCCTTGGAAGTATTTGGGTGACAAAAAAAAAACGAGCGCACGAAAAACACGCAAGGGGAGAGGGAGCTCCCTCTCTCCTTGTGTGTCTCCCTCGCGCGCCCCGTTTTTTCTTGCGCCCACTAGTTCCAAGCGCCTGCTACGCAGGATTAGATTGTAGATATTTCTACAGGCAAAAATCCCAGAATTTTGCATGATTTATTCTCTACAAAACATTTCACTTTCATTTCCACTAACTAAGGGTGCAATAAAAAATTATCAATTTAGACAACTGGTCAAAATCTAACTGGCTGATGGCCTGGTAGGATGGTATATAATAGATCAATTTTGGGCCTTTCTTTAGAGCAAAAAACAAACAAAACAAATCCATCAAAACGGGAAGTTGGGGTCGTGTAAATGCTAACAGAGTACAGTCGAACATCCCGTAAGCAACCATGTAAGCGACCACGGGAGAAGGTCGCCGGCGTGAGCGTATTTAATCATAGGGACTCATTGCGCGTTAATTTTTCAGTTGCTTTCAAACAACTGTAGCCGGAAAAACCTGAAATTCCGGTCGGAAAATCAAATAGTTCGCGCCATTTCGTTTTAGTGTAGTTTCAGAAAGTAATGGCTGTCATTTTGAGGCGATCCAATTTTTCTACTCTTCAAATTTGGATATACTCTGTAGCGGGTCGTTCTTCAACTTCGTCAAATTTTATTTATGTTTATGCGCAGGATTTCCACCCGAGTGGTTTCTGTAAATGCTAAGCACCTTTGACTTTCACACGAAATAGAGCGATTTTCGTATGACCTTGAAATGAAAACGCGCAAACAAAACACAAACAACAAACAAACGGAAATTAGAGCGATTTGATTGGTTTACCGAACGGACATAAACGCGCGTGGCTTTTGGTTGGTTAAATGAATGCTCGGGTGAAAAAACTTCATGCCCGATAACTTTCTAGAAATCAACCGATACTTCGCTTTGACGTCACACTGCAACACGATTGGCCAATCGAACAATACCTTCTCCATATTAGGGTTTTCTTCGGCGGGAAAACGAACAGGCCATGTTTTGATCTTTTAATCCACTGGCTGATAAAAAAAATTAAAGAACACTTACCGAAAGCATTTTTCAAGGGCATACGAAAATCGCTCTATAAGGGTTTCTTCTGAATGTAGATCGGACAAGTTATGCTATGTGTAGAGCTCTCCATTCTGTCACAAAACATTTTCCGCATACTCTGGTCAGCGAACAAGGAGGTCAAACAATGCATCACGTGATCACTTACAAGTGTATGAAAAATTGAAAAATTATCAAACCGTGACCGCCAAAAGTGTTCGCGCTCTCATTTAATACGAGATCGAGAGAGGGTAACTAGAGCTTCAATTGGGAAAATGTTGCTGTTTTGGATGGGTCCCGAGTCGTTCATGGGAGCTGGTCGCTTACGAGAGACCTGTGAACTTTATTTTTATGATCTTGAAGGGTAATTGGTCGCAATTAACTAAATAATAGAGTGCTCTAAAAGATAATATTATTGGTACCTTCCAAGCTCTTTCTGTATCAAGTCCAAATGTTGTCGCCTGAATGTGATGTAAGTTACGTATGCGGCAAAGGTGTAGAGAGCCTTTAAAATAAAGGCAATGAAAATGAATTAGTATTTCTGTATTCCAGGTTATTAAATTTCAATCGCAACCAAATTGCCAAACGTCATTTTGTTAAGGTGTTTCGATACAGTTTTCGGAGACCATATCGATATTTTTCAATCCCCTTTATAAAACTGTCCGATCGCTATGCACTTTTCACCACTGACTGATTTTGGATTGACGTTTGTCAAAATGTAGTTTTAAGCAAAATCGATATCACTATGGCAACAATAAAAAACATTTGAATTCAGTAAAAGCCCAATTTTGCGCGATCTGGACCTGCTACTGACAATCCGACACTAGGAACTTAAAGCGTGAATTTTATTTTATATTTTATTTATATCGTGTAAAGAATTTAGAGTTGCCATTTTTTCCATATTTTCCACTAAGCGGTAGCAGAACTCACACATCTTCTGAACCTAAAGCTACCACGGTAACTACCTAAAATAAACACTGGAACTCTAATGAGCTTTCCCATTCCTCAATTCTGTCGCTCACTTCTCAATTCTAAACGTTTTAATTATGCTACTAATACCACACGCGAACATTAGCATGATGGTATAATGTGTTTTAAGTGTAAGTTATGGTTTGTTTAGCTCTTCATACCTCGTACATTTCCCGGTCTTTACTTGTGTCAGAGCTGCGTTGTCTAAAATCAAGTCAAAGCAAGTCCTAAAATAAGTTATTAGCATCACACAATGATCATTTAATAGTGTCCCAAGGGTGAGATAAGAAATGTAAAAATTTGCGTTTGCCAAAGTTTACTAGCCCCAGAGTAGTCTGTAGACCTTCTAGTTTGGTGACTTATTCAGGATTTATTCAAGGATAATTTAAATTTCGCAAGAATTGTGAAAATACTGGTGAAATTCTGAAAATTTCGTACACGTGTAAGATGTCATTTTGTGAAATCTGACATTTATTTCCTTGGCCATGGGCTTTCATAAAAATTTTTCTTTGGTGTTATTACAGTCAACTAATTACATTTATAGCACTTGAAAAATGTAAGAAAAAAAAGGTGATATTGTTCAAATTATTCTCAGTACAAGGTTTTTGTCCACTAAACGTACTTATTCAGCGTGCAAAGAAAGTAGTATCCGATATTAAGGGACTAGTGGATTTTGCTATCGAGCTAGTGAATTCTGTTATTTACTTGCCTGATGGGTAAGTGAAGTTTTTTGAGGAATTCAAATAACTATTACAGAGACTGAGAGGAACTGTGAAATCAATCTCCTCATCAAAACGTTTATGGGGCTAGTTGAAATAATGCTTGGGCACCCTGTCATTATAAAGTAATTATTACTAAATTTCCTGATTGATCATACCCAGGTGGGGTACTTCGGATTTCAAGCGACAGGGATGACGGAAGGATTTTTTTCGGTTTGAAATTTTCTATTTCGAGGTTTTTTTGGGTACGAAAATTTTGGCAAGTATTTTTTTGGGTAGCTTGATTGGAGAAGGGGTTTTTGGGGATTCAAAACTAATGCTTCTATTTTTCGTCAGGGACACCTAATGACAATTTTCCGAAAAATATCTGTCCGGAGGACGATTTGAGATCTAGAATTTTCGGAACATTTGTTGTAAAATTTCTTGCGTCCAGGCCTCTCCTTGGATTTTCGAACAAATAAAATATGGTATACTTGTCCATTTTTAACTAATTTTTACCCTAAAAAGTTCACCTAGAATTTTCGGGAGCCTATTTTCTGGCTAAAATTTTCGAAAAGGTAAGTTTTGATCCCTATAATTTTCGGATCACTAGATTTTCAGTTACGAAATCCGAATCCTATGTCTACCGTTTAAATACTAAAATACATTTAATAATGCTATGTTTAAGTGGTTTTGAACTATATTCTCGTTGGGTGCCCCTGTTTCGTGTTATATCATACAATGCTTTCTGGAAATTTTTACGGCTTGGAAATTCGGCATGGGATTTTTTAAGTGTTAAAGTTTGGTCCAAGGATTTTTTTGGGTTTTGATTTTTGCCCCTATTCAATAATCCCTGTCACTTGAAATCCAAAGTGCCCCCTTCTGGGGGATCATACCTGCCACATCCTAAATGGTGTTTGTCCTCTAGTCCCAGTCCTAACACCAGCCTACAATAGCACTGTCCCAGAAGCCTCTGTGCTGCTTCCTGTTTGCTGACCGCTGTTGCTAAGGCTTTCTTTTCAGCCAGGCTTGGTTCACTATCGACAAAAAAGTATAGTGTATTGACCCTCACATTCTATCCTAAGGTGACTTTCATATCAGATATGAGGCCTACTGCATTAAATCTGAAACAATATGTATTTTTTCTGTCCTAAAGTGAAGATTGAATTCAGATTATTTTGTAAATAAAAAATCATTTAATACAATCACATAATTTTAATGAGGGTAGGTCGAGGCACCAAATGTTCATGTGAAGGTCAATGTTGACTACTGCTCTTCAGCGAGGAATTTGCCAAACAAAGAAAATGAAAATGAAAATGATATCTTACATTTATAATTACAAGTAATTTTTAATTAGGACTTAAAGTTGTATATAGGGACATTGTAAGATGGTGGCTGAAATTCAAGAACTCTTCAAGACTGTAATGAACCATGATGAATAATTAAAGGTTATTAAATGTAGTCTTAGCTAGTCTTGCCACTTACACTGCCATTGGCTTGGGCTTGTTTTCTATAGCCATTCTCTCAAAAAAAGCATCAAAGTAATTTAGAATTGCCAGTTGAAACTCATCAAACTGCTCAGAACTAAAACAAAAGAATCAAAAGGCTGATATGATGCATAACAACAACCATTAAGTTAGCTGTTCAGTAAACCAAAATATGATTAGAACTTATAATTAATTACTAATAGTGGTTACCCAGCCTCTGTATAACCAAGGCATCTTCAATGTTATTTATTTGCACATTTTTTCCCAGGTAGTGCTGTCTTTTGTTGATCGTGCATTTGGATGCTAGTTTTTAGACAGTCAGCGAAAATGTTTCTATCGATGTTGTTTCTGCATAAATGAGAGCCTTGCTCCCTCTGATTATAGTGATTTGCTGGTTTTGCACTCACATGCATCTCTCCCTGTACAATAACAAGATGGCAGCTATGAAAAAAGACCCTGCAGGGGAAACACTAGTAAACTGAGGTCAATGATTGAAGAGAAACACTGTTTATTGTTGATGGCATGATTGTTTTTCTGGCCAAAATGAGGCTCAGTGTTGAGTGCATAATGCAACAGCATGTAAAGAAAATCATGTCTGATAGCCTGGGGCTAGCGGATTTTGCAATTGGGCTAGTTAACTCTGTACTTAACTTGAGTAAAGTATTCAGAGGATATTCAAATTACAGAGGTATTTACTGTAAGAAAGAATGTTTAAAATTAACCGTTAATAAACTCATGTGGACCAAAAGCTGTGTTTTCAAACTGATCTGGCAAAGAAAAACTTAATTATTACACTGTCTCATTATTATACTGAATTGATTACTTAAGTAAGGAGGTAAATATAATTTTTCAACCTGCTAATCAAAAACATTATAAAGGTGGAGCTATCATGTTGTGTCCTAAATTTGGAAAATCGATGAAAATTCAGTAAAATTTTACTTTTAATTTGCTTTAAATCATTTCCTTCACCGACCACATACATGCCATTGCAGAACTAAAATGCCCCAGTCCTTGCTCTAACGTCACAGGGAGTGAAAGTGGTGGTCTTCCTGTGGCTCTAATGCAAAAATGTGAAATGATAACTCCAATTGTTTTATTTCATAAAATTAATAAGAACAAATGCACGACAGATGCATGGACTAGCAACTGTACCTGTAGCACTCTTGAAAAGTCGGTGGAAGTACATCAACATCTGGCATTGAATCTAGAGCAACACTTTTTACATCATCCAAGGTAACCATTGCATGTTCATTGGCTCCAGCTGCTTTGACGCTGGGTCGTGGAGAAGAACCCTTCATGTTACCAGCACGTTGTAGCAGCAAGTAAGCTTGACCACGCCTAGATGTTGTGCCAGCTGTGGCATAATTTTTGGACATGACTGATGGTGTACCCCTGCAAGATTAACAAATAACACCTTTTTAAAAAAATAACAACCATGCCAATGACTGATCTCGATATCTCCAAGGGACTGATCATTAGGGAGCTTAAGCAGCTATGATGATGACCCCAACAACAACTTCAAAAAACAATTGGTTTTATGAGAAAAAAAACAGCTCTGCACATCTATCACACTTTTCAGTACATTTCTTTGACATCCACTGAATGACCTCGAGGTGAAACCCCGATGTGATTAGTTTTTTGGAGGACATCGACACACGATGACAAATTCTCCTTTCTCTTTTTGAACCTGGATAAAGTTCTTAAGAATTCAACTCCAGGAAAAGTCGCCTGCACTTGACACATTGAGCAGGTCCAAATAGACACCATTAAGATTGTGCCTAATACTATGATTACCTGTCATTTTTCTTGTGGAGATCCTGAAAATGAATCCCCAGCCCTCCTTTGCTTCTCTTTGATTTGTTTGCAGCAAGGTGAAAGTTGGTACCTTTATCTACACTTCCTTGAATTGTGCTGTAAGGAAAAAAAGGAGAGTTTCCTATGTGTAGAAAAGTTGGAATTTACAATTAATGAAGGATGCAATGAAATTTAAAAATCCACATCACCCTTAACCTCTATATAGGTATAAGAAAACTACCTTGCAGATATTATTTTACAAGTAATATTGCTCATGTACCTTACTGATTCCAGTGTGTTTGTGTCATCTTTCCATATCCATCTCTTGCTGAGTGTGGAAGGTTGGTGCTGATATAAAAATAATGTGATATAAATAGATCATGCCCAATTTTACATTACCACTGACAGTTGTTTCTTACAGTACATGGAGTTATATGTGTATTCAAATGACCTCAAAAGAGCTCAATACAATCGTGACAGAACATTAACATCGCACAGCGCACACTGTCAACTTGATGTTTCGGGGGTTTCAATAAAATCTGAAGTTATATTAATGCAGGACAAGGAAGACAGAGGTAGTCACTGTCAATGTTTCCTATTTTGACAGTCAGTGCCCATTATCAAATGCGCTATTGTTTCTTAATTTTTCATGCTCCTAGAAGTGTAGGAGTCAAAACAATATTAGAACAAAATAGCAGCCAGAGTGTTCATTAGGCATCGGAGAATTCTCCATTAACTACGCAGATTCCTTCAGCTAACGTTCTGTAGACTATGACTATTTTTTATTCAGACGTGGAGCCTTTTTCAGAATATTCTCCTGTAAGGTTACACCTTTCTCCTGCTACTAGAATTCTCAATGAAAACCCTGAGTAACAGAAAAAAGCATTACTGTTGTCAAGGATAGGACTTTTACTTTTTTCGTCTTTTTGCATTCATCCCTTATTATATGTTCTTATGGGAACCATTGCTTCTCTACTATCTTTCTGACAGTTATTTCTGACACATCTAGCATGGCTCTCATTCAAGCCCATTATCATACATTACCAATACCTACAGTGCTATCAACTCTCACGGATAATCCAGGAGACTTCAAAGTTTGGACCATATCTCCCCGTCTCCAGATTAGAGTCCGATATATCTCCCGGATAATCGCAAAAGTTGCTATTTCTTGTAGACTCGACTTTCCGACCATAAAATTTCAAATATTTTGTGTCGTTTGAGCTACTGTTAACATGGAATGTTTCCTCATAAATTCTGGTATGCCACTGTAATTTAAGCAATAATGTGGCTAAATATGAACTGTTTGTACTATATACGTCAATTGAAATCAACAAGCATTTTTGGCATAAATGTCATCATTTGTTGTGCATTATGACATCATCTATCATTCCTTCCCTATCAATTCTCAATATTTGATGATATGGGGGGTTGACAGCCCTGTACCTATACACCCAAAAACAAATGAAAATAAAATCTACATGTAAACCAGGGATAAAATCTGAACCACAACATAAGCTTAAAAAACAATTTATGTTTTGTAATATGCAACATTTTTTTGAGTGATTATACTGCCAGTTAATATGTTGTGATTGGATGTTACCCTTGGTTCAAAGATGTTAAAATTTCTCTGCTTTACCTTAATTTATGTCAGTTGATAAAACAGTCTACTTCTCGATCTCATGTGTAAGCCAATGTATTTAAGTCGACAAAAAAATTGCAGGTACATGAATCTGTGCTCAAGGTCTCCCTTGCTTGAAATTGTGACAATAGATAAGTAATATACTGGTGTAGATTAAAAAAACCGCGAGAAAATTTTGAAAACTTATTGAGCTCTGACAGTTGATAGCTTTAGCTTGGAGATGGTCTTAGCTTATGTTATCATTGTCTGCCGGAAAAACTGCTTTTGAAACTAAAGAAACGAGGTAAATTTAAAATAAGTTACTTACACTTATCGACAACAAGTTTTTTACTTACTAAATCATCCAGCTGAGCCATCATACAGACATAAACACTATAAACAAAATCTCTCACAGTTTCATACAAAAAAAAGGACAGCCATGTTTGTTGCTATGGGTTATGAGCCTGCGATATTCGGGAATTTCCGTTACACTTCGTGTAAAAATCGGTAAGGCAATGTTTTTCCAAGCAGTCACTGCGCGTGCGGTTCAGTAGCCTCATCCGGGTACTTGCCTTTTTGCCTCCATTCTCGATCCACATGCTCTGGTGAAAATGGCGACGCTTATGTTGGGCGGAAAGAAACTCGCCGATTTGCGAGTTGTAGACCTCCGTCAAGAGCTCGAAATCAGAGGTTTAGAAAAGAGTGGAGTAAAGGCAGTTTTGGTGGAGCGATTGCAGAAGGCAAGATCTCGTAACCGTTCAACAAATTACAGCTGTTTCTTCGCTTTGTGTGAATGGTTGCAATTTATCCAGCTTTCTGATCTTACATAAGCTTATCTTGTGCTTATCTTCAATTTTTAGGCCTTAGAGGAAGAACAAGATGGCGAAGAAGAAACTGCAGAGTTTATTCCCATAGACAGCGTTGATTTGGTGGACGAAGAAGAGGAAAGTGTTTCAGACGAACAACCTTCGAGTCCGATAGTTTCTCCTAAGAGATCCGGTCAGAAACAGGCGAAGAAAACTTCCATCACACCTGTTTTGAGTAAGAGCAACCGGAGGCTTAAGTCTCTACTGTTGTTTATACTGTCCATGAATGATTTAAAACCGTGCCTTGGTCTCTGTTTTTATTCGTTTAATTTGGATTGTCTTCAATTTTGCAGAAAAGAAAGCCGCAGTAAAAGAGGAAGAAACGAACGAAGCGGTAAGTGAACGATTGGTTTTGCAAAGTGTCTTCATTTCTCGGGTCCTAGTTTTATGTCTCGTATGAAGGGCTTTATTTCTGATCTTTTGCCTATGGAAGCAGGATGCAGGGGTAAAGGATATAGGCAGCGGATCAGCGAACAGCACAAGCACATTTAATTTTTTTTGCTCCGGTAGCATGTCGTTTGTATGGCAATGACTAAGCCGACACTAACATGCGCAATTGAAGAGCGATCCCTTTGTCCTTACAGTCTTATTTGTACGATTAGATCTTATCTAACTTAAAGCCAGGTTAAATTCAAGGGTAGGTTAAATTTCAGACTACCCGGTCACTGAAATATTCCCATCGACTCCTTGGTAAAATAATTGTCAAAGATGTTTTATATATCAGTTGTTTCAACAAGTACTAATAGCTCCATGATAATAAAACTTTTGTGTCATTTGTTATTCAAATTTGTCAACATTAGAAAGGTGACAACCATATTCCTCTGTGGTGGGTTACAGGAGTCGTAAAGGTAGGAAAGCAAGACAGTAAAAACACATTTCCACAGAAACATGAAGCCAGCCCAATTGGATTTTAACTGGTTTCAAAAAAGCTTTGTGTCTTAGGTGAAAGACCCTCGTAATTGTTAACTTTGACCATCATGAAGGAATAACTTCAAATCAAGTGGCCCGCTTTACCACTGAAACTGAAAGTATATTTTCATCGGCAAAATGGTTTTATAGGAGATTATGATTATGTGAACTGATATGGTGGTTTTAAGGAAATTCAGCGATGACGATAGCCATGCCAACCAGGGTTTCGAAGTGACTACTGAATTAATCTGATGATTTCTTTTTGAAAGGATGAAGAAGAGAAAGAAAATGTAACTCAAGAAGATGAAACAGAGGAGGAAGGAAATGGAAATCTCATCACTGAAGAGGATTTCAAACAGGAACATGCAGACAGTGAGGAAGAGCTTGACAGCAATAAGATTGAGGAGTCCATTGATACCTCCAACATTAAATCTGAAGATGTAGAGAATGATGAGAAGCAAGACGCTGAAAAGGATGTGGATGATTCACCGTTAATCGAGAATGACATTAAGCTGGAAGATTTGGAAGAGCAAAATGATGTAGATGAGAGTAAAGAGGTGAGAGGGTTTCCTGTGTTAATGTTCACCATGAGCATCCAAGGCCTTGGTTCCTGAAAAGCCATGAAGAGCTTATCTAGGATTAGAATTTTAATCCACAGTTACATTTACTTACCTGTAGAGTGTTCAAAGTAAACTTTTGTGTTATCATAACTTGATCTCGAAGTAAGGCCTCTGACGCATTAGTTTTAAGCTCCAGTTACTCCATACTTGTTTTTATTATAGTTAGGGGAAAGTGGAAACTAACTTGACACTTGCCTGTTTGTAGACTGAAGACAAAGAAATGGTTAAAGATGAAGAAACTGAAGGTAAATAGAGTTCTAGATGCTAACTACAGTACAGGCCACGGGCATTGCAGCATTTCACACTTCTTTCATGCGTGGAAATCAGCCATATCACACACAAATTCCACAAGAAAAACACGAGTGAAACACTCGTGTAAAAGTATACATGCTAAGATACACAAGAAAATACACGCAAATTAGGAAAATTGGGTGTAAAACTTAACATGCAGATTGTTATAATTTACATGTATTCTGTTTACTTTAGTTCTTACATCGCTGGCTGAGCGATTGCAGTTGTACTTTTGTTGGTGGCTTTAATTTGTTAGCATAAATCAAAATTTTGAGGCACGTTCAAATGTTAGTACTTTATGTTATCGGGGCTAAAAGTGATCAAAGTTTTTTGACCAAATGAACATTGTTTTTAATTATTTACATGTTCTTCGCTTGAATCTTCATTTGTAGACTTCACAGAGGTTATAAAAAGGTTTCAACTAAAATCAGTTTCAGTTATCAATTCGCAACTATTTTGATGGACCAACTACTCTGTAATGTGATGCAGTAATGTACATCTCTGTTCAGGTGAAGGGTCTCTTCTACACGTATTTCGTTTACAGCTTTTATCTCCTGCTTATATTTAGCTCGCTGCTTTGAGTTTTCTTCTGCAGCAGTCTCCTTTCTCCTTCCTGCAATGTAGGTCCGAAATGAGAAAAGACTTGTTATTTTGGCAAGAATCTAAATTTCTTTTAGCTCGCAACACCGGCGTCACTCAGTCGCGTCATCCATCTACGTTTAAGCAAACAATCTGGCGTTACTGCAAGGAACTAATTTTAGTTCTGGGGTTGTAGTTTTACTTGTGAAGAAAAGGTTTTTTTTAAGGTCTGTGTTTTCAGCAAAGAGAGTTTAATCCTTGTCAAGGACAAACAAATTAACATGCTGCATTTTTATCATTTACACAAGTTTCTATTTCTAGAAAAGGTATGGAAGCAAATTACTTCAAATGTTGTCTATTTTTAACAGACGGCGCGTCACAAATAACATGCAAATTCGGAGTGAAATTGTATCCAAGTTTAGTAACGCATTGAAATTTTTAAGCAACAACTAAGGACATATCATGAAGCTCGACAGTAATTCAATGTTAGAATAAAGGCATATGTAAAAGAGAAACCTTGTGTGGTCTGTAAAATTTAGTGCCGATCGTGTGAAATCCTGGGGCAAAATCAAACCTTCTAGTCACAGGGTGCAAAGAAAATCATTTTTACAGCTTGCCATTCGGGCAAGCTGAAGCTAGCATTTACTAGCCCAGACGTCATTTCAACTAGCCCCAAAATCTTTTTGACGAGCACAACTGATTTCACTGTTCTTCTGTGATTCGAATTCTTCAAAAAACATCACTTGCCCGTCGGGCAAGTTAAAAACAGAATTCGCTAGCCCAATAGCAAAATCCACTAGCCCCAGGCTATCGGACACTACTTTCTTTGCATGCTGCAGTCATCCCAATTGTTCGAACCCTCGCTAACTTGAACATCGCACTTACTCAAGTCGATCCCCCTTAAAATTCCTTCATACAGCCAGTTACTGTAATTTTACCCTAGCTAACTCGAAGTAATTTTTGTTTCCCTTCAGACCATTTCCCTACAATTTTACCCTCGATAACTCCAACCATGTTTTTAGGGCGTATTATAAACAAGTCTGAAAAAAAAAAGGTGTACTGAAGTCCGAGTGCCTGCTACGCAAGCTAAAAAATTGAACTTATTTCAAAACAACAGTCATGGCAAGTTACATGCGTCCAGGTTTACATGTAAAATAGCGCTTCAGCCAACAGCCAAGGAAATCGTTGATTACAAAACATGATGTTCGCGATCGTAGCATGATCATAGCAAGACAGGTAAGAGAAAGTATATAGTAAGGTGTTTTCTTTTTCACCGCGAAAAGACGTTTTTGCACAATGTCGGTTTCTAATTTTACATCAGCCACATTTGATGTTGTAAAGAAATACACACAACTTGCATGTATTTTTCTTAGCAAAATCAGTCACCGTAAAAATACAAGTTTCAAATTTGCGTGTAACAAGTCTGTGTGTAAAAGCTCATGTAAAAATTTACACGTGTTTTTTTGCGTTGATTTTTCGTGGAAATCCGCCATATTGCAAGCAATTTATGCACGAGTAAGTGCTGCAATGCCCGTGGCTTCTACTGTACTGTGCTCACAGAAATATAATGTCATTATTTTAGTAGGAGCCTGAAACAATCTTTTTAGGAAACAGCCTTGCACTGTTTCAAGATTTTGCTTTCATCATTCAGTTTTTCAAATTTTCCGAATGTCTTCATATTTACAGTTACAAACTGTTTTTACAAAAGGTACTGAAACTAAAGAAACTAAAGAAAAATCTGAATCTGAGGAAGCAATGGATACATCAGCGGCCGAAGTAAGCCTTGAAGATTCAAGTGACCAAGCTAAAAATGATCAAGAGGAAACTGTTTCCATGGATACATCAGAGTTAGACTCTAAAGAGAACAGCTTGTCAGTGTCATTATTTGTTCACACGGATGACATTCAAGATGACCTGGATGATGATTTGAAGGAAGCCGCTGCGGCTGCTGCTGCTAAGGAAAAAGAAATGAAAGAAGAAAAAGCTGCCGAAGGTAAACAAAAATCCTTCTCTAATGTCTGTGGCTGCTATGCTGCTCAGGTGCCTAAGTGAACTGAGGGAGTCACGAGCGAGTGTGAAGGTAACCATAACAACCCTGTCAGCAGCAACCACCAGGCAGCATCACACTAGGAACCCCATGGCCAGTAGAAAGTGTTCAGATACTTACCAAGAGCCACTCAGAGGGAGGGAGGGGATGGGAGCAAGAATAGTATGACACAACACAAGCAAAGACAACACATGCAAAATGACTTGACCTCTGAATGAGCGCTGTAAAATTGCTGGGGCACTGAAAAAGCCCTGAGCCCACCCCACATACGATTAGCAATGGAGACTGCTGGTCAGCATTGTCTTGAGTTAACCTAGCCTAAATTACATTTAGTTAGTGCCATATTAAAATGTTGCAAAGTATTCGCAGTTTTCTAACTTAACGCAAGCCAAAGACCATTTGTTATAATGCACATCATGCCACTGTCAAGAGGTTGTTACTTTTCACCTTAACAAATAAAGAACAATGTTGTCTGGGGAAGAGTGGGTCAGCTTTTGTTGTTAGGGACGGAGAAGGGGGTCTGTTGTTGCTGATTGTTAAGTGGATGTGTTTTGTATTATTATGTAATTTCAAAGAAGTGTCACACAAATTGGGGGTGCGGGGTGGGAATGTTTGCATAAATGTTTCTTTATTTATGGAAATACCAATTTACACGATTCAGTAATTTTGCAGCACTTTCAAAAATTAAATCGGTCTTAATAGGATGTTTTGATGCCGCGGCCTTGGTTATGAATCTTTGCCTTCTTTTCCTTTTTTGGACAGGTAAAAGTTCATCAAAGGAGAGTGAGACTAAGGCTTCCTCAAAAGATGACACTAAGACAACAGAGAAAGCTAAAGCAGAGGAGAAACCCAAAGAGGAAAGTGCAGCCAAAGGACAAAGGTAACATCCTATAACTTGCTTTAATACTTCTGAGCCTTAAGTACTGCATTAAGATGTAATATTGTTATATAGCTGGAAATTTTTCCCCAACAGCGGTGCACTCTCATTGATCACTTCGAGGTCACATGACATCTAACAGTGCACTGTTACCCGCGATTGTTGACCGACGAATGCCAGGTACAGCGAAGTTTATGAATTTTCTCCTTCAAAATTTCCAGCTATGTAACAAATCCCTTTAAGGCTACACAGGACAAAATAACAACTTTGATTACAATGAAAGGTTCCTTAAAGGAACATTAGTGCTCATTGGTTTACCTTTAAGGAACCTTTTATCAAAATTAAATTTGTTATTTTGTCCTCACTGGTCCCTTGGGGTAACAGTTGGTTTTGTTGCCCTTGAATCTCAGTGTTTCCCTCAGCTCTGCCTCGGAAAACATTGAGGTTTTCGGGAAACAAAATTTATCTGTTTTGCGAGGGACCAGTCATTAAGTTTTTATTGTTACCTTTCTGGATACTAAGGACTTTGCATCTGATGGAAAAGAAGGCAGCTCCTGTCCTCTTCACACAACATATTGACTGTAAGCTTGGAGGTCAGCTTAAAAAAACCTAAGGGAGACATATATTGACCTCTCCTTTAGAAATTAGAAGTAACTGAGAGCCTAATGGGGAAGGAAAAAAGTGCCTTAGATATATTATTATTGTTCATATTAGTTATCCACATATCAAAGGTTTGGTGAAGTTTATGTAGCAGAGATGTTGTGGTAATTGTTCGTGGCATGTTTGTGTTAGATTAAGTTTTTGAGACTCGTGCATGTGGCATTCAATTAAAAAATACCTTTTTGATGAATAGATTCCAATTAGTTTTCTAAACATTTTTCTTTGCTGATAAGTTCAAACAGCAAAGAGACTAAAAGCAAAGCCAGTGAATCAAAAGGCAAGGCGGCTGAAAGCAAGTCCACTAAAAGTACTGACAAGACAACAAAAACACCAGCTAAAACTCCTGCAAAAACTCCAGCGAAAAGCACAACGTCTGCAAAGGACAAGAAAGAAACTGGCAAAAGTCTGTGGGTGAGCAATCTGTCCTCAGTGACCAGAGCTGCTGATCTTAAGACAAGGTTCAGTCAGTATGGAAAGGTGAGTTTGTAAGTTTGACCTCGATGTATGCTGAAGTTTTAAATCTTTCAATTCAAGTATACATTTCTCGTGAGCACCCAGTTTTTAGTTTCTTTCAAGGGGCCTGCCTGCAAGCTAAGGATACCTGAAGCAGATGTAAAAAGCCAACACCCAGAGCTGTAACTAGGCAGATGTTAATGGTTGTTCTCTATTTCTCTTTCAGGTTGTTGGAGCAAAGATAGTTACAAACTCCAAGTCTCCTGGTTCACAGTGCTTTGGTCTTGTTACCATGTCAACTAGTGAAGAGGCTGCCAAGTGTATATCACACCTCCACCGCACAGAGCTCCATGGAAAGACCATTACCGTCGACAGGGTAAACAAAACTTCCCTTATCTTCTACTTCTGATAATTATCACAGATAAAGGTTTCCCTGTGACCACTTGTTAAACTTTGAATGTTTAGTGGAGAAATATGTCATGTTTGGCATCCTGTTAGAACATGTTTTTTCGCCACTTGTCCTCCTTTACAGTGTAGGTGCAAACATCTTTAAGTTTGTGACTGATAGTCTGTTAGTCTGTAATGGTAAGGAATGGTAAATAACTTTCTAAAAGCCAATATGATTTGGTTTGCTGTATGTTTGGACAGGCCAAAGGTGATCGCATACCTACGACACAGTCAGGTAGCAGTACTGCAAAGAAACCGGCAGACAAGAAACAAGCTGCAAAGAAACCAGTTGAGAAAAAGCCAGCTGATAAGAAACCAGCAGATAAGAAGGGTAAGTATTGCACGTTATCTGGGCTTGCTTGCTGGGGGTCACTACACTTTCTCTGCAAGAAATTCTAGGTGTCCCAGACTATCAGACAACTTTTTTTCGAGCCCTTTTTATTCTGTTCTAAGAAGGTGCAGGTTAACTAATAATATTGGAACAACCTTGGTTGCATAATTGTCATATTTAAGGATTTCATCCTCGTTTGAATTAAATTATTATACGTACACAGTATCACAAAAAGTTCTTGTAATGCGTAGAGACTTTGTTTGGATGGAATAAAGATTTGGCCCCAAAGGAAAGGTGACAGTAGGTGCTCAGTATCATTTGATTTGGGTAGTATTAGATTCAGTAGCCAGGGTTTGCAAATTTTATTGATGAGTGGAGTCAGTTTGACTTCTGCTTTACAAATTTTGGAGGCATTTTGGAACATTTGGAGTCAAGTTTCAGACTTTCCAGCACGTGGTCCTGGCATGTATACACTATCGTGAGGGATACACGTAGTAGCTGTGGCGGTCCGCCAACCTGGAAAGCTCAAATCCACTGGCGGTCATCGAGTAAACTTTGATCGTAATTTACCTGTTTACCCTCTTCCTATTTTGTCGTGTATAATTCTTTAATTTCGATGACATAATTAAGGTTTAGAATGTTTACAATTAACGTTAAGTGTATTTGTTACCGAAAATTTGAAGTGACTCCCTCCGTCACCTCAGTGGAGTCATCTGAACAATTTTGGCGCAAAACACGCCAAATTTGGCATATTTGCGAACCGTAGTAGCTCTTGAAGTAGGGTGGCTGGACTAAAGGAGGCATTTGTGTGTTTTACAGCTGATTCAGCGGATAAAACAAAAGCTAAAGCTGATGACAAGAAGCAACCAGACAAGAGTAAAAAACCGGCTGAAACATCGACTGGTAAATCAACAACAGCTACTAAAACTTCTGCAAAAACACCAGCTAAGTCTTCTACCAAACCAACCCCAAAACAACAGAAGTCAGGTCAGTCTGTTAGCTCATTTCTTTATAAATGTGATTTTCTATGTGTTTTTTGCTTGTGTGCTTTGTTTTATCGATGTTTATGTAGTGAATTTTAGATAGTTCGCCATAATATCATGTAAGTATTTTCCTTTCTGTTTTCTCTTATGCATGGCTTCTTTGTGAAATTGTGGAAGGTTCAGGATACAGAATGCTTCGTTTAGCTTCAGGGAACCCCAGAGTTGTGTGACTCATTAGCATCTGCTATTGTCTTGTTTACATAAGCTTCCTTTAAACTGCGTCATGTAATTCCAGTCCTGTGAAGGAATTCCTTGTAGAATCTCACAAAGGCAGTTTTGTGGCACTCTTGTTGTCACTTCTGTGCTTGGTTTCCCAACTGCTCTTCACGCTAAACAAATCAGTTCCTAAAGAAAAAGTTGTTCTTCATTGGTGGGGAGTGAAGCACAAAAATTTGACCATATCAGCTGAATTAGTCAATTAAGGAGAAAACTGAAGGCAAATCCAAAGCCGCCATTTTGAGCGCTGTTCTTCATAGAGAATTGCGCAGGATGCACCCTTCCTGAAGCAGCACTAAACCAAGAAGATGACATCGATAATACCCACACTATAGTCAAAGCCTTGGATAAGGTCCAGTTAACAAGATGCGATTTTTATTCCCAAGACAAGTAACGTTCGTAAAACTTTGGTGCTGGGCGCCAATATCTTGATGCCAGCATGAAGGTCCAGCTTTCCCCAGGGTGATTCCTTTTTTCCTCATAATCTGGAAATGACATTTGATGCGGTTTTATTTGAGAACTGTCCCCTTTGTCATTCCTCTTATTTTATTCAGCCCTCCTTGTGAGTAAGCTAGGTAATCAGTTGCTGCTCAGTTGCTCATAGGAGACTGGACATCGCTCTAAACCCATACTCTTCACGACTCCTATCTACTTAACCTAGCCCAGTTTGTGCTTGTTTTTGAGTATAAATATTGTTGTTTTGTTTTACAATTAATGCTAATCACAGGAAGCACTTCTTCAAGTGGTAAAAAGGACGACGATTCTAAGCGAGCTTCTTCAACAAACAAAGAGAAAAGTGACTCATCCTCTTCTAAAACTTCAGACAAGGAAAAGGAGAAGGAGAAAGAGAAGGAGAAAGACAGCGACAAGGAAAAGGATAAAAGCAAGGAAAAGGACGATAAGAAATCTGCCAAGACCGACGATGAGAAAAGTGGCGATCGCTCATCTCCTAAAATCAAGTCCCTGGACGAGATCCGCCGTGACCGTCAAGAGAGGCAGCGTCAGGAGAGAGCGAAAGAAATCCGAGAACAACGGGAGCGTGAGCGACAAGACAGGCTCAAACGTGAGCGTGAGAGACTTGAGCGTGAAAAAATGCTTGAGCGACAACGCGAACGTGAACGAGAAAGAGAACGCGAAAGAAGGAGGCAGCAACTTATTCGGGAACGAGAGTTCCGCGAAAGACAAGAACGAGAGCGACTCCGACTCCAGCGTGAGATTGAACGACAAAGGGAATTGGAACGGCAGCGTGAACGGGAACGCCGCGAACGTGAAGAACGTGAACGCTTAGAGAGAGAACGCCGTGAACGGATTGAACGTGAAAGACTTGAGCGTGAACGAATTGAACGTGATCGCTTACAACGCATCGAAAGAGAACGCTTGGAACGTTTGGAACGCGAACGCCTTGAGCGTGAGCGATTAGACCGTCAGCGTTTGGAACGTGAACGTTTAGAACGCGACCGGCGTAGTTTGAAACGCCCCGCCGCTCCCTTTGAGCGCGGCGACCCTGGACATGCTCAGAAGCCAGTTGGCTTCTGGCAGGAACCTAAACGAGCTGCAATGGGAGAAGGAAGATCGCGTGACTTTTTTGGTAGTAGTGTGAATGACCGTGACAGGCGTGACCGTGCGAATGTGACTTCTGACAGACGTGACTCTAGAGGAAGTCATCGTGACGAGCCTAGGCAAGCCGCAGGTGGGCGTAGGAGTGAGGAGTGGAGCCGAGCGGATGAACGACGATTGAAGAAAGATGAAAGAGACCGCCGTAGTGATGAAAGCCATCGTGGTGGGCGCGACAAGCCAACAGGGCGTGACAGTGACCACCCTAGAGGATCCCGTGACAGGGGCCTTCATGACAGCCGCAGTAGCCATGAGAGTAAGGCCTGGGCAGTGGCTGGAGGAGAGCTGTCAGGAGCTAATATCGGACTACTGGGAGCGGCGGCCATGGACCCACAGAAAAGATTGAACATCCTGCTGGAGCGTGCCGGTGTTGGTAATATTCTGGGTCCAGGCCAAGCAGTCCAAAGCCACAGCTCGCGCGCTGATCTCGGCAAGTCTGTGGGTGGTATGGACGAACCCTCCTGGCGTGCCCCTGACCCGAGGGACAGTAGGCCTCCCATCCCTCAAGCTGATCGTGGCGCCGGTTTCCCTCACGGAGCGTCTGGACTCTCAGCTCATGTTGATGCGCGGTTCGGATCACTGCCCATGGATGATAGCCACCGCTCTGTCAGTCTTGGAGGAGGGGGAGTGGAATCGAGCAAGCCACCAGCACGAGACTGGCGCGATACGCATGGCCAGAATTTATCGTCACGTGACCGGGATGCCTTGGCTGCTCGAGAACGAGATCGATCACGTGACCGCGGAGCTGAAGTCAAACAAAACTTGGCACGTGCAGGAGCCTTGTACGATGCACGTGACACGCGAGCACCAGTAAGCCGCGACTCTATGCCGCCGAGAGGAGCCTGGGGAACTGGACTGGATTCCCGTCAAGTAGCTAACCCAGCACTCAGTTTGTCCAGTGGCGGGCGACCAATTGTTGATGACAGGTCACGTGCTGCTGTACCTGCCAGGGACGCTGCTCTGCCCCCGTGGAATCAGCCTGGAGCACCATCACTAGCTACACCTGTGGCCCGAGGACCTTACAATGGGAGTGCAGTACCAGGGCCTGACAGGCGACATGCTGCAACAGCTGATGTGAGATATGACCCTTACAAGGCACCTCCTCGTGTTAGTGTGATGCGCCGATACTGAGAGCACCTTGAACTGTTATAAAATGACCTCTTCGAGGCACCTGCTTCTTGTATTCCGAACTGTACATTGACTTCTTCATGTGAAAAACGTTTTTAGATTCATTCATCAAGTCTACCGTGTCGTGACTTATATTTTAGAATAAGGGAGATGTTAGTTTGATCTCTGATCATCAAACGGTTGAACACTGCAAATTGACGTGATCGATTTAAGCATTAAGTGAAAAATATATATATATGATCCCAACCTCGTAAGGGTTTAATAGCAGTTGAGTTCCAAACTTTATATCAGCCGTTTGAGCGTGTTTTATCGCGATGTTAGCCAGTCACCCTACACAGTAAAAGTTTTCGATCAATTTTCAAAAGATTTCAATTTGCATGTTGTCTTAATTTCAGTTTGAAGCTGTTGTTTACCAAGGCATTACTTTACTATTTTACAGTAGTTGGGGATTTAGAATGTAAAATAAAGGTTACAGTCCGCTCAGTATTGCTTCAACCCAACGGTTGCTTTATTGCCGCCTCTCGTGTGTTCTCTAGCTACAGCATTAAAGAGTAAACAGACCCAGACGAGGAAAGCTTCTTAAGGAGATTGCCGGCAGACTTCTTAAACTCTACCGTTACAATCAAGTTTTTTGCTCCTTAACTTGTTATTGCGGGCAGCCAAAGGACCCGTACTCGCGGCGGTAGTTACGTGTTGGCACAATAACCCAAATTTTTGTCGGACTTATCATCTCCCCGTAGAAAGCAAGACGTATCTGCAGTGAAAATTGGTCTTGAACCATTCAGCTTGGTGGAGATAGTTTGGTTTGATAGTGATCTTGAAATGAAGCAGGATGAAGGCTCCGAAGTTAGTTATGTTAGAGTTTCCTTTATGTGCGAACTCGCGTCCGAAGTTCTGTTCAGATTTAAACATTAAGCGATGAGAAAATAACCACAGGCCAGTACTTTAGCTTCCTCCTCGATATACCGTGGTTTCGTGCGTGTTGCAGCGAATAGTATATTTCGGATATTACGTGCCAGTCACATGGAATGGTATATCTTGGAGCTGAGATAATCACGTGTTAGTCATGCGGTATAGTAAAACTCGCTTGTGTTAGTTGACTTAAGCCGAGCAGTTATTAGTATGTAAATTTGTTGATGTTGGTAAGTTGATGCAGGTAACTTGTTTTGTTAACCATTATGTCCCAGTACAGGAAACACGACTGAGTGCTGTTGTAAGGTGAGTTGGTTGGTTCTTCAATAAGTCGATAACCTGGGACCAGGCTCCGCATTGGGGAAAAAAAGGAAAGAAATAATCGCGAGCCGCGAGGTATTTTGGGCAGGGGAAAGGGTGGCGCCTCCCTTTCCCCCTCCCCAGACCATTCCTGGGCTCGCTTCGCTCGCCGATATTTTTTCTATTTTTGTTTTTTGCCCTTTTCCCTACTGCGAAGCCTGGTCCCAGGTTAATAAGTCGAATCCCTAGTCTCCCACAAGGGATTCTTTTGGCTTGTCACGCACAGGACCCTGGAAGGGCGTGATGAGTCATAAGAAGGTGTGCGTTAGGCCGTTCACAGTTTTTGTTGTTCCGTAAGTTTGTCGGGTTCAAGTGCGTACCGTTACCGGCGGCCATCTTGGTTTCAAATTTACTGAATCTTACTGAGTCTAGCTGGGGGATAAATATCAAATCTACTTAGGGGGTGGGGGACATTTTTCGGCCTACCTCCCTGGGTACATATGAAACCAAGATGGCCACCCGTAATGTCAAGTGCTCGATCTTGACGACTCTATGGAAAAACAGGGACTGTGACGTGTGTGTGCTTTGGAAGGTAACTGAACCCATGACTTTGAAGGAAACATTTTCAAGGTGATAATTTCCGGCATTTCTTATGTCAGGTGATTGGCCAAACAGTACTGAGTAGCTTATTTAATCGATTTCCCGGCATATTCTTAGACTTCCTTTTATACCTATCGCCACTACCCCCACTGCACCTAATTTCTCATGCTCTACCCCGCAACCTCATTGCAGCTGGTCAATCCTGTGGCACCAATCGCCATGCTTGAGTGCGGGGAAAAACAATGAGACAAGACAAACAAAGGGCATACATTTGTCTTGTCCCAGTAAATTTCTTACACTTCAGTACAAAGCAGTGGTTTAGGCGGAGATCAAATAAAAGTTTTCATTGGCTATTCGCTAAATGCCCATTGTCTTGCTCCAGTTTAGCGCGCGACGATTGTGGAGAAAAGTGATTTTTCACTTATGCATTTTAGGCCCCAGGTCCCGGTTCAAACGATGGATGGCACTATCTACAGGATAAGTAGTATTAGGAAATCAATTGCGTTGTCCACTTAATAGAGATTCCGGCGGATAGCACTATCCATCTTCTAAACAACTGTGGCCTGGAGTTTTAATCTAGGCTGCGTGCGATTCGGAGCTCAGTGTACGGGCACCACACCTTGAGAAAGTTGCTTCAAGACCGAAATGGGTATACCTTGTAAGGCTGTTGCTGAACTAACCGCAACCAGGTACCTAAAACCTAATGGGAAGCGTAACTGCCAACATGTGATGTTAATATAAAGAGCTTTACTTGGCTGATCGTCGCACTTAAAGGCCAACGTTTCATGTTTTAAAAATGTGTGTAGTGTTGCATCAGGATCAGATTTCTTGGGCCACGTTCGGCTACTCTCCATTCCTCAACTACTTTCCATCACCTTTTCGATCCCAGTACCCCTCTTTCTGTGAAATGGTTGCATCACCTTACTTTTAAAATGGAGTGCTTTTGCCCGGAAGTTCATAGCCTGTTCAAAGCGTTCAGATGGTAGGGACAGCATTTAAAAAGTGTATAGGAGAGCACAGGAAGGGGTTGGGCCACTCCTCACTATCTGAACGGCTGGATCAGGCTGGGAAGTTCATAAACTAGTAAAACATGCGTACTGGAGAAGGGTGGCAGCGGGTGCGAGAACTAGAGTATGGTGAGCTCTTATTGGTCAAATGAAAACGAGAGTTTTTCTTGTGTATTTGGTAAATTGATATGTTAAGATGTAGATTGTTTCATTTTGCAGGTATGTATGGGCCTTCTTTATCAAGGATGCTGTCATAGAATGCCAATTGTCTTCCTTTATTCGAGCTGTTAGTTGCGCGTGGCAAAGGAATCTGCGCTATTACTAGTTTATGTCGTTCCATTCAACTGTTTGTTTTTTTAATAAATATGGGTTATGAGCATTTATGGCGTGATCGTTTTTCTGTATAGTACCCGGTAAAGAGGGATAGAGAGGGATTCTATGTCCTCATTCTTTCCCAGGACTTTTCTAAATTTTGCTTTCTTTTTTTTTTTTTTTTCTGCCAAAGGCACACGACTCAGTGTCATGCTGGCACATATTTGCGGTTCCTGTAGCTTCACTGAGATCTAAATCGCAGTCTGCTAAACCCTGCCCTTTAGATTTGACTGCTAGAAGTACTCCTACTCGTCGTCAAATATAAAGATTTCTATTCACCAGTAACCCAAACACAAGCCTAAGCTTAAACCTGCAGAAGTCCCTATTTCATCAGTAGGCTGATTTAGAAACAGAACGGGAACATCAGGTGACGACGGCGCGCGGAAATTAAACAACTAGCGTGACCAATGGCACGGCGGCAAATTAGGGACCGAAAGTCGAGTTGAGTCCTCTCCGCGCGCTTTCTCGTCGTCAACTGACGTTCCCATTCTGTTGCTAAATCAGCTTTATAGTACCTCAGGTTAGACTCGTTGAGCATCGGTGGGTAAAAGGTTAGGTCAGCACTACAGCCAAGTGGCCCATCAGGCCGAAGCTGAATCCTATGTCTGTAGCTTGAAATGTTTCTATTCAAGGCTCTTTGCACCTACGCATACCTTGTTAAGGAGAACCCTGTGCAGGTCCGCCCAAAGTATTTCTCTTGACACGAAAGTGATAATGGGCGAACATTGGGACGATAGAAGGGCCCTTGAGCCAAGCAACTAAAATCGGTTGTTCCCGTCCAAACACTGTAGTTGGAACCTTTTGCAATCGATTTTGACAGAGGCTGGATAGTATTCATTTCAACTTCCTCTTTCTCCCGTGCATTTCCTCTTTATTGCCTTTTTTGGTGTGTGTGTGTGGGCAGGGTGGGGGGAGGGGGGAGGCGAAACTCCTATATCGTTCCCGCTCCATGACCTCGCGGCGAATCAAGATTCACTGAGGAAGCTTTGGTTATCGTTTTCCTGCATCTTAGTTGATGGCGACGTAGTTAATGCTCAAACTTGGTAGGCATTGACCCTGAAAAAGAAAATGAAAACGATGCTCTTGTAGTTTCTTTTCTTTTTAATTTGTTCCTGTAAGGTGCACGAGTGGTGAGGGTGGAAACATAGTCTATCCAGAAAGTCGGAGCGCGTTCCACCCAGCTCGATCCAAGACTCCTTGCCTTGACAAGTTGGTTAAGTCATTCGCCTTTGAAAAGTAGCGCGGGGACTTAGAAGAGGACCCCCACTCCCCTCCCCCCCGCTCCCTGCGCTTTTCGAGACTCTCTGGTGCCTTTGACCATAGTTAATTGAGTGGAATGGTTATGAAACCCGTCAGACTCCCTTTTTATATGTTTTTGTGGACCTGAAAGTGCATAACGTTAAAAAGAATTCCTATCATTTTGATTGTATTGACTAATAAAAACGTTGCATTAATTTATTCCGTAACAATTTGCCAACAGAAAACAAAGGATTGTGCACTTTCACGGTACTTCTAACATAACCTGCAGCACTGTTGTTTTTATCATTGATGTTTGCCGTTTTTCATAACCAGTCTCGTCTAATAAATATGCTTTGACTAAGCGTGAGGTCGAGTTGACAGTTGAATAAAATCACAAAAATGGATGAGACCAATATCCAGCCATTTTGGCCGAAAAAATGTGGTCATAAAGAGTTACTCTATGGCCTAGCTGCTAAGATGTGAATCTTGACTAAAACACCACACGGGTACATACGGCTATTAAACATACGAGTAACACACGGATACATACGACTACACATAAGAAGATCGGGTAAAACACGGAAACAAAATGCGGATTACCCTGCGAGCAGTGGTTTCTCCAAGCCGGACGCTACACTACGAAGGGTTACCGTTAGCGTAGCGTTCGGCCTGGAGAAACCACGGCCTCGGAGGGTGAATGCGGATATGAATCCGTTTTAGTTTTCCTAAAACTCTGAAAATTTTGAAAAAAAGCGTTAAAAAAAATTCCAGTTTTAAAGTAAACCATACACATGTTTCTTTCCAGCCATTTTTAACAATTTCTAAATTAAACGGGCATAATTTAAAATTATTCAAAATTATGGGCAGTTTTGTTGTTTTTGTTGGTGTTTTTTTCCATTTTCATGTTTTTTCCCCAAATAAGGCGTGATTGGCTCATGCGATCATAAATAGTCAACATGAACGTAACACGTTCATACTTGTCAGTGATGGTAGGTTTCCATGGTTCGCTATACTTAATATATCACGTGATCTGAAATACAGTCGACTCTGGTTTTCACTAGCGACGGAGTCGGAGTCGTAAGACTGGAGGAGCGCTTATGTCCTTGTGAAAGTTAAAAATCGGATTCGTGAGCGGAGTCATAAACGCGACGGAATCGGAGTCAGAAGAATCAGAACGTTTCCATTTTTCCCGTCTCCGCTTACAACTCCGTCGCTTACGTTCCGCTTATAACTGACCAGATTGTCGGAGTCAGAAGCAGAAGCGAAAGGATAAACCAATCACATTGCACATTTCCACGCTTTTGTGGTTGGTTTAGTTCTCAAGCTTTGAGACTGTCAAAATTAAAATCTTGAACTCTATCCTTGTCTTGACGGGCAATTAATGTAGTTCTTTCAAGGGAAAAACAAATGCTGAGGGGGGCCAGATAAAAGTGAGTTACAGTAATCAGTTCGAGAAGTTAATGTATAGATTTAGTCAGGGCTAAAAGCGGAGCCCTCCATAATATTTGTACTTTGTTCAAACAAAATATAAAATCGTGTAATGCTAAGGGTTCGGAAAAACGGGCAACAAAAAACATGCAACTTGTTTTGCAACATTCCTGCAAAAGGAGTTGCGAAGCGACGTTGCGCGTTTTACCACCCTCATCAAACCACAGGCACCCCAAGCTCACGTTACGAGTGTGTTAATTAACGTTCTCAATACAGAGCCGGTGTCGCGTTACAAGCAACCGTTTCGACTTTGTATGAGAAATAAAATACTGAGGTCTGCGAACGCTAAACATCATTATTCTTACTTATTTTTCTATAAAATAAATAAAGGAGACTTACCCTTGGATGTATTTCTGTGTTTTTTGGTGTGAAATCATCGATTTAGTCGGGTTTCTTGGCTGATATTGTTTGGGACCAAAGTTTAAGTGAAACTCAGATTTTCGAGAACAAACTCCGATTTTCGACAAAATAAACACCCGGACTTTTAAGTCAAACTCAGATGTCCCTTTAAAGCTTATTCTGTGCAAATCAGACCCTAAAGAGGCATTTTTTAAAACATTAAAACGTGTACGCCTGAACCCTAAACAACCACAAGAAAACAAAAAAGGTAAGCTTTAAAGAGCAAAATTCAATGCTCTTTTATTTATAGAGCAAGGAATATTTTTACGTAGTTTTCATACAAAGTCTTATAATTATTGCCGTATGAACAATTAGGGCCTGTTTACATGGAGTGGGGGACCACGGTCTAGTGGGGTTGGTTTCTTTTGTTTTCACGCTCTGGGGGACACAAAACAAAAGAAACTTACCCCACTAGACCGGGGGTCCCCCACTCCATGTAAACAGGGTCTTAATCAGCTAATGTTGTTCAGGGCTCTCCTGTAGTGATCTTTGGTATCCTTAAATTTCGCCCATATTTGCGTGGAACTCTTTTAAACTTGTTAAAGCCTATTTCCCTTGACCAATGTTAGCAATTATTGCGAATAACGAAAAATAAAGCTTTTAATAAACGTTTTTATATAAAAATATTCGAAATTTAGGTAGCGACTTTTTGGATTTTTGGCAATTTTAGCAACTTTGTTGCATTTTATATTCCAGTACTGCAACTTTCGCATTTTAATTACCGTGTAGTTGCTAAAAGCCGGTAGGAGCCGGTTTGTCAAGCTGCTACGCCTCCGTCACACCCCCAACCCGCCCACATCAAACTGGATACCAGACTACGCACGTCCACCGCAACTTGATGCTTCGAAGGGCTTACACGAGTATGTACATTTTTCTTTTTCAGAAAACGAGATCAAGACGATTGTGAATTTAGAATCAAGTGGGATGCATTATGAGCGATAAGAAAAGTAAAAAAAAAATCAACGTCTCAGGTTATGAAAACAAACCACGCGAGACGACACGTGACAGGTTAAAGTTCGACGCGGCAGCAACCGCGGAAACGGGAGTCACGGAAAAACTGATGTACATGTAAACGACGTGGTTAGTTGTAGCGATTATGGAAGTCAGTGGCACAAAATGTTTGCGAGAATCAAGAGTGTTGGTGTTGTATACTGGAGGAACAATCGGAATGAAGAAGATCGACGGAGGTAAATGAATATGCATCTCGGTTCAATTTCAAAGTATAAATGGCCGGTTCTAAGTAAGGTCTGTTATGTTAGCTTGTATTGCAAAGTGGCTCTTGTTTAACTTGTTGTATCTAGAAACGAAATGAAAAGATGAGGATTCACGGAAACGTTTCTTTTTTTATTTAGCCTATCATCCCAAAACAGGCTTCCTTCAGTCACAGATCAAACGGCTTCCTATGCTGTACGATGATGAATTCATGAATGAACGATCCACTTGCGAAGCAAGCGACAACTGCTCGCTAGAAGAACTTGCTATGCCGTGAGTTTCTCGTGTATTGTGTTTATACTAAAGAATTTTTTTAGTTTGTTTGAATATCTGTTCAAATCTTTCACTCAGAAAGTTAGCTGGTAAATTTCTAAACAGCCCAAACATTATGTTTTATGTATGGTTGCCCTCCTGGCTCACGCTACCCATTGTGCGACTTGCTGTTTGTTTTGGAGATATATGGATGCATAACTTTAAATGATTCGTGTGTTGTGTTAAATACTCTTCCGCCTGGTTTTGTTTTGTTATTTTTTCACTCAAATGGAAATGATTTTTAAGATTCCTTTTGCTGGGATGTTGAGAAAACTGCTCATGCATCTGTTCTAAAAATCAACTCTGAACACCTTCATTTGACAGATAATAGTATTGCCAGCTTATTAAGCCCCGTCAACAACTCCCATCACTGTTGCATGTTGTTGGGAGTTGTTGTGCAAATTTTGAAGTTTGAAGCAGGTCAAACTTTTAAATCAACCAGTCCCAACATTTCTTTTGTTTGTGTTCAGCGAAGAGTTGCACAACAATGTTGGATCTGTTTGCACAGCTCCTCCAACATTTTTTAGGCCATGCACATGCATTACTCATGGTGTACAATGTCTTATGGCTGTAGTAACGCTGACGGCAATAAACACCTCAAAGAATCAACATTACTCAACAACACTGCTTTGCAAGATGACGGAATAAAATTCATATAAAGCACATGGTCTTGCAGTGAACATATGATGGAAGCATCACTTCCAGTATACTACATCACCCCCTCCACTTTGTAATAAGCTTCACAATACCTTACAGCTAATGTCCAAGGCCCAGTTTTTCGAATGCCAGGTAGTGCTAACCCGGGGTTATAATTTTAAACTGGGTTTCTTTTTCTTTGTATACAAATGCGCTTTCTCAGAAAAATTACTTTCTCTAGTTTTTTAGAGTATCCAATCATCAAATTGTAGGCGAAGAGAATTAAACTGAATCTGCTTTTTAAGCTCTCATATCTGAGTTCAAATGTCACACTAACACTGGGTTGTCTTGACCCCGCTTCGAACAACCCCGCCCAGGTGTCTATAGTGTACCCTTGGCAGCTAGCCATTGAGTTGTCAGCCCATCAAAAGCTCAGCAGGGCGGACAATCATGTCATATTGTGAGGTGTTGTGAGGTAGTGGAAAAGGAAATCTTGTTCTGCTTTCTTCCAGTCTCTCCCTTGTAGATTGGCAATTCTTATTATCCTCAGTAGGGTCTGGTTACAGCGTTTTAACTCCCTGTGGCCTCTGTCCCCTTCTTATGGTTTATTCCCTGGTACTCCAAACAGAACAGAACAAAACAGCCACTTGTGCCAATAAAGACAGTCTAGGGCGGCAAAAGTGGTGATGTCACATGAATCGGGGTGTGTTTTTATTTGGTGGAATGCCATGTTCAGGTCAAGTTTGCTGAAAACGTTTGCCTCTGATATCTCTTGTATGTACTTCCCAAAGGATCGCCAGATTTGCCTGCCTCATGTCTAAACAAATCCGGATGTCACTATTAGGATTTTCCAAGACTACAAAGGGGTTCATCCAGCTAGTTTGTCCACTGACTTTCTCGATGACCCCAAGCTCCTCCAGCTGCTTCAGTTTTTCTGACCCTTTCTCTCTCCTTCTGAGTGGAGTTTGGTTTAATCTGTGCCATTGATGCAATGCTGTCATCCTGGTGTAACTTCAGCTGACAACCTTTTAGTCACCCTAGGCACTAAAAAATTTTGGGAATCTCTGCCTTTTGGTCTACAAATTGGGCAGTTTAAAGATTCACGTACTGTAACAGCTGTTTACATCAATTCCAAGTTTATGTACTGCAAGCATCTCTGAAGTTTTACGATCTAGTAGCAAAGTGGCAGCATTCCCTAGCCTGGTACTACATAAAATTCTGCAACTGTTGACCTGTTGGTTTGTGGCACAGTGATTCTTAGTTTACTGCTCCATTAGAGCTCTAGGGGTTGAAAGTGCGTTCATGTATACACAATTCTATTGCACTTTGCTAAAGCTGTTACTCCCCCAGTAAGAGATCGACTGGCCTTCTCAAGGCGTGCCACTGCCAGTAGCCTATGTGTAGCCGCACCCTCCCCCTGACAGAGAAGGGTGTGACTACACATAGGCTAGCCACTGCCCAGGTCTCTTCCCATCATGTGTGTCCTCTTTGCGTTTGTAACAAATATGAGACCTTGCTATATTAATGTGAAATGTGACATTCTATTTTTTGACAGTATATCAACCCATGGAGTCCGTGTTTTCTATTACATCAAGGAATATTGTCCCATTAAAGACTCATCAAACATGACCATCAGTGACTGGATAGAAATAGCTTTGGATATCAAAAACAATTACGACAGCTATGATGGATTTGTTGTAATACATGGTACTGACACAATGGCTTACAGTGTATCTGCTTTATCATTCATGCTGGAGAATCTTGGAAAGTCTGTTGTGTTCACTGGCTCCCAGGTATGTGTACAGTACTCCAACTTAATGATATGTTTCTGCGAAACTGCTCATCTACCCCTCCCCTATTTAAGTCAACACTGACACTTTCTTCTCAAAATGTTGGCTTAGGGGAGGGGTCGGTGGGCGGTTTCCCAGAAATGTATAATGATCCCTTAATACTGGGTACAGTAGTGATGTGCTGCTTACATACATACTGTGTAATCAATCATTGATCAAACAACCTTCGCAACATCATGATCCAGTGTTCTCCCTAAATTTTGTTGCTCAACAGGTACGGGACCATTTACGGACAGTAAGGCAAAAAATATGCACAGCGGTCCACTTTTCTTTGGGGAGATGGGGGTAGCAGAGTGAGGGACATGGCCCCACCCTAGGAGGAGCTAAGAAACATCATCCCCTCATGTTAAGACCTATTTTACGCAAATCGGCCATAAAGCTATCTTTAGACAACAATGGGCAATTCCAGAAAATATCCATACCCAACCACGGACGGCTTCCATGTTTTAACCCCCGCTTGCCTTCGGAAATTCCAAAATGCGCTACCCCCCCATGCCCTCAGAATTCCATAGTCGTGAACCCCCCCTCCCCTTCAGAATTTCCGGTTTTTTTTGGAAGTACATTTTCGACTTAGCAACGCCTATAAGAACAAACGAACATGAATTTATGCCTCCTCAAGGCTGTGATCTAGCGGCGCCAGGTGACAAGCTTTACTCTTCAGTGACAAGAAAAACCTACGCTAGTTGCCAGGCCGTGCAAACTCCTTTTTAAGTCCGAATTTGGCTATAAAAATAAACACCACTTAAGGTAATTTTACTCCTCTTTGTTTTCTTGTGCTGCTTTGACGTTTACAAAGGAAAATCGCTCAAACAGACTGTTAAAATCTTTTGGCGGTCAAATATACCGTCGAGTCGTGTTGCGTCGTTTTATACGTCATGTAGTGCGCACGAAAAGCGTTCTAATCTGACAGGCGTTCTTGGAAGTGAGGGACTGGTGCGGGTTTTTTACTGTTTATCGGACAGTTTCGGACGGGAGTAACAAGAAATTTGCAAGCGGTATTAAAAGATACATTTTCAGTTTTTATTCACGTGACAAGAAATTCATCAAGGTAAATGTGAAACCAACGTTTTACTATTCACTTCTATAAGTTATGAGCGTAAACACGTGTCTGATCTATCGATGCTTGTCTTCTGCTTCCGCGGTCATACGTTCGTGGTTTATTTACGAACTACAAAAGTCCACAACAATAGCGTTTTCCAGGAACTTACTCTACACTTTCTACTCCAGAAATCCCACCTGTGAAATTCCCCCATACCTTCGGATTTCAAATCGTAAATACCCCCCCATGCCTTCAGAATTCCATAATCGTGAATCCCCCCTCCCCTTCGGAAATCCTTAAAGCCGTCCGTGGTATGGTATGGATATTTTCTGGAATCGCCCAATTTAAAATGTTTGATCCCAATAATTTTATTCTGTGTTCAATGTTCTCTTTCCAAAATACATGGCCCATAAAAAGAAAAGCTGTGTATACTTATAATAAGTACTTTTCTGTATATCCATTCATTTCCTTTATCAGATTGGAAAACAACTTGCATATTTTTTAAAACTTCTTACTTAACTACCGTAGAGTTCCAATAGTAGCGACCCTCATTACTTTTGGAATTGGCAGCCTTTGGGGCTCGCTACTTTTGGAGGGTCGTTACTTTCGGGGGCTTGTTACTTTCAGGGAACAAAATTCGTTTACAAATAGAGCTGGTGCGAGCTTTTTTTCCAATAGTATCCATGGTTTACCGGACTACCACATGGGTGAATCAGCCGATATACTGACTCACAGGTAGAAAGCTAAACTGCTTCGATTATCCTGCATAACGCACCGCTGCGTTTTAGTCTGTACCCTGTACCGGTATCTCACTGTCATTTAATTGGAAGAATTAAATAATAACACGTTCATGTTAATCGATGAAAACTGTATAGAGTTTTCAATTTCAGTTTGAAGAAACAGCGCTGAAAGTTTCGTACGGGAACGTTCCTGTTGTTAATACGAAATTATGCCGGTTTACGGTAGTTCTTACATCGCTACATCAGTGAACTGATGTCAAGGACGAAAGGGGGCATAAAACTTCCCCATGTTGTAAATTAAGGTGCCTTATCGTGAACATTTTGTGACACAGCACAAACATATTGTACATTAAAATTTTGACTATTGATTGACAAATTAAAGGTATACGGTATACAATTTAAAAAACTTGGTCTTGCTACTTCCTGGGGCGGGGGCGTCACTACTTTCGGGAGGTTGCTACTTTTGGGGGGTCGCTACTTTCGGGGGGCCGCTACTTTTGGGATTTACTAGCGGCCACAAAAAATTGACGTTATTTTCGGGGGGTTGCTATCGGAACTTTACGGTAAATTTAGTAAACCTTCAAGAAGTTGCAGGCAGTAAGAAGCGTGGCTTCAGGCGGTAAATCTTACCGGTTACCACCTGATAAGGAGAACGCTGCAATCAATAGTAAAAAATGTTAAATTGTGTGCCCTAGAAAATACACTGTACTCAAGAAAAAATTTATTGTTGGCAAATGAAAATAATTAAACTTGTGAGCTGCCTTGCTATTGGACTCATAATAAAATTACAACTGCAATCTATTGATGATCTTTTTCTGTTTGCACTTTTTGTCACTTTCTGTAGTTTTCATTACTGTCACTTGCACACAGGAAGAACATGTTGTTATTCTAGAGGGCATTTTCCAGTAATGATTTGTATATCGGTATAGGGGTGGATCCAGGATTTTTCTTCGTAGTTACTAAAACATGGAACGACCTAAAACCACCTAAAACCACCTACAACCACCTCAAAAAAATCAACAACCTCCTACAACCATCTACAACCACCTCAAAAACATCTACAACCACTCGCAAACAATCTAAAACCATCTAAAACAGGGTATAAATGTCTGAAATAAGGCGAGACGACAACATGTCACGAACATGAAATACGAGAATCGAACAAAACATCCACCTCCCCCTAAAATCTTACTCTCCCTGGTCCCTTGTATCATCAACCATTGGCTTAAGTCACGAAATGAAATGCGAGATCATGGTAAGTATATTAAAAGACTTAAAGAACTTAACAAAATGAACTATCGAGTCATAAAAACTAATAAAATAAAATAACAAACTCGTAGTCGAAAGACTGACTTGATTTGGCTTTTTCTACCCTGGGTACCAGTGAGACGTTTTGGTTCACGTTTCATTTGTTTACGCAATGGCACAAGGTAGGGTTTCTCTCTCTCTCGGAGTCTGCTTCACTGATGTTTTGTTCCGAGGTGGCGGATTACATTCCTAAGAACAAGTTAATTTTTTTAGCATCTCATCCGCCAAACATGTTTGTACATTCCAGGTGACTCCTTTAGATGAACCCTAGCGTCTTTCACACCCGTTTCCTGTGTCATCACGCAAGGCTAAACTCCCTTGCGTCACGACACAGGAAACGGAGACTAGTAGGTGTAATCAGTGTTAAAAATGTTATTTAAAAAAATCTATAATGCAATGGGCTCAGAAGAAAACAAGTTAAGACGAGCCGAAATTAATAAAAATGGGTTGAAAAATTTTAATAGTGAACTATTTAAAGTAATTTACCTGGATTTTTATATACCTTTATTATAATGATTTGGAACCCAACTTTCACCCCGGCCCTCTTCTTGGGAGTGATGGGATATGCGCGCTTCTTAATTTATACCCTGTTTTAGACGGTTTTAGATTGTTTGCGAGTGGTTGTAGATGTTTTTGAGGTGGTTGTAGATGGTTGTAGGTGGTTGTTGATTTTTTTGAGGTGGTTGTAGGTGGTTTTAGGTGGTTGTAGATGGTTTTAGGTGGTTTTAGGTCGTTCCATGTTTTAGTAACTACGGATTTTTCTTAGGGGAGGGTGCACTACTATTGCATGGCGTAACTGACTGGGACATGATGTGCCAAACTACTATTTTTACGGTGTTTAACATTAATTCTTCAACCTCATCTCATGTTTTACTTCGACACCAATATACCACATAGCTTTTTTGCAGAAATACCAGTTGTATCAGAAAGCCACAGTCACCTATTTTTCTCTGACAATAATATGATGGTTTTTGTTAAAATAATGTGTGTGCTGGTACTGTACATTTTTAGGTACCAATATATGAGCAGCGAAATGATGGTCGTGATAACCTCCTCGGTGCACTAGTTATTGCAGGACACTACATTATCCCTGAGGTTAGTACAGTACAAGTTCTTGGAAAGAGACCTCTTGACAACACAGGGCTGTCATTAAGAGGCAGGAGATTTCCCCCGGCTACTAAGAGTGTGGCCCCTGGCTGTTTTTATTTGAAAATAGAAGAAAAAATAGAAACCAAAAGAAATCCCTAGCTGTTTTATTCCCCGCCTACTTGTTGTATTTACTCAACAAGAGGCAATCTTAGTGCCAACCCTGCAACAACAGCTGGATCGGACCTGATAATTTTGATTAACCTCACTAACTCACAATGATAAAAAATGGTTACGGATGATGTTACAGGGAGTTGTCTGATCCAGTCTGATCCAGGGTTTGTCAACTGAGCCCTTGTAGTGATTGTGTGTGTGATTCAAAATTTCTTTTTCACTCTAGCTCATGCTATTAAAGAGGATTATTTAGAAACATGCTTATTAGAGGATTATCATTAAATGTGCATTTTGTTTTTTAACTTTATTAAAAGGTGAGTCTTTATTTTGCGGGATGCTTGTACCGAGGAAACCGCTCTACTAAAGTTAGTGCTGGAAGCTTTGATGCTTTTGATTCCCCAAATCTTCCTCCATTGGTGACCATGAAGGTTAAAATTGAAGGTAAGAACTGTTATGTTAGCTTGTACCATGAAGTGAAGAATGACCGGCCTTAACCTACCATTTTTTCTATAATACGTGTAAGTTGTTTTCATCTTCAATGATCAGTCAGTGAACAACATAGATGTAAATGACATCACAACAAGCTTTATTGGTTTAGTGATATGATATCTCTCGCCTTAAGCTTTTCTGATTCGCTAGTTTCATTTCCTTAGACAACGCCTATTTTTACGTAGAAAACGCATGGTCTCTTAAGTTTAGCTTTAGTTGGATTTCATCGTCTCCATGTGTACATCGTTGTAGTCTATTTGGATAGTTCATTTTTGGTACTTAGAGGCAAGCGGGAACCGATATGTAAGTACATTTTATCTTCTGTAGTTTTATCTATCTGGCGACTCGTAAAGTTTATTCCTGCAAGAAGTTATTGTAATACTCAGTATCTCGTACCATCACGTGAGTACGCCTTTTTGAGTTTCAAGTAGGTTTTTACCTTTTAGTTCGGCGTGAGAATCTCATTTCTTTTAGTTTATTTAGTTTTCGTGCCTTTGCAAACGTAGTCCGTTGTCAGATTTATTTTGTTAGTTTCTTAGTATCGTATTATTCGCAGGAAGCAACCATTATTGTTTTTGGGAAGGTTTCTTTACTCCTGCGTACCCAAACTTAGTTGCTTTTATCCCTTTCATGAAGTATATTTAGTCTAATATTCTAGTTGGTAAATTTATTATTCCTGTACTCCGATAAGTATATTTCTTTTGTCTTATTACGCGTTTTTGGCAAGGTTTTTATACCGGAACAGCTACGAAAATGAAAATATGATTGGAATGTCAGTAAAATGTTATATTATCTGCTAGCCAAACTATAATTGTAATTGTACTTTAGCTTTTAGTAATTATTTGTTACGTTGCATTATATTTCAGTTTATGGTTCGATTATCGTCAATAAAATCACCATCAAGGACTAGCTCCTAGTTTCGTGATCATAGTTGATTCATGATCGACCAGTAAAATATACCCGCTCACACGGAGTTTCGCCGCCACAAATAGTTTTTAGCCGCGTGACAATTGGCTTCTCCTACAGTCGCAGCGTATCATCCGTTACAATAGAGTTGTTGCTCTGGACAGCTCTGAGCCCTGACTTTCTTACATTCATTATTTTTCCATCTTAACTATAGATCCTTTTTAATATTCCTATTGATACTTGATTGCAAAGACCTCCCTGAGGTAGAAATTAATGGGTTTCCTAAGTTGTACCTTATTCTTACTAATTTTTGCAAGTATAAAATTTCGAGATTTTTGCAATTTTAAAAAATTCGTGAAATTTAATACGTCGCACAAACAAAGGATTGCGTGAAATTTAAACATACAAAATTTAATACCATTTTCAAAAACAAAACTATAGGAGTTTTAAAAATGTTCTGAGTCTGGGTGTTTTTTTGAACTGTGCACACTTACTGAACATCTCAAGTTGCGTTTTAAGCACTGACCTGTATGATATACATTGCATGGACTGGGTACACAGCAAGCAGTTATGTTTTGTCGTGTTCAAAAGGTTCTTTGTAGAGCAGTTGTAAGTTAATGATGTTTCTTTGAAAAAGTATATATCATAATATGTTATACTGATTTGTGGCAAGTACCCTCTGCTCAGGATGCTATTTCATAGACATGATCAAGTCTGAATATGCAGTGGCGAATCCAGGGGAAGGGACCTTATTTTTAGACCAAACTGAGGCCCAAAGGGCCGAAAAAAATTTTTGAGACCCCCCATTAGGATAGGATAGGATAGGATAAAATAAGTGCTTTATTATCAACAGAGCGCCAACAGACACATGTGTTTACAACGATAACGAAGATTTTCGTGCAATAATTACAGAGGTGTACATTTGTAAAATTTATACAACTATTAAACAAGGTTATATTTAACGCGTCTATGTCTTTCGCGGAAGGGATCATATACGTATTTAGCCACAATTTTTTGTCTTTTCTCTCCTTGCTTCATACTTATCAACGTTGTAAAGGCAGAGCTTGGAGTCATAGAGTCAAGAATAAGATTAGTTTCCTTTTTTAGCGTATTGAACAGCTCTCTCCTAGGATCCCTATAGGCTATGCAATTCATCAAAAACTGCTCCTCGTCTTCTAATCCAGTTTTACACAATGGACAGATTCTTTGGTCTGGTGGTTGATAGGGTTTAACGTATCGTCCAGTTTCAATTGCTAGTTTGTGGTTGCTTAATCTTAGCTTTGTGATTGCTACTCTATGATTGATGTTTCTTACATTTGTGAGGTAATTTTCATAGTCATGGGTAAGTTTAAATTTCCTAAAAGTTCTTAGTTTGTTTTTTTGATGCGGGTCCTTTCGTTCATCATTGTGTATTTTGCTAATCCATGTTTGCTGTTCTATGTCTAAGAGTCTCTGTCGTATATAGTTCATGATTGCGGGATTGTTAGTTTTTGCTGACCATATGTCGCCAAGACCTGCGAGATTCAATTGTCGTTTTCATTATCTAAGGGTCTGGATGACCAGGCCCCACTTACCTGGAGTGGTCTGGATCCACCACTGATATTTAATATCACTTTGAATTTATTGTTTTCTTGCAGTTCAATGGGATGCAATATTCCGTTCAAACAACAGTAAAAAATTCACCGTTCACACCAACATGAATCCTAACATCGGCTTGTTGCGGCTGTTTCCTGGCATTACAGCTGAAACTGTGAGTGAAAATTAAACATTTAGTGTCCCTGAAGTAAGCATTTCTGTATTTTCTGAGGAGAGTCATTAGCCAAACCAATCTCAAATAATAAATGGCTGCAGGTCCAATGCAATATACTGCAGTCCTGTATTTTGGATTCTGCCATCTGATCTCCAAAATAGGAGGACTGCAGAAAGACCACACTTGAAGTGGTCTGTACCAGTCACATGGTCTGGTCAGTGTCCTCAGGTCTATCTGCGCTCATAGCTTCATTATCCTTGAAATGCTATTTATAGATAAGGTACCCAAAATTCCTTAATTTATCTCCAACCAACAACTATTAGTATTCACAAAATCAGTGGATAGTAATTTTTTGTGCATTCTGATTGGCTTCCATAATTCGGAATATCGTTGGATATTCACTGTTTTGGGATGGGATTCAAAATGGCTTCTCGTTTCACGACAGTTTTGAAAGATGAAATTTTAGTGGTTAATGAAGCAGCTGCAACAAAAAATACCAAGAAAGGGAAAAAATTTGGCTTATTGGCGTTTACTGGTAGAAAAAAATTTTCTTACTGAATTTGCAACAAAATCGTAAAAAATGATCCCTGAAACACTGTCAATTGCCACACAAATAAACTCTAACTAAGTGACATCTTTTACTTAGAAAAAGTTCCTTTTTCATTTTTATACAACTGGTTTGGTAAATACTAAAACAACTATCGCCATCAGGGTCTGTTCATTGTGCTAGATATATACCTCGATGCTTCATGTCTTGGTATATTACCCACCACTACAGGGGCAGATCTAGGGGGAGGGTGCAGGGGGTGCGCACCCCCCTGCCACCCCTGAGATGACCTGCGGTTTTCTAATACAACTGGTATTTCTGCAGAAAAAAAAGACTATGTGGTTTATTGGTGTTGAAGTAGAGCAAGAGATGAGTGCACCCCCTCCAAAAAAATATCCTGGATCCGGTCCTGCACTATTCATCTCCCCTTCTGGGGATAGTTGTATATTATCAGGAACGTTTTAGTTCTTCATGCTTGTGATCTCTCTTTTAATCTCTGATCTCCTTTTTTGTCCCGAAGCAGACTGAACTGCCCTTTATAGCCGTCATTCCCATACCATAAATGACCTAATAAAAGCCCACTTCAAAATAAGCGCCTCTCATCTAATAAAATTAATGCCCCCTTTACACGGTTAAAATTTTATTAGACACCCCTCTCTAATGAGCAAGGATTCTGACATCAATGTTGGGATTTCAAAGAGTGATATAATTCACTAGAAGGCCTAGACGTATCAATTGATGGAGTGGACATTGCACTATTTTTAAACCCTCTTGATATTTTCACCGAATTAGTTTTGCTAAGATACAGTAACTAGAATAAAACGCCTCTCTCTTTCAAACGTCTTCTATCTATTTCATGTCCCCACTTGGAACCCTAAAATAAAATAGACACCCCGGGCAGTTATAAGGTCATTTACAGTATGCATTTTGCTTGATTATCCCCCACTGTCCTTCCTCCCCTGGGGTTGAAGTGTGGGTGTATGTGGGAGGAGCCTGCAGTATGAATAGAAGGCCATATATATTTTCTAGTATTTGTTTTATTCATTTAACAGGTGCATGCATTTCTCAAGAGCCCCATGATGGGCGTGGTCTTGCAGACTTATGGGACTGGCAATGCTCCAAATAATCGTGATGACTTGATTACTGAAATAAAGAAAGCTACCAAGCGTGGTGTCATCATTATAAACTGCACACAATGTCTTCATGGACCTGTTGTTGATCAGTATGCCACAGGAAAGGTTAGTTTAAAAATAATACAAGTTTTTTTGGTAGCATTTGTGCATGTAAATGTAAATTTTACAGACAGTAAGTGACAAATGAAGGGTGCACGTTATTTAACTTTCCTTCCTAAATTCCTCGCACTTGTGTGGGAAACAAAATTATTCTACGTAACATCATGTAGAAGCCGTGGATCAGAAGTCTGGTTCAAACCCCAAAACCCTCAATGGCAAAAAAGACATTTTTTTAGAACAACCTGTATCATAAATTTGTTGATGTACAGTGTAGCTTACCTAGTCCTAAGCCTTGTCTGTGTACGGCGTTTTCCCAGTCCCCATCGGTCAATTCATTTTTGCTTGGATCACGTGACCCGAACGGAAGTAACGAGGCCTAGGGACTAGGCAACAGTGTAGCAAATATAACCACTGTCAAATCAAATAGGAGTGTAATAAAAGTGAAGGAGATAGTTACAAATGATAACTTGTATCCATCTTTAAACAAATTCGTGTTATTAAGTGGAGGATGAACGGCTTTTTGACACCAAAACAGGGGGGGCTTTCCGCAGTTTAGGGTCGTTGGTGAAAAAAGCAAGTTATAACACGGTTTCAGTGCAAGTTATAGCTAATTGTATTTCTTTTCCAGATTCTATTAGATGCGGGAGTGATTCCTGGCTCGGATATGACCCCTGAAGCAGCTCTGACAAAACTGTCCTACGTGCTGGGAAAGACAGATTTGAGCTTAAACCAAAAGCAAGAGGTATAACCCTATGGTTTTATGGTGATTTTACACGGGACGATTCACAACGACGATTTTTACCGCAACACAGCGTTGCAACATTGTTGCGACATTGTTTCGAATAGTTCCAACATTGTTCCAACATTGTTCCAACATTGCAACGATGTGTTGCGCTGAAAATCGTCGTTGCGGATCGTGTAACATCACCTTTATGCTTGAAGATTTTGAAATCGAAATAAGAATGGAAGAAGAACAAATACAGAAAGCATTCAGTGATCTGTAATTTAATCCTGAGGGGGCCTTTCTTTATATGGGCTTTCTTAATAATATAGGTACAGTCAAACTCAGCTTTACCGACACCTACTTAATATGGACACCTAATCATTACGGACAGTTGTTTTGTCCCTGGGAAAAGAAAGCCCTTTCCTTCTCTCTAAATTCATCCCGCGTAATACGGACACGACGTTAACATGGACACTCTCTATGGCCCCGTTAGTGTCCCTATTAACGGGGTGTTGTTGCTGCGGAGCGACCGAAGGGAGCGAGCAGCAACGTAATCAGTAGACTGCGAGCAGTCTCTCTTTTTCTTCCACGCGCGTGGCCATTTGCGTGTCTCGCGTTTTGCTCGATGGACTACAGAAAAAAGAGAGACTGCTCGTAGTCTACGTAATCAGGATTTGAAGGAAATATATAAGGGGCGACGAATTCTCGAATTCATCACTTTTTACAACAATGCATTGCATTTAACCAGAGTGCATTGCGCCACGAACAACTCAAAGAAAAACACGGGGAAGTTCGGTGGGTGAGAGAGTGCATCGTTCGCTGCTCAGACTTAGAGTTTTCTTTGTGGCAAATTTTCTACAGCACGGTTAGAGGTCTTACCAAATTTTAAGACACGCAGGAGTCTTTCAGATGAGTACGATGGTTAACTTGGGGATTGGATTTCAATTCAAGAGCCTTTTTTGACTCGTCCAGGTGTTAAACCTGACGAGAAGATGAGCATTTGCTCTTCGACTCCGCAACACGGGGGATATACAAATTCCAGCTTGCTAGAAGGTGATGTGAAAGTGAGAAAATGTCATGCAGTGCTATTCTTAAGAAACTGTATGAGCCGAAAATGGATGTGATTTTGACCATTCGCTTCAAGACCTTCAAAATAACAGCGGAAATCGAGATAACAAAACCTATGTTTTGTGTCCTACTGTGCAGACAGGGACGTGTATCGGCGGTTTGAAAAGCATAATTATGTTCTTTCATTCTTTCATTACCATGGAATATGCGTTTACATTGTTTTTTCACTGTTAATAGCTCGGTTAATGCGGCTGGCGATCATCTTGCCGGCGGAAGTTTCATGGAAAAGGAATAAAATCTAGACTTTTCCTAAAATTTACGTAATCAGCCTCTGTGGTGTAGTGGTGAGGTGTAGTCGCGCCGAGCCGAAGGCGCAGGGTTCGAGTCCTACCGAATTCTTTATTCCTTCCTTCTTTTTTTTTCCGTTTTTTGTGTTGTTGTTTTCTATAAATATATAGCTAAATAACTGTTACTTAATAAAGTGCAACGCAGCAAGAAAAGTATTGTGTTTCCAGAGAAAATATCGTGCACCGTATATTAAATATATGGATAAACAATCTGAATTTCTATTATTTCCTACAATTTACTGTGGGGAAAACCAGAGTTATAACCACTTGATCATTTTCTAAACAACGTTCCCACGAGTTCTTTCTATAGACTGATAGAAAATATTCTAGTACTTTCCAACATTTAAATAGGACATTCAATGTCATTTTCGATTCTTTAAAGTCTTGCTGCCTAACTAATGCCAGTATCAACAGAATGTGCCGCAGCATTACTATCTTTTAGATACCCTAGTTTATATGTGCAACACCTAAGGGCATAGTTTTTGACCCCTATACAACTGTAGGTCGATTTTAACAGTTGAGGTCTAGATTATGGTAGAAGATTTTGCGTTCTGTAATTTTCTGTATCGATAAATTCGTGTGCGTCTTTGTCTCACGCGAGGGAGATAAAACAGAAAGTCGGCCAATTTGTTTCAAATTTAATTGGCCTATTAGGGCCGAATTAAGGTGGCTAAACACGGATAAGCAGGAGGTCAGGGGCAACTCGCGTCACGGCGCGTGTTTTAAATGAGACGAACAAACATGGCGGCGAAAAAAGCAATTATAGTACACAGAAGACGATTTCTCAAAATCTACTCATTAAATTTTGTAATATTGGGCAGAATTTTTACTTTTATCGTATTTTAAATAATGAGGACTTTAAAATGGAAGTTGAACAGACGAATTTTGTGACACATTTAATAATTACAGTACAATTATATTATTGATTATCTAAAAACCCGTCTGTTAAAATTTGGTCAAATAAATTTCAAATGGTAATGATTAATTATAGTAAGCTGTGTGCAAGTTTATAGGAAAATCTAATGAGTGAATTTAATGTCAACTGGGCAAAAGAGAAATTTTAAGGTTGTATTCAATCGTTCATGTTGCCATGAAAACTACGAAAACGTCACATTTTACCTGTCAATCAAAATCTTTCATCAGTATATTTCTCACTTGCCAAGTTTCAGCTTGTGAGCTACAACCTTTCTCTTGCCATGATTTGGCAAATGACATATACTCACAAACTGCCAAAACTGTGTTCAGCCGCCTTAATCTTCGTCCCGGAGGTGTATTACATTTAACCCACCGATTAGAGTCAGATTAGCGCCAATCGGGCTTTGAGCAACGCAATCTAAGCGTGGATTAGATTTTAATCGCCGATTAGCATATTTAATCGTGGATTAGCGCTACTCGGGGTTTCGAACAACCGGGCGTTTCGTATCTATCAGAGATATCTATCCACAACTCATCTTGTTCCTTGCTATGCATGCAACGTTGTTATGATTTGATTCCTTTCAATGTGATTTTAAATCACCTTTGATTTTATGGTTCATTTTATAGTTGATTCGAAATAACATCAGAGGAGAACTCACCGTGGCCCATACAAAGGAGCAGTTTTCTCTCAAGGATAACTCATTTATTGAGGCTGTCGCTTCATCACTGAAAATCAGCTCCAGCAAGGTGAGACTAAATTGAGTGGCGCCCGCAAGAAGTTTACTTTCCAAGTTAATAATAGCCTACGTGTACCGCTATTCCAATAAGCGCCGCGGCGCTAATTTAGGTATTTACAAATAAACGCCCCGCCTTTGTTACGGCGCTTGATATAAGAGATGTCAAAACCATATCGCTAGAGGAATAAGACCACGACCAACTCTCTCTCTCTCTAAATTCCCCTCAGTGTTTTACCCGTAGTTGAAACAAGCGCTGCACCTTTAACAGGGAAAATGAAATGAGCGCCGTGGCGTTTAATCGATAATTTACAATAGCTGCAACCTCCTACGACGAAAGAAAAACGGAGAGGGAGGGACAGGTGAAATGGAGTAAGCTCGGAGTAAGCTCCATAACAGAAAACGATTTCGGGTGACGAACGATACAAGATCCGTGTTTTATTCTTTAGATTTAATTTTGAATATTTGCCTGGACTTACTCGTTTCGTCAAAATCGCGCGACTTGTCATTACGGGACAGCCAAGCTCGCCAGTTTAGCTGAGATTCCGGTATCAAGATGACTTGATATTAAAATGAAAGTCATCTAGGCAAATCTACCCTGGGTGCCAGAGGTTTTTCTCGAGTGGGGTGGGAATTTTCGGTGTTGGCCGAAGGCCGACACATCGAAGCCGGAAACAGGAAACCGGGCTAGAAAAGTCTCTGGCACCCAGGGTAAGGTAAATCAAGCCAGCCCAGCTTATGTAATCAGGTCCTCATTGTAAACTTCTGAGAAACTTACAAAGCAATTAATAAAGATTTTCTCGTCTGTTTTTAGGAAATGGAATTTGTGAGGCAAGCGTTACTTCCAGTGCTCATGAGCTGTGCAGCAAGTTCCGGGAATGTAGAAACACTGGAAGAGTTAGTCAATCAGGTAGAGCTTTTCTATAAAGACTATGCAGCAGCCCTTAAGTTTTCCTCCTTCAGGGCGTCGCCGCTGGCGTGTTTCGCGTACCACTCCCTAACTTTAAAGAAAGGATATAGATTACTCACTCTCATTGTATTCTTTATTCCTTTTGGATCAATTTAGGCTTCTGAGAAACTACCCACCCGCCCCTCCCATAATTCAACATTAACACTTGCTTCTGACTTGGGGCAAAATGTTGGCTTAGGGGAGGGGTAGGTGGGCAGTTTCCCAGAAAAACTTATATTGATCCTTCCTTTCATCAAGTGGTCAGGAGACACAGGGAATCGTTTCGCTTCCACAGTTGGTCGAAGACCGATTAGCGCTAATCCGTTGTAAATTTTGATCTGGGTCTCTTTTTCTTTCGTTCAAAAGCATTTTCTAGGATAATTTTCCTGATTCTTTTTGGAGATTGTAGGTAAAAAGGATAACACAGAATTCGCTTGCGTAGCTCTATCGCATTAAATTTGTGCAAGCAGGATTGATTTGAGTTTCGGTAAACTTGAAAAGTTCACAGCTCGCTTTAAGCTTCTTGCCATACATTGATGGAGGTGGAAACTAAAGCAATCGAAAATGGAAACTTAAAAATAATCCTAAATAAATCGATTTAATCCTAAACTTCACATGACATACACGACCTGTATTTTACTGAAGGTTTCTTGAACACGTACACTGTAAATGTGACGGGGAAGTGCTGTAATGTATGAACCATAAGGTTCAATCAATATAAAGGTCAGTTATTGTGCATCGAGGTAAATCTCTTTAACAAATAACCATTTAAGTTTGTGTGATAAGCACTATGACCCAGGATAGATGAAATCAAGCTTACGAGTTATAATGTATTTCAAGGTGCGTTTAGATCAGCCTTCAGCTACCCAAGGACTGTGAATAGTGTTTCGCAATAGTTTAGCCTAAAATTTCGGAGGGGTAACTAACAGGATAATTGTCTTCCATGAAAATACGTTAGTCACGGGTGAGACAAATAGCTATTTTCAACTTATATTGCGGTAAAAAATGTGTTTTCGATCGTTTGATCTGTTAACTTTTTCTAAAGTATGTTCCGATAAATTCAACATGTGAGTAATCAAATGTTTAAACTTTTCGAGGTCGGAAAATGCGAACAGCTAATTCCTTTAAGTTGAAGAAAAATAACTAGAAACGAAAGGAAAAAATCTTGAAACATAACATTTTTATCTCGTAGCATAATGCGTTTTTGTTTCGACCATTATTTTAGAATAAGATTATCATCTATAAATTTTATACTTTCAGTTCGATCGGGATAGGTTTTAATGGGTTAATCCCTTTTCTAATAAGCTGTTGGCTGTCTGTTATAGTACACTTCTCGTTTTCAACCAACACAGGTTTTATGGCAGCCCAGGGAAGTCGGCCTTTCGGCGAGTCTATTTCCTTCTGAAGGAAAATTCCCCCGAGCTTACTGGGAGACCAATATTTCCAGTTTACTCCTCTAATTGTTTACATCTTAGATATTTCACAAGAGTGTTACGATAATGCGTGGATTCTAACGTCGTAGTTATAAAATCTGTGTCTGGTTTTTATCGCTAGGGTGCAGACGTCAACGCCTCTACAAACTACGATGGACGGACACCCCTTCATATAGCATGCATGGAAGGTAACACTGAAGCTGTCAAATTTCTCTTGGAACATGGTGCATCAACACAAGTGAAAGATCGATTTAAGAGTTCCCCTCTAGATGACGCCATCAAATTTAGACACAAGGAGATCGTGAAAATACTTAGAAAGGCCGGCGCCCATCTGATGAAAACATCTATTGAGACAGCGGTGGAATTATGTAGGCTGGCCGCGAAGAATCGCGTGGAGGACTTGCACATGTGGCAGCTAGCTAACGTGGATTTTAACTGCTGTGATTATGACAAAAGAACACCCCTTCATGTGGTAAGTTCAACAGCTACTGGTAGTAGTTTATGTAGACGGTGTGACGCGCAAGAAAAAATAGAAAACTGCAACTTTCACAAATCGCGGGAAACTTTGCAACTGTTGGGTAGCGTAAAAATGGTAAAATTGTACATTGTTATTTGTTTACCGACGAAACACTTAGTAGTTTTTAAGATTTCGTTTTAATGTATCTATGCGTTCAAATTCGCTTAGGAACTCGGAAGTGTTGGTTTTTCAGGAGAGGTAAAAAAACGCGCAGTACCAGGAGAAAAATCTCTGGAAATAAGGGAGAGAACCGACAACAAACTCAAGCCACATATGGTGTCGACACCGAGATATGAACCCGAGCCACATTAGTGGGAGGCAACTGCTCTCACCACTTCCCCACCCTTCCTCTTCCAGAAAAATGCAGTTTGTTGTCAAGCAGAGAAAGACTTGAGATATTTAATGCAAGTTCTATGGTAAAGGTGGGGCAAAACGAGCAACAAGAAACGGGCAACTTGTTTTGCGACTTTGCTGTAAAACGAGTTGAATAGCGATGTTGCGCGTTTTTCCACCCACATCAAACCTCTCTTGCAACAAATCAGCTTGTTAACAGGTTTGAACATGGGTGGTAAAACGCGCAGCATCGCTATTGAACTCGTCTTGCAGCAATGTTGCAAAACAAGTTGCTCGTTTTTTGTTGCCCGTTTTTCCGCACCTTTAAGGAAAGTACACGTTGTATTCGCAACATATCGTTTCAAGGGCGGGAAAATCAGCCGCTAATGCCACGGTCGCGAAAACGGCAACTGTTGCCTTGGGCAACTCAATGGGTAACCGATTCAAATGGCAGAAAGAGAGGGGCAACTCCAAACGCGAGAAAAGCAGGTACTTCGTGTTACGAAAACAGCATATTCCCTGATGGAAACAGTACCTAGAAATCCCCAGTTTTTCCAATTTTCACTGATACTTTTTCGTCACTTTCGAGTTCCTCAACGTTTGTAACTCTCATCGGCTTTTTTTGAAACTTAATTCTATCATTATTTCAGTTCTATTGTTTCTTTTATTTGTATACTATGGCTGACAGCTGCAGTTCACGAGTTGACGAGTTTTCTTTCTTTTCAGGCCGTTTGTCGTAACAATGTGGAGACAGTAGCATTCTTACTAGAGCATCGAGTTGATCCGTATTTACGCGACGTTTTCGGCAATACGCCTTTGGACAATGCCAATTGTTATGAGCTTGAGAACATCGTCAACATGTTGGAGGAATTCTCTGCTGACAAACAATCTCGCGATCTCTCTGTTTCATGAACAAAGACGATGGAATATGCGCCGAACCGCGAGATAAGTTTGCTGTTTTGAAAGATTTCCAGTAGAAGGGGATACAAATAAACTCGATTCCTCACTGAGAAAGCTTTTAAGCTATACTCAAGATTACTCTTAGGTGTAAATTTTTATTTAATTTTAAGGGTCACAAAACTGAAAAAAAGGGCTGACCAGTTTTCACAGTAGAGCTATCACACTTAGACCCTGTTTACATGGAGTAGGGGACCCCGGTCTAGTGGGGTAAGTTTCTTTTGTTTTGTGTCCCCCAGAGCGTGAAAACAAAAGAAACCAACACCACTAGACCGGGGTCCCCCACCCCCATGTAAACAGGCCCTTAATCAAAGTTCTGCTCGTGGTTCTGTTTAAATGAGCACAATTTATAGGAATCAATTCAAAAAGTCAAAAGTTAGAGTCACCTTGTGCAGCGAAACAAGCAGCACCTCTTGAGAATCAGAACTTTTGTCACTTAGCTTCCAACGGATTTCATGCGTGTTTTTGATAGCTTGATTAGAATCCTTTTGTAAAGCTTAAGGGTTATAAAAAAATAGGCGTTACACATTGGCTAGCCGTTTTTTATAGTCCTTCAAATAGCTTTAATTCAAATGGTAACAGTTTAGAACTTACTGAAATCTATTGTGATCACGTTACTTTCACGGTTTGAATAGTAATTGTAATTATGCCATTTATAGATTTATTTATTTTTACTCTTGTCATCTGTGAAGACTGGCGTTCGGCAACTATTTGCACGTGGTAATAAAAAAAACATCGGACATGTTCATTTGAAAATTTACCAAAATCTTAGAATTTAAGGATTTGGGCGTTTTATGGGCGAATTTAGTGGAGAATTTAGGGTTTCGTATTTTCCACTCATTGATAGGGTTAACGGTTTAATAATATACATGCAAAAATTTCGTCAATTAATCCCAAACATTGCAGAAAGTTGAAAAAAGTTGCGCCAGGAGAGTTACGAGTCTCTCGGTAGAACAATCGACAACTCCTTGTAGTACTTTCTTTTTGGTGACGATGAAGAATGTGCAAATAGACGTAAATTACAAGCCACGTAAACAAAAAACCTTTCCACGTTTTTTTATTCAACTTTTGACTTCTACAAATTGAAAACGCTATGGTGTTTAACAATTTGTATATTAGGGTAATTATGAAAAGCTGTCGGATCCAAGGTTTTCTCGTTTTAGGCGATTGGGGCAGGGGGCGGGTCTTTAATAGATATATTTTATTCATTCATTCTCCCAGAGCTAACTGGAATTAATTCACTTTGTACTATATGTTTTTTGGGCTGAAAGCTCCTCTTTCTTGATAAGTTACTTTTGTTTATTGTAATGTAACGAAGGTTTCCATTAACACTTACGGAAATTGTAGATTTTGTAAATAATGGATAATATAAGGGAATATCTCTATTTTTATCCAGAGAACGTTTTACGAACTTACATTCATGTCAATTATTTGGTTTTAGTTTGTTTTTTTAAAGATTCTCCGGTACAATATAGAGACAATTTATTTATTTGGGATGGTAATGTACCATATGTGCGAAGAGGCTCTGAATAGCTCAATATTATTATTTAATAGATGCATCATATTCTTAAAAAGTTGGGCTCCAAAAAATAGCAACATGTTAAATATATTTAAAAATAAAAGTTCAGTCTATGTTGCCTTATGTTTTGATTTGCTACCAACAGTACACCATGCTGCCCGGTATCCGGCCACTTCAGTTTAACATTAAAATAACTTTCCTTTCTTGGTCGCAAGAGTTTGAAATTTGGCCCAAAGACAATCTTTTTAGTCCTTAACATGATGAAAGACAGTTTGATTTTTTTGCCTTCGTTTCCATCGCGAAATTAATATTTTTGCAGAGCTCCTATGTTACCCAGCATCCGACCACAACAATAACAACGTAGTTATACATAAATTTCGACAGGCAAGCGACTTATGAGCTTCTCGTGCACTTGCGAAGTAGTCTGTCATTAGAGTCCAAAAATATAAATCGACCTGGGAACCTAGCATCGTGAAACAAAACATAACAAATGACTGGAGTATGCTGGGGAAAACTATGCGAGCGGCTGATCAATAAGGTTAGAGATGTGGAGAGAAAAAAAAATGAAAAAAACTAACAAAAAAGACAAAATTCTGTTATTTTTTCTCTCTAAGTGGTCCGGGTAGGAGAGGACCCTGGGAACAAGCTTGAGTTTTTCTAATACTCACACTAGTCCTCGCACGGTTAATAATTGCGGCTTGGTTCCCTGCAGTGAAAATGGCCGCTCAACGAGGGGAATTTGTAGCAATTGCCGCTAGTCCAACTGTAGGTATCACATATGGCCTTTTCTTCCTTTATTTGATTGTAGCATGAGTAATTCAGGAAAGAAAACTCCATCGAGTCCAAAGAAGGGTCTTGGATCTGTGCCCGAACGCTCGGAAAATGACGACATCTCCACTTCATCAGGTGATCTCTCAATTTAAGAAAAGGTTTTCTTATTTTACGAGACAATTTATAGCAAGTCATAGGATAAAAATTCTTTTTTTCTGTAAGTTAAACAGGCAGTTTGAAGTTACGAGAACAAAATTTTATTCTATGACTTGTTTTAAAATTTTTTCTTAAAATAAGGAATCTCGAATTTAGAGTGGATGACTACGTAGCTCTTTTGATAGACACCGCCGATTCTTACTCTTTCTTCTTAAAAATATGTCTTTCCTGATACTCTTCCAGGTGAACAAATCATGCAGTTTTCTACTTCTCAAGATGCTCCAGAGGTAGACGGCCCGAAAAAACGCTCGCTCCACGCTCAGTTGTCACGAAGCTTTTTTCAGTACCGTTCTACAAGCTTTTCGTCGTCTGTGGATGGCTTATCGAGCCCGTCTCGCCATAGGCTTGGTACTGTGCCTGTAGAGGATCCCATAACACACGAGAATGTAGTACACAGCAAAGTACTCTTGCTGTACACGGGCGGAGCACTGGGATGGAAGTTCGATCCTCAAGGTATATTTAAGGCTCACCTGTATTTAATTTATCCTGAATAGAGTCCGGGGACAGTGGATGCTTTAGGAACCTTTTGGGTTGGGATGTGCAGCTGGGATCCTCGAACCCTTAGCCCCTACCAGACCTAGCTCAGCTGAAGTTTGGTACCCTACACTCCTGTATGCCTGCTAAGTTTGAGTCTTATGCCTGCGAACTAAAGATAACAATCTCGCGCATAAAGGACAATTTCTTACGACTGACTCACAAATCCCAAAGAATTGTTCTTTAAAACACATGATTAAGGCCGTATCAGCATTTTTGGCAAAGTTCGGAAGTCTTTGGAAACTCCTCAGAAATATTTGGAAGTTGGGACATTTTTAGAAGTTCTGGTGATGACCAGACGAAAATCTCATGCATTTGGCTCTGATAAACTTGGCAGGTATATACTAGACTTTTTCCCAGAATCCCTTCCTATCTTAGAGCTGCTATTTTCTAGAAGCTACTGAGGTTGTCACTTACTTTCCTGATTTCATTTTCTCAATTGTGTCAATTACTGGGTTTCCTTAGTCTGGGCTTAAATCTTGAACCAACTGATCAGTTTCCTGGAAAATTATATCCTAATTATATTCTAGACCCACACTCTCTGATTTCTGTACCCTTACAACAGAAGACCATACCCTTCACGGCGACACATTCCTATATAGCCTATATGTGGCAGTAACTCCCTCCCGCTAACAATGGAGTGTAAAACAAAGATGGTAAATTTTAAGCTAAGTAGTAAATGAGGATGATAAAATCATCACGAAAATAACATCTTTCATCTTCACTACCAAGCTTGGATTTGCCATCTTTCTTTATTCATTGCCATGCAGTACACTCATCAATATGTCATTGGTGATACTAGCAGTGTACAAGATGCATGCCCCATAAACTGCAGGGGTATCTTGTGAAAGATGTGTGCAGGGATGCTCTTTGGAAACTCTTTGCTCTTTTACACTCCTAGAGAAGACCAATCGGGACAAGGCTAAAGGTTTAATTCAAAGGAAAATAAGAAAATTTAGCTTGGGCTAGAAAAACAATGTAAGAAAAGTGTCTTGCTTTTCTTGTGGAGGACAGGTTATTCAATTGTGGTACTTGTTATCAAAAGCATCGCTAAGCATTGCTAAGCAGTACGCAAAGCAATCCATTGCACTCTGATCGCCAAATGGCATAACCTTCGATGAAGCAAAATAAAGATGTTTTAGAAGAAACTGCCCTGTTTGTGACTGGTGAATAGACAAAGAGATCATCATGGCTGGGTTTAAGTAACCTCCAGGAGAGTTTTCTTTCATCGTTGATTTTTGCTCCCTTTTATTCACCATTTTTCTCCACTAAGGATCCTGGTCCAGGCCATGCAGGGCATGGAAGTCTTCTTTCTGACTTATCTTGGAATATGTAAGGGTCTCTGCTTGCTGGGTAGAGTGTTAGGGAAACCAACTGACATTGGCACTTGAATGCAGCACACGCTGCAGACTGTCCAAAGCATTTCTTAAAAAAACTGAAGATGGCATGGCTTTGTACCTGTATAGAAAGTTGCTAGGAATTTGGGATCTTCTTTCGATATATTGTGTTTCTATGCAAGTAAAGGAGATTCTTGTCATTTTCTAATAGCCAAAGGCAATAAATTGCCATTCTGGCAGCCCAGCTGATATATTGTTTCGTTTATCAGAGCTAATTTCTTGCCCTACAGTCTGTAACCCAGCTCTAACAATAGGCTTGTGTTTGTTTTGTAGGATTTCAACTTGATAAGAATAACATCCTGAAAGAAATGAAGAAACTACCAATGATGCATGACACAGCATATGTGGAGTACATCCAAGAGAATGTACTGGATGGCATCCCAGAGGAAGGGATTGGATCAGATACTTTAGTTATGCCGTAAGTAATAATTTAGAAGAGTTACCGCAAAAACAGCATGTGTAGAGGAGGTTTAGTAAATGTGTTTGAGTAACATTAATTAATGTAGTGGTTGGTGTGACCCCTTAACCTATAAATCTGAACCTAGGTCGTTTAACGTTATCATAACATTCTTTCCTTAGACAAGAGACTCTGAGCCATACTGTCCATCCAGAATAGAATGATAAGACCCCTTTTTGCCTGAGGGGTGAGGGTGCACAAAGCAACACTGCAATAATTATTGCAGTGTTGCTTTCTGCACCCTCACTCACTTTCCGTTTCATCAAAATTTCAACAATATAGATAATAGACGAATAGTATTTGTCATAATGTGCGTGAAATTATTTAACAGTCCTAAATGTATATATTCTGCCTTTCTGAAAGGAAGGGCAAGAAACATTTTCCACCTGGACAGCTTCTACTGATTCACTATTATGTCAAATGATATTATCTATGTTGTTGAAATTTTGATGAAAAGCAAGTGAATTATTATTTGCTAATTTCTGGACTATACCATTTGAATATTTATTAATATCATGGGTGACAAATAAAGCTCACAATTTAGCCTGGGACCAGGCTCTGCATGGGAGGAAAAAGGAAACATAAATCGGCGTGGTAGTCTGGGGAGGGCAAAGGGCCCTTTCCCCCTCCCAAATTCATCCCTCAGCTCTTTTTGCTCGGTAATATTTTTCCTATTTGACCCCAATTTTTGCCTTTTTCCCCCACTGTGGAGCCTGGTCCCAGGCTATTCATAATTGTGAGATTTCACTTCTTTATCTACCAAGATCTTCATGTACAGGAAAGGTTAGGAGAATACTGGTCAGTAGGCAGCAATAGATCAGATGGAAAAGTGCTCACTTGTGGGTTAGATGTGAAAAAGGGGGGTCACCCCCACCCCCTTCCCTATTGAAAGGGTCTGGGGCCCTGAAAAGTGTATTTCAGAGCATTTTGAGTGAACAGGGAAACAATTATTATTATAAAACCATGAGAACACAACAGAACACCTTGAAATGTTTTATATTTACATGTTTGCTTTCAATTAACAAAGTACTGCCAAGCAAATTAACAGATGTGTTATGCATCTTTAAAAAGCAATTTTGTGTGATTAGTTTTCATGATGAGTAGATGTTGACTTTCACTGATTGCTGAAGCTTCTTTAGTATACTTATCCGTATTCTTTTCTTCACAGTCTGGCGAAATTTCGTCAATTCAGTTTATTAAATTTTTCGTATCTGTAGTTTGTTTAATTAAAGATATTTTTATTATACATTTATTTTTGTTTTAATTTATCTGTTTATTGCAATTCAATCGCCTGATACAATACGAAAACAAGATAAAATACAATTTAAGATAAAAATAGTGCCATAAGGACGGTGAGCAAATTAGTTGACTCCATTAAAGGAAGCTGAACTATCAAGAAATTTTCGACTCATAAATATGAACAAAAATTTAATTATTACTCATTTCTCGAAGATTAGAAACTAGAAATACTTGATGCTTAACATATTGAAAGTTGTAACACTTTCCTTCTATTAACAATCCTCTGAAAAAAAAAGCCAAACGTAAGAGTATCATTTCTAGCGTTATGAAAGGTATCCTCTGAGATATTAGTAAGAATTTACACTTACAATTATTGTAAGGTTAAATTCGCCCTAATCTCTCGGAAGATACCCTCCGGAAAAAAAAAACAGTACGTCAAACTGCAAAACATTCGTCCTTCAAGGATAAAAAGTTTAGTTTCTCTAGTCACATTTGAGATGAAGAATTCTTGTCTAAATGTTTGGTTTAGCTGCTATGCAGAGTTTTCGCTTCAGCAAGATTGCAAAACGAACAAGTTGAGACAACAATGCGAATAGGATCAACAGCGCAAATACCGCGAATGGAAAACAGAGAGAAGCCACTTGAATCCACCGTAGGATGACAATGATGCGTTTGTTTGGACCTTCTGGAAGGACTGCAGAGGACGCGAGAGTCGCTGTTGTCACGTTTATGATCGCAATACAGGACAAAGTTACCAGCGAAAAAGTTTCCATTCTATCTGCCGTACGGTCACGGAATGGCTTCTTGATTAAATGATGAACTGCCATCAGAACACAGGCAACTGACATGCACAAGAAACAAACCATGGAATTGGGTATAAAGGCGCGAAATATGAGAAGCACAAGCCTTCGACCAATCAGAACGCTTTCCCAGTAGAGCGTCCCTTGATCATGTGCACTAGGTGGACGGAAAGGGCCAAGCAAAATGTTGGAAATTTCGTTGGTGCATTCGTCGCTATCATGTGAGGCATTTCCCTCGTCAATAAGCGATACAAGGCGGTTGTATCTCTTGTGAGAGGCGGGTTTTCTATTCTGTCTGGCGCTTGATGGCTGGAGGGCGCGGGTTTGCCAGCAATAGCGTTTCACAAGCCAGAAAATGAGGAACGGTAGAGGAGCAACACACGCGCCAATAAACTCTTTCCATGATATGGTCTTGGAATACAACCTTCCAGAACCCAGGTAAAGAACTCCGACGAACGGAACGATAAAAATGACGTTAAAAGCCAGAAGAGCGTACTGCCACCATTGCCAGCAAACAACGTTACCATCGTAGTAAAGATGCATTTTAGATCCAATCGGAACGCAGTGCATTAACTTGAGTGACGTTTCTGCCAGGCGCTCGTAACCCAACAGCACGATTTCCACGGCAACAGCCACGTAATGGACCAACAAAGGTTTGCGTTTCTTAAGTGTTAGATTAATCAACCAATGAAGACAGTATATTAAAAATACATGACCAATTGCTGCAAGGACCAGCCCAGAAAGGAAAATCTCTTTGGTGACCGCTGTCAATCCAGCGAATGGGCAGCCAATTCTCTCGTGCACGACATGGACTTGAAAATTAAAAGCAGCGACCATTGTGGAAATGTACGGAACTTTTGCCATCATTTTTCGTATATTTGTGGTGCTAAGCAAGTCAAAGGCTTGGTAGAAGTAAAACGTAATTATGAGATAGCCATTTTCGCCTTCTTTATTTTCAAGAACGGCCGTGCGTCCTTCCACAGTTTGGTGACGAACGTTTCGAAACCAGCAAATCTGGTTTTTCAAAAAGCGGAAAAGAGGAGGTTTCTTCAACAAATAAAAAGTCAAAGCGATGGTATAAAGCGCCATGAACATCCACAGTTGATAATTCCATCGACACTCTTCAGATTTTCGGCACTTAGCTGAAAACAGTGTTTCGGTGAACCCGGGAGAACAACGCCCACAAAGAACACCTTGTCTGTTACCGTTGCAACTGTTGATTTCTTCTTGGTGTAAACTGTGTCTCTCAGGTTTACGACAGTATTTCTCAGGACAAGGTATAAATACTAGTGACGAGGAGTTGCTCGAGTCAGTAACTTTGTAACCCCAAAAATCCCGCTTGGCAACAATGTTGTGTTCATCGCATTCTGCGCCAAAGGGGCACTCAAGACATTTGAAGCCTTTACGAATGAACAGTCCTCTAGAAAATCCGCTTTGAAGGCTGTACATTTTAGGAGGGCACATTGTGCAAGTGAAGAGTTCAGTTGTCACGTTGATGCGACAAAATGTATTGTCCTCTCCACCTTCGTAGTGAAAGTGGCTGAAATTCTCAAACTGAAGTGAGCTTCCAGTTCTGCATTGAATGGTGGAGTTCAGGTCCATATCGAAGTAGCCACCAGAAAATATTCTCAGAATGGGTTGAGTTACTAGCCTTTCGGCAAACTTTGTTTCGAAAGTAGTGTTCTTTATTATGATTGGTCCTCCGCTTTCCGAATGCAGAAATCTGCCAACGGTAAAAGCAGTTCCCTTGAAAGTTCCGTTTCTTTCCGTGCGCTTGAAAGTACAGTCCTTGAACTCGACCTTCGCACTGCCGTATCCAACAGATACATATCCTGTGTCACGCAAGGCAAAATTATTTGTGAAATTGCACCTCCGAAACTTGACATGACCGTTTATGATCTTAATCGCCCCCGTCTCAAATCCAAAGTTGTTTTGAAATAAGTTGTCTTCGAATAGAACGCGACTGGTGTAATTCCATTTTGGGTGTGTATTCTTTCCACCCCCTTCTTTTATACAGCCTTTGTCTACATTCTCATCTGAGTCAAAAAGAAACAAAAACACGCCCTGTGCAGTCATGTATCCTGGTAAGTTTGCGCATTTCCTTACCCTCCAAACGTTCCTTTCCAGACTGAAACTGTCCTGGAATTTGCAACCTCGAATGGTCAGCGTCTTATTTCCCTTGGCAACAAACACAAACGCATTAGTTGGGCGACCTCGAAAGGTTGCATTTTCTATCGAAATGTTTGCTTCCGAAAGAGACTGATTATTTAAAGGTGGAATACTCATGCGAACGCCATAAGTGGTATTCTTGGCGTATTTTTCCTGTATGGCTTTGCCGTCAAAAATAGTGTTGGTCACTCGAATTTGAACGAGGACGCTGTTGTTTAGCAAACCGTATAGATCCATCAAGTTATCTCGAAATGTGCAGTTGTTGATGCTTGCGACCGTATAAAAATTGCTGTCGTTCATGTTCAGTTTGCAATACGCTTCTATCATAACGCCATACATCGAGGAAGTCACTGTAACACCTTCCATGCGAAGGATGATGTTTGAAGTTATGCTTACTGCAACTTTGTAATTTCTGTCGAATGATGTATTGAAAATTTCAATTGTTCCAGACTGAGTAGTACTTCCCGTAACTCGTAATGTCGGGACCGACTTTTTTCGATTTGTCCTGTTGTCGTAGAAGCGGGAACCATGAACTCTAATGTCGATTGTTCTATTTGCGTTTGTAAAGCTCTGAACTGCGATACATGTGACATCAGAGTTATTGGCACATTGCAATTCAAAAAAAGAGACAGAGGCCCTTCTCACCCTGGAATAGTAGAGACTGCGATTATTCATAAAAGAATTACGCTCAAGATATATGTTACAGTACGTTTCTTTTGAGACAGCTGTAGGCAATTCAATATCAAGGAAACGACCTCCGCCACTGATGCAATAAACCTCATTCATGGTTATTTGCAGATAAATAGTATGGGAAAACTTTCTTGTTTGATTCGCTGAGAACACAATTGCACCCCTTTCCAGAGACGTTGTGTGGAAGCCATTTTCTTGAAACCTGGTTTTGGCGACGTTTAATGACAACAGTATGTCGGTCTTGAGAAAAAGTTGGTCAAAGTGGATTCTCACGCACAGAGAATTGTTTAGAAAGACAGAGTTTCGAATAGTTACATGTATGTTCGATATTTTTCGCACTCGTATAACAACAGCTGATTCCCATTCTGTTTTTTCGCCATGCCTTTCTCGAAGAGTGCAGTTGATGATCTCCACGTAGTTACAGTCTGTAAAGTTTAATGTCGTCTTAAAGAACGATATGTTGCTTAACGATATACGCAAAACCTCATTTGATCTATTAAAATGAAATCCTTGTGGACAGGTCACGTGGGCTTCTGTTGATGGTGAGCTGCGCATTGTGACGTTTCCTGTTACCCAGATTCCCGTGGTTAACTGCTCGCAGTCATATGGTTGCTTTGCTGTACCACTGCCGTTGAGGATAACCATCCCGCCCCGTGACACAAGGGTAACAGCCTTTGCTATTGTGCGACAGGGCTTTTTAGTGGAGCCACAACCGTTGGTGTCGTTTCCGCGTAAAGAAACGTAGACAGTTTTTTGATACTCGAGGCATCCTGTAAATTAGAAAGACATGGAAATGCGCAGTAATAAGGATGTTCTCCTTGCAATATTTGTTACATGTAGACAGAGACGCAGTAAGCAGGACCGTGGCAATAGGCCCTTTGCAGTATACGGCGCATGGTATAAAAATCACATTGCTGGATGTCAAACGACGCAGTGGGACTTTAAAAAGAAAGGATATTAGTTTTTTGAATGTTGTAATCTCTTGTTTTTCTTGTCCCTCTGCGTCGTTTGCCATCCAGCAAGGTGTTTTTTGTGCCATGTGAGCGTTCTCTGCAAAGGGCGCATTTGCGGCTTTACGCCTCTCTCTCTTGCCTAACCCCCGTAACGTACGTCGAAAAATCAAATAGCCACTTTGGAAACGAAAAGGGACTGGAGCCGAAATGCGTCCTTCAATACGCGCTAGTAAGCGCTAGGCAAGCTAGCAACACTCCCAGGAGTCTTTGCGAAAGTTCATTAGACCCAGTCTCCCTCTCGTTTCTAAAGTGGCGATTGTGAAAGATATCGGTTTCTAAACGGCCGAATCTCCGGCTAACTGACCGCCGGCTTGAAATTTGCCAATGTGATAGACAGAAAGCGAACTCAACAAAAAAGCTGCCAATTTTCTGACTTCAACGTCTAAATTGATCAAACTGAACAGTAAAAGAACTGTCAGAACTGGTAGCAAAAAAAACTCATGACTTTCGATTAAAATTTTCCTGCACGCTAGAAAGTCAACAATCGTTTTAACCCAAACCCTAACGCTATCTGATGTGGCCTTAAGTATCAGGCAAGACAAAGCCGCACTTGCCGCCCCGTTTAGATTTTATGCTTTTGTCGTTTGGCCTCTTGCCAAAATCCCACGAGTTGTCCGTGCCTTTAGTGTTCCGGCAGTGCAATACTTGCTTTGTATGTTCTAAATATCTAGCTACGTTCTTGATAAAGCTAAAGTTTTATGCGTTGGACTCGCCCAAAGAAGAAGTGATGATGAAAATTGCCCACCGTAAAAAGTGTCCCAAGCTGACGATTTTAGCTCTGGTCTTCCGTCAGGGCGGTAGGCAATCAGTACGTTACTTTTTCATTTCACTCAGTAAAACTAGATTTTTGTCCTTCAGTCGACGCTCAGAAGAGTTTTCCATTAAAGGTTCGGGTGCCAGTTGACACAAAAAAGGCCTGCGTTTAAACTGTAATACCGTAAAATTCCAAAAATAAGCCCCTGCAAATAAACGCCCCCCCGGGGAAATTGCCCTCAAATACAAAGCAAAAACGGTAAATTTCTTTTCGACTATCAGGCAAGCCCAAGCAATTTTGAAACGCAAATTTCCCTTCGTAGATAAGCCCCTCAAAAAGGGCCTTTGAAAAAATAAAGCCCTGGGGCTTATTTTCGGAATTTTACGGTATCCTACATATGTTGTGTGCAGCATCTGATTAAGGCTTCTTTGCCAACCTACACCCCATCGCAACTAGTTGTGGTTTCGATAAATGTTCATCACGCGAGTGCCTTTATTGATATCGTACTCCTACAAATCAAATTAGGCCATGTAACATAACTATATATGGTGTGAGTTATGTAAATTTACCTAAGCTATTTAGAAATGAAAAAGTTTGGTTTTATCGAGTGAGTTAATAAAATGACCACCGCAAAGTAGATTTAGGAGCAGGTTCACCCTGGCAAAGGGCTACTGAGTTTATATAAAGCTAGGCTATTATGCTCAACTGCTAACGGACTAACCTGTTTTAACCATTAAGAGAAGAAAAAGATGCGATACAAAGACAAACCAACAAGCAGCCATGGACTAACGTTTCCTGTGGGTGTGAAATGTTGTTTTCTGGGTTGCAGTTGTTTAAATGCTAAAAACTGAAATCGATTAGTCACGTTATAATAATGGCTCGAAACTGACTCGAAAATGAAAGCAATTCGCTTACGCCAAGTGAATTAAAATAATCAGAACATTCCAGTTTAAAACTGACATCGCGGCTATACAGCTTTATGGTGAGACACGGTAAGGTGGAAAGTTTTTTTGGAACTGAAAGTCGTGATCAGTATTGCTGTTGACAACAACTTGGTTTTAACGGTACATTAGTAAACAAACAAAAGGAAAAAAATAGGATATTGGCCGAACCGAGCATTTTACCATGATTTTTATTAATTGGAGTCCAGCCCTGCGTAACAGGCTATTTTATTGCCGAGTGAAAGGAAGCTAAAACTGGAGATAATTTATAGAAACAAAATACATTTACAAATTAAATAGTAAATCATCGATTGGCTCATGATACGTAATTACGTCCATCGTTGGTTCTGGAAAGCACATGATAGAAAAAAATTAACTGAAACAAATTGATTTTGCTTTCACGAGGATGCTCTGCGCTAAACGTTTGAGTCTTGCCGGGATCATTTCACGAACACTGTAAGGTCATTTACCAACTGAAAGCTATCTAGCGAGATCAAGGAAAGGAAACGATGTGGGCATTGGTTAAGACGAAAATCGTCAATCAGGTCCCCGTTGTCGTCATCCTCGGAGACCCAGGGGCAGATTTCCCTCGCCCCCACTATCTGCCCCTGGGTCTCCGAGGATGCGTTGTTGTAAGATGACTGTGCATGATTGCTGCAAACAAACACCTTTTAGGTTTAATGCAAATTTAATTTCTGTCCGCGCTTTCTTCCTAGATTGATCTTGAACTTCAGAATCTTTGACGCATTCCGATATTTAGGGAATTCCATGCCAGTTCAATATTCACGTACCGAAGCGTGTCATGTCTCGATGTTTGTCACACGATCACTCATTAGACCTTTACGCGATATTGTGTGCAGGAAATTGTGTTAAAAGAACGATATTCTGAGTTCCAGCGGCGCAGACTTGAAATTACTATCCTCTAAACTCGACGCTGACTATTCTGACTTGTCCTGAAAAGCAAATTTGAAGAATATATGCGCCACTTGGACATCTGCCATAGCGCACCCTATTTGCATAACCTTTGTTTTTCATTTCTCCTGGGTATTACAGCCGTACCAAAAGAAATTGAAAACAATGCTTATGCAAAAGTGTGGGGAGGCAAGTAAGGTGCATTATGGGAGATGTGCAAGTGGCGCGTGCTGTTGAGAGATTTCTCCGTTAAGTCACGTGACGAGTTAGTCATAATCATTTGCAGTGACACGTAATTAAGTTTTAGGTTTGGAGTCCGCTTTAACGAGGTCTTATCTTTTTTAGGTGTGATCATTGAAATATACCTTAAAACTGATGCTTTCTTATGGGGTCAGGAACTTTGTGCTGCAACTATCCCGCCGTTTTTAAAACATGTACGGAATGTTGTCGTAGCAATTTTATAATTTCACTCTAGTAATTTCTCACTCATGATATAATATGATCAAAATCATAATCATAATATCAATCAATTTGTTTAGCGCCAAAATCCGTAAATCCAATGGTGCTTTAGAAACATTGATACTATAGCATCATATCAAGATTGTAAACACGGTAACAACTAAATATATTTGATCTGAATTTATTCAGGGTGAGTAAATATGGAAAGCGCATCTTTGTTGATGTTCTTGAGATGCCAGAGAGTGATGTGGTAGTACATTCAAAGGACCAAGACATTCAAGATTGGTCAAAAGTTGCTCTGCAGATCAAGGAACATTATGAAAATTATCATGGATTTGTCATTCTGCATGGCACTGACACCATGGCCTATCTTGCCTCGGCTCTTTCATTTATGTTTGAAAATCTCGCAAAGTCAGTCATCTTTACTGGTTCACAGGTAAGGTTAGGGAAGGTTTTAGCTCCCTCACAAATCGCCTTTAGTCGGGAAAATAGGGGCACAGATGCTGGGGTACTCCTTTTAATGGCCTATGCGGGGAGGCTCCGCCCGACATGGTTACTGACCTTTTTCAGGCTTCAGGTGTATGAAAGGGTAGGGAAATCTGTCATTTCGGTCGGCAAAAAGGCTCAAACGGCTAGCAGATGCCTCTTATGGCTGTTACAAAATCGAGAAAACGTTCTGATTTTGTGAGTTATTCATATTTCAAAGACAGTGGATTTACAGAAGTTAAAAGAGATGGAAAGTCCCAAACTAATTATGTGAAAGGGGTACCATTTGTCAATAGAAGGCGTTCGAAAGGGGTACCTTTTCTGTGAAAAATGGTAAATAAAAGCGTAAGGGGCTTGACCTTCGGGCGGAACCTCCCCGTATAAAAACTTTTTTGACTACCAGACAACAAGTGATACACCATGAAAGTAAGATAAGGTTTTTTCAATAATAATTTTATTGTATTTTTATTTTCTAAAGCACATCATAAATATCCCCATACAAACTCATATTTTCGCCATGTTCGCTATTTCGCAATATCATCTCCAGTGACTGACAGCTTGAACTTGGACCGCCTAGGTCCTTGGAAGTTTGAATTTCCAAGCCAAATCTCAATGGGATAACATGCATATCAGTGGCTTTTACTTAAAGTATCCTGTAAACGTCTTGTCATATGTTTGTATTATATAGAGCGTTTTCACTCACGTGGCCAGCATCTATGCAAATTTATTGGAACAAAAAATGTTTTTACCTAACAAAAGAGTTCAACTCCCACAGGACTATTGTGGGACACCAACATGGCCGCCATTTCATTGTTTTGGAACACCAATATGGCCGCCGTGACGTCATGTGAAAACGCTCTATTGTTTTGGATCATTATACGTTTCAGAGAAACTGCCCACCTGCCCCTCCCCTAAGCCAACATTTTGCCCGAAGTGAGAAGTAAGTGTTAATGTTGGCTTAGGGGAGGGGTAGGTGGGCAGTTTCCTAGAAACGTTTAACGATCCGTTTTTTTTTCTAAATTTCTCCATGGATGTTTTATAGTATGCTCTAAGCGATCATTTGAATGATGGAAGGCAGAATCTACTGGGCGCTATCATGATTGCAGGTCACTATGTCATACCAGAGGTAAAGCGTCTAAAGCCTGTTCTGCTTCCTAGAGACCTTTAGATTTTAAGACAAGGACGACTACGAGTACGAGATGTGCTCGCGCGTGAACCAGCGTCATTTTGGCGGGGAAAAGTAGTCTCCTTCGTCACCCTACTACAAGGTTGCGAGAATGTCATGGTGATGGAAGCAAGTTATCAAATGTTAGATGTTTTATCATTTTGTGGTTGGGAGACATATAGAGATAGAGATAACATAGCTAACTCTTCTGTTAAAACAAAAGTACAATGAGGCTTTCCAGGGTGTCTCTTTTTGGAGAATACGCGAAGAACTTTAAGTTAAATCTCGTAAAGTTAAGTCTCTCCAGGGAGTAAAAACGACTCGAATTAATCGTCTGAAATTCAGGCTATGTTTATTCACACTTTTGTCATTTTTCTCTTTTTTCAATTAAGGTTACTTTATTCTTCCATGGGAAACTTTATCGAGGGAACCGCGCATTGAAAGTAGATGCACGAAGGTTTGGTGCGTTTGACTCTCCAAACTGCCCTCCCTTGGCTACAGTTGAAGCAGGCATTGAAGGTAAGATCCTAGTTAAAATTGAGGCCTTGCGATTCAAAGAAGAGGACGACTACTTTGACGACTAGGTAGTGGGAGCGCGTGAATCAGCGTCAGTTTGGCAGGACAACACGATAGCGGCCGTCATTCTATTTCGAGTTTTAGCGGGAATGTCGTAGTCGTGGAAACAAGTTTCATCATTGTGTGATCGGGCTAGGGATTGAACCCCTTCAACTAAAAAAAACCGCGCTTGCTATACTGGTGAACTAACTTAATTTCGTCTTCGTAGTAGTTCTCGTTCTTGAATCTTAAGCTTGAATTATAATTTTTTGGGGGAGTTTTTAACTTCTTTTCCTTTTTCTCTGCGACTGAAACAGTGGAATGGGAAGAGCTTTTTCTTGAAAACCAAGCCACTAAATTCCGTGTTCACACAAGAATGAGCTCGCAGATTGGAGTGCTGAGGATTTTCCCTGGTATCACTGCAGAGGCTGTGAGTATTGAATGAAAGAGAAATCTGGCCCCAGTTGTTGGACGGAGGTGCATAACGCTATTCACTGGATAAATGACATAAATCTCTATTTGGTGAATAGTGCTATCCAACGTTTGAACAACCGGGGCTACTGTAGGTGTTATCAGGTTGATGATGTGCCCCATTGTTATATAAAAATAAGTATTAAGAACTCATTAATATTCCTATAACTATAACTGTAAACACCTAATCCTCACCCCCAGCTACATCAAATACTTAATTAATTTCCAAGAAATAAATACGAGTTACTTCAGTGAATGAGAAAAAGTAAATGGAAGTTGATGCCCCGTTGTTAGTGAATGGCTGGGACATGTTTTAAGTTCCTAAGATTGTTTGTGGTAGCTGATATCTTGAGAAAATAGTAATGGAAAACGGACTATTCTCAGAAACAAAAAATAACGTCAAAACGTGGTACGCGTGGCTATAATGAAGGCTGCGAAATGGTTGGAAGTACTTCAGGCTTCAAAAAGGTAATCTACACTCCCCCAGCGATTTAATCGTGCAAAAGTAATAATAGAGAGGTTAAGCACCACTGATTCCCGTTTGCTGTTTGCCGTACACCTCAGACTAACTGTGCTGGAAACTCTGCGCTCCATGCCATCTAGCAGAGGAGAACGTTCATCAGCGATTAGAGTGTTTACAGACAATCCGTTTTCTGTAAACTGAAATTGCCTCATTTCCATCAATGTTTCCATGTGAAATAAACTATCTGACAGCAACAAAAAGTCACTGTCTCACGTTTTTCATGAACGTCCGCCCCTCAAGTGACAAACGGCAAACATGAAAAGGGCAGGAGCAACTGATCGCGTGGACATCTCTGCCCTTTGCCGTGAATGTGGTGCTTAAATGTCTGTAAAATGAAGCGGAGCCTCAAGACTCCGATTTGAGACTTGTGAATAAGCCAAGGGATATTTTTTCAAGTAATAAAGGTGCTTTTTTTAATTTAACAGTGAATTTATTTTAGTGTTTTTACCCTTCATTTTCTACTTAGGTAAGTGCTTTCCTGGAACCTCCCATTGAGGGTGTAGTACTTGAGACGTATGGAGCCGGAAATGGCCCTGACTCGCGCAAGGATCTATTACAGGAAATAAAAACAGCATCCAAGAGAGGCGTGATAATTGTCAACTGTACACAGTGTTTGTATGGTCATGTGGTTCACGACTATGCTACAGGAAAGGTGGGATTCTGACTTGTGTAATTTTAAATGTAATATAACTTTTTAGCCATGAAACCGTGGGGATCTTTACAACTTGTTAGCAAGCGTCCGTGTGATGTACATCGAGTTGAAGTTGCAAATTTTTGTTTTTGCGCAAAGGAAAACTGGAGGACCCAGTGTAAAACCTCGGGGAGTAAGATAAAAAAGTGAGGTTTGTCAACTAAGTTGATAATTACCAGTTATTCGGCTTTCGTATGGTTAAGAATTATGGAGATCAAAGAAGGATGTTTTCGGCTAAGGCAGATAACACCCTCCAAGATCTGCACAATTCTTCAGATCGTGCGAAAGCCGAATGCACTAACTGTTTTACTGTTCATTCAAAATAATTTCCAGTTTGAAAACGAGCTAAAACTTGCTTACCTCTATCGATATTTGGTTGGCCTGCGTAGCATGGCGGTTTTGGTTGAGAGCGCTAAGTAATAAAGGCGGGCGAGTGCAGAGAAACCGCAAGGAGATTGGGGCGGCAGCAACTTGATTTTTATTTTTCTCGCGGCTTCGCCGCGCGTGCGCCCGGCTCGACAAAACCGCCATGCTACGCAGGCTAATATTTGGTAAGTTCCTGTCTTCTTGTGCCCGTTTCTCGGCAATGGATGTTCAGTGTCAAAGATATTCTTTAAATAGCAGATGTCATCCGACGATTTGTATCCTTGCTGTTCTTGCTATGCTTTTAGCTAGTAATTCAGCTATTACGTGTGAATTGTTCTTGCTCTACCAGAACAACGCAACCTCGTTCCCAGGGCGTCTCGGTTGCCAACCCTTTTTCTGACGATTACCCCGTGCTATGGACGTCGTCTTCCAGATAGGTTAACGCCAGCGTGTCAACCTCCTCCCGAGTTACCTTTTCCAGACAAGGGCATTTTTTTCCTCGCTTTGCTATCACGGAGGAAAACGAGAGACTTCTGGAACTCTAGTTAATTGCTGGATGCTCAATACATGCCGTCATTTAGTGTCAACCACTAATGCGTAGCCTGCCTGACAGGCGCAAAAAAGGGGAGGGGGAGAGGGAGAAAAGCACAGAAGAGAAAATGGAAGGGAGCCCCTGCCATAAGAGCCTGTGTTTTTGCATTCCGTTCACCCATTTTTTATCTCATCCGATTACGTCAACTGTCAATATGCGACCAATCACAAATAGGGACGTTGCTCAGCATGGTCCAAACTTAATCATTTTGTTTATACCTTACCCTCTTTCCCCAACCCCCCCACCCTCCCTTTTTTCCTTCCTCCGAATCCCCTACCTCTTTCGAAGCCTGCTACGCAGGCTACTAATGCGTACCTTTGTTTTAAACATTGTATCAGGCGTTGCTAGATGCGGGTGTCATATCAGGGAATGACATGACCGTTGAGGCGGCGCTGACAAAACTTTCCTACGTGCTTGGACATGATGAACTCACACTTGACGAAAAGAAAAAGGTAACTGCTCATTGTCTCTTGATACGTATGTCAGTAAATATGGTCAATGTAGCCAACCATTACTATAGAGATCTTTAGATTCTAGGACGAGAACGCCTACGATTACGAGATTTAACGTGAAGTTTTTTCGCGTATTCCCAAATGATAGACACACAGGAGGAGGTTAAGTTACTCCCAGCCGAACAAATAATAAAACCTATGACTCTAAAACTTGCGTCCGCTAACGCGACATTCTCGCTAAAACTCGTAGCAGAATGACGTTGACTACCACATTTTCCCGCCAAAATGACGCTGGTTCACGCGTGAGCAATACTCGTACTCGTAGTCGTTCTCGTCTTAGAATCTATAGCTCTCTCATAAATAGTCTGCGAATACATCTGTCTCTTCTCGTTCCTTTAGCAGCGAGTAGCGAGAACAGACGGCTGTATTCGCATTTAAGTTCTTAACTGGTATCTCTGTAAGGCAGACATCCACTAACCCACCCTTCCCTCTTTTCATAAAATAGATACCTAGACCCGTCCACAAGAATGCGTTTGTTGCTTGAAGATGCACAGGGTTTTTTGCGCTTTCATCATATTTTCACGCTGAAACGATAACAGACGTAGATTTTCCCTCTCGAAGCGGAGCCTTTTGAAAACGGAGAACTATCGTTTTAGTGTCGACGGGCTTAAAAAACGCTGGCGTTATAGCTACTCATGCGTGGTATAAAAAACTTAAACAGCAAGAATAGACGCGGATATCGTACACATGTCTGAGAATAGCCTGGGAACGAAAATGCAACTCAGATACATGTATGCGTTTTGATTTCTGGTATAAACGGTTGAATGCGTGGCGAAAACGCCAGTTGAAGGCGGACCTTTCAATACGTTTTTTGCTTCTCCAAGACAGAGACTTAGGGCCTAATATTTAAACGAAGTCTAATTTAAGCGGCGGTTTAACGCATCTTTGAACCTTCAGATCTCTTCCTTGGTGGGTTGTTTATAGAAGATACATGCTTTTCTAGTCTTCTCTATATGCTGTCATAAAACTGTTCAAATAAAATGATGTTTAGATAAAATCGTTGGGCAAATTGAAAATGACTTAGATAGCGGATTTGTTAAACACTGGCTAAACTACGTTTAAATATTTGGCCCTTAGAGTTTGTCTCTGCCACTCTTCAATCGTTTTCTTTAACTATCCATGGGGCGGTCGCCTCCCTTAATGAGACAACTTAGAGTTGGTCCCTGCCGTTCTTAAGGTTTTTCGTTTAGTGTCCTTAAGGTGGACGCTTCTCTAAGATAGGCACCAAGGGTTAGTTCCTGTCTTTGTTGTCGTTATCTTAAAATCTACATAAGGTCGCTTCTTTAAAACCAACACTGTCCGACAGTTGACATCCTCCTTTTACACGGGGTTTTACCGCCAACATTGACATCACTGTCTCTTCTTTTATTTTGTTTACATGTTGACGTCGGGGTTTTTATTGTAGATGATGAAGACAAATCTGCGTGGTGAGTTAACAGTTTACAAAGATGAGGAACAGCAGCAGTTTTCCTTGCGTGACAATGAACTAATTGATGCTGTGGCCTCGCACTTCAAAGTTGGTTCAACTGAGGTAAATTAGAGCCCGGGGGGGTACTTTAGGAATTTCTGGGTGGGGATGTGCCGCTGGGAGCCTGGAACCCTTAACCTTTACCAGAGCTAGTTCAGCTGAATTTTGCTACCCTATACTAGAGTAAAATTTCCAAATCCCCCTATCCTAGAGTAGCTGTGTACCTATTCTAGATAAAATCTTCAACCAACTGATCAGTTTCCTGAAAAATGATACCCTATTCTAGAGCCAAACGCTCTGATTTATATACCCTATCCCAGAGTAAACTGCTTGAAAACCATACCCTTCACAGCGGCACATACCTATATAGCCCATATATGGCAGTACCCCCCCCCCCGGGATTAGAGCACTGTGAAAAAACCAAGTTGTGTAGATGCAGGTCGTCATTAAGGCTGTTTTCGTTTACTGTCCTTAAGGTGGACGCTTCTCTAAGATAGGCACCGAGGGTTAGTTCCTGTCTTTGTTGTCGTTATCTTAAAATCTACATAAGGTCGCTTCTTTAAAACCAACACTGTCCGACATGATCATGATCCTATCATGATCCTATCACACCATCCCTGATCAACCTGCACTGGCTTCCGGTTACCCACAGAATAGAATTCAAGATAGCAATGCTAGTTCACAAATGTATCTACGGCGTCGCACCACAATATCTTTTAGACTTGATAAAAATCAAAGAGAGCTCGCGGTATCAGTTGAGATCATACCGGGGCATACTCCTAATGGACAATACCTATAGAACAAAAAAGACACTCGGGGATAGGGTGTTTGAAAATGCTGCGCCCAAAGTATGGAACCGACTCCCTCTAGAAATTAGACAATGTCAATCATTGAAAATTTTTTAAAGTTTTACTAAAGACACATCTTTTTAAATTAGCTTTTTATTAGTTCTATTATTAACTCATATTTTACTTTTATTGTTTTCCGAAAATTGTAAATTATTATTATTAATATCATTATTTGGATTAGCTATTTATTACTTTAAGATTTTACTGTTGTAATGCGCATTCGATCATATCTTTATCGCATGCTAGACTGCGCAATATAAGAAATAAACATTATTATTATTATTATTATTATTATTATTATTATTATTATTATTATTATTCACGCTGCACCGGATAGCTTTTGCGCCGCCACGAAAATCATACCAGATGGGGCTTCTATTCACACACAAGAACGGTTATGGCGACGCTGTTTCTGTGACGAAGCGAAGCTGAGCCGCGCCGATCTCGATAGTGGAGCGTCACATATCGGACAGGTTCTGTTCCACACTTCGGTGCAGTATGAACACCTATTCGGCGGAAGTAAATAAGTAGGACCCACTAAGACGGAAGTAAATATTCAGGAGCGAGGAATGGCATTTAGTGCACCAAATCCCCTAGGCCAACGAATAGGCCATTTCCGAGTTCCCCCCGAGCCTCTGTATCAAAACGATTTTAAGTGTTCAGCCTTTGATATGAAAATGATTTTTCATTCTCATGCAAGTAAAACTCATTTTCACAAGAAAGGTTGTGCACCTAGCCTCATTTTGAAAGTGAGGGTTTTTAGAACTCGAAAGTGGCCTGTTGTGCCGCCTGGAGCCGTTGCTGTTCATGCTCTACACGAGAGCTGTCTGGTATAGTGTGAACATAGCGTAAATTTCTTAAAATGGGAAAGACAGAAAAGGTCGTTTAGTTGAAAATGCGATATTGCCTGTTATCATTTAAACTATTTATCCCAATGTTTTGATTGGCGTCGAGGTCATTACGTCACTGCACATAACTGCTTACAGACAACGCTTTGCTCATGGGCAGTATGGCAAATATTAAACTGCTCGCCGCTGACAGGTCACGATATTTTTCTTAACCTCGTCCACTAATTGTTTATTATCATAACTAAAATGTTTCGTGTTTTTGTCACGCATTTCTCAAAAACAGGAGGTGACTTACATCAAACGAGCGTTATTTCCGGTACTCACGTGTCACGCCGCAGGAAGAGGAGACATTGTTGCTATGGAAGAATTACGTAAACAGGTAACCATACAGTCTCCACATACACAAAGAAGTAGACTAGTAGCCATATGCTGAGTATCAACCGGTCTAAGTAGCCGCCTACTTCATCTTTGAAAGCCTACGTATCCTCTCCTTAATGGAGGTGTGTCACGAAATTTATCAAAATGTAAACAATTGGAACCATCCACCAAACTGAGTGACACATAAGAATAACTGCTCAAAACATTTTAAAAAAGGCTATAAATAACAGAGTGCGATGGCGCCAAAATTGTCCCCGAGCTCGCAGAAGTAAGCCTGCTCGGAGGCTATTAAGGAGCTTAAGTAACGAAGACGGCGACAGCGACGGCAACGAGAAAGGCAAAAAAGCAATAGGTTTACAACTTTGCCACGCTTTTTTGTACATTTCTTTGCTGTCGCTGCACGACTACAACGTGAAAGTGCCTGATTTCACGCTTCGTCGAGTACGTGAACACAAGACAATGACTTTTTTTTTACATTTCCTGGACTTTGATACAGTCTTAGAATTCAACTCCAGAAAATTTGCCAACATTTGACGAATTGAGCGAGTTGGAATAAGTGCGATGAAGTTTGAGGTGGTGGGAATTCACTTTTTAAGTGACGTTTTCGTAGCCATCGCCGTCGTTGTTGCTTAAGCTCCCTAATGCAAGAGAAGGAACGGATGGACAAACTTGAAGAAGATTGAAGCGGGTTGCAATTGATGGTTTTTGAAACCTTGTTAGCCTAGCAGTTATTAAAGTTCATCTTTGTTGCTTGTCCCAGGATCTTGTCTCTTTCAAATATGGCGGCGGCATAGTGAAAAACGAGAAGACCCTGCAGGGGAAGTTTGATATAATGCTTGGGAGACATATTTGTTTGACATGAAGCTGTGATTTGGCCCCGCATACACAAGGAATTTTCCAAGTTCCGTGGCGAATAAGGACGCGCACTTGGCATTTTTAAGGAGCTTAAAGGTGATGTTACACGGGGACAATTCGCAACGACCATTTTTAATGCAACACAACGTTGCAATGTTGGAGCAATGTTGTAACTATTCGAAACGATGAAGTTATGAATATATGAAAATCATATATGTGAACTGCGGAGTGAAGAATTAAATGAACGATGATCATCGCAGTTATATACGCAACTTTTGCAGTCGCGAAAAGAAAGTCTGAAAAAAAACATTCGGAACAATGCCGCAACAATGTTGCAACGCTTTGTTGAGCTAAAAATCGACGTTGCGAATCTTCTCGAGTAACATCACCTTAAGCAAAGACGTTTTTGAGCGACGCACGTCAACTGGAAGTGAGGCGTTCTTCCGTTTTATCTGCCTTGGCGCTAACAAATTTGTATTGCCAAGTTTCTTTTCTCTTATAAAGACGATTTACCCGAGTGTTTCAACCAAACCACTGTCCAATGATGCTAAAAGTCCAGTTCCGGTTGATGTCCGTCGCTCAAAAACACTGTTGCTCAAGCTCCCTGTTAAAAAATGAACAAGACAACCGTAACACGGCCCCTTTGAGTGTGGTTAAGTTTTGTAACTCTCTGATCCGCTCACTAACCGTTGCCAGCTGTTGTAAACTTCTACCAAGCCCTGTCAACGATATTCCACTCTATGTCAACGCTTACCAACGCTCTCCTTGTTCATTACGTGTTCAAAATGTCGTTGAAAGTCTGAAAATGGTAACCTTGGGCGCTTTCCATTCAACAAAAATTCCGGTTCGAAATTTCGGAAATTCCACTTGCCTAACGGGACGGTACATTCCGGCTGCCCAGACCCGACCCAAGCCACCGCGCGTTTGGTTATTGTTCTTGTAAGCAGGATACAAAAGAGCGGTACTGGGGACAACATTTTGTCAAATGGAAAGGGTCATTTCGGTCCGACCAACTGAAATAACCAGACCAGTCAAAGTGGACCTACTTCAAAGCTGATCCCGAATATTCCGGTCGGACCAAACCGAAATAATCCGTTCCATTTGATGTACCAACCGAATTTTCCGGAATTTTGGGTTGAATGGAAAGCACCCCTTGTTTATATTATTTTGATAAATATCCGCCTAGCAGGCGCTTGAAATGAATATGGGCTCAAGAAAAAACTGGACGCGCGCGCCTTTTTTTTCTTTAGGCGCTTGGAAAGCCTCTCGGACAGGCCACCCCTCTTCCCTCGCTTGTCTTCCTCGCGCCCGGCCTTTTTTTCTCAACCCATATTCCTTTCAAGCGCCTGCTACGCAGGTTATGAATATCAGTGATTAGTAAAATCCAGCTAGTGGTCTATTATTAATGCTGCGTTCTGATTGGTTGAGCTACTACTAGGCTATATGTTATAGCCCACTAGTAGCGAAAAGCGCGGGCTTTTTGGCGGGAAAAAAAGGATTAAAGTCTAGCTTTAACTAGCTAGAGTTGTTTTGTCTCGATATTTTTGACCAACTAGTTGGATTTTACTAAAACAATTATTCCTCTCGCCCACATGACCTCTGAGTCAATAGCCCATTGGCCCTTCGGCCTCATCGGCTATTGACTCAGAGCCCATTCGGGCTCAAAGAATAATTGTTAAATATCTTTGATTACACTTTTCTTTGTTATGACTAACATAGTTGTGGCAGGCGGCATCATTTTTGTTTGTTTTCTTAGGGTGGTGTATTAAATGCCGCGACCAGCCATGATGGACGCACGCCGCTGCACGTTGCGTGTCTCGAGGGCCAGTTACACGTTATACGTCACCTCCTGGCCAAAGGCGCATCTCCGCACGTTATTGATAATCACGGACAGACTCCGTTACACGACGCTCTACGCAGCGCTAACGAAGAAGCAATTTTGCTCCTCCGAGAGTTTGGGGCACATTTGGGACCAACTACCATGGATACGGCGCAGAAAATGTGCTCCCTTGCCGCTGATGATAAAGTTGATGTACTGCGGGCCTGGCATCTCGCTGGAGTGGACTTCAGTGCTGGGGATTATGATCGAAGAACAGCCCTGCGTGTGGTAAGTGGAACACAGTCAGTACCAGAGACGGCAAACAAACTCTAATTGCATTCTCCTCGTATGTCTGTAATCGGTGAGAAAATCAGTGATACACTTTTTCTTTAAGGTGGCTCGATACAGTTTTTCAAGGCCAATACCTCCCAAGTTTGAGCATAAACTACGTCGCCATAAACAAAGTTTTGGAAAAATTGCCACCACAGTTGTATTAGATAAAGATGAAAATCTTTTATGATCAGGGTTGCAATGACATCGGAGTTGTCATAGAAACGAAATGACGCTATTACCTATTTTACTTACAGAAGTATTTCTCGGCACTGGGAACTGTTCTTCAAAAATCGTTCACGGGAGCGTTTTCCTCCAATAGCGGCCTCGATGTTCGTGAAGTTTAAGCGAAATCTGTAAGAGCGCTATCGAGATATTTTGGGATAAAGATTTTATGGTAAGAAATACGGTAAAAAATGGATAATCTTGATGTTCGGCTGTTATCTGTAGAAAATGAAGCGCTTTTTACATGCAATTTCACCTCATAGTAGTTTCAATCTTTTTAAAAACGTGTGTGAAAGACCGTGGAGATATCTCCAGCCGATTGTTAGAAAGAAGGATTTGATTGATATGTTTCGAGGCGCTTTTGTTAGCGGTTTTTGAACATTTTGGTCTACTTTAACAAATTAGCGAATAATTTTTAAACCGCTCGATAGATTTTTTTTAAAAATTAATATTCTTGAGATTAACCTTCCTTTTATATGACCCTTTAGTTTCAAGATGATTGATATATTGTAAGGCAGTAAAATAAGGGCTAAAATTCGCCAATATTTTGGCAGAAATTTTGTGTTTACAAATGTGAGCCTCCATTATTCAGGGTATTGTCTCCAAGGTTCATATTTTCGCGCATAACAATAGCTAGCATTTTTGCATATTTCAAATGCATTGTTAGTTACTGTTGTTCACGTGAAAATGAAACTTGGAAACAATGCCTTGAATAATGAGAGGTTTTCACTTGTAATAACGAAACTTCCGATAGAAAAGTAACGAATTGTAGCCCTTATTTTACTGCCTTACAATGTATCAATAATCTTGAAACTAAAAGGTCATATAAAAGAAAGGTTAATCTCAAGAATCTTAAATTTTAAAAAAATCTATCGAGCGGTTTAAAAATTATTTGCTAATTTGTTAAAGAAGACCAAAATGTTTGCAAAACCGCTAACAAGAGCGCTTCGATACATACGAATAAAACCCTTCTTTCTAGCAATCGGCTGGAGCGATCTCCATGATCTTTCACACACGTTTTTAAAAAGATTGAAACTACTATGAGGTTAAATTGCATGTAAAAAGCGCTTCATTTTCTACAGATAACGGCCAAACAACAATATTGTCCATTTTTTACTGTGTTTCTAACCATAAAAACTTCATCCCAAAATATCTTGATAACGCTCTTACAGATTTCGCTTAAACTGTACGAACGCCGAGGCCACTACTGGGGAAAAACGCTCCCGTGAACGATTTTGGAAGAACAGTTCTCAGTGCTGAGATATACTGCTGCAAGTAAAATAGTTAATAGCGTCATTTCGTTGCTATGACAACTCCGATGTGATTGCGACCCTGATCACAACAAATTTTCATCTTTATCTAATACAACTGTGGTAGCAATTTTTCCAAAACTTTGTTTATGGCGACGTAGTTTATGCTCAAACTTGGGAGGTATTGGCCTTGAAAAACTGTATCGAGCCACCTTAAGTGCTTCTTGCTAACTTCAAAAGGGGAAATAAAACTTTCCCTCTTGCGCCCCGTCCCCCACCCATGCAATGTTGTGCTGCTATTCAAGCTACCTGTAGAAAACAACAAACAACCCAATAGTACAACTTTGAATGAGAGGGGGGAAGGGGTGTGGATTGTTTTGTTTACGGACATTGTCTCAACAATGTTGTCGCCTATTGTCATGTGGTATAATGACATGAAAAAGACTTTTTCCAAGATAGCGGATGTTGGAAAACAAATTTACATACGTCCAGTAGTGCAGCAGCTTCGAGACAAGGGCAAATTCGTGATAATTAAGATCTTTTTACTTTCAGGCTGTCTGTCGAAATAACATGAACACAGTAAAGTTCCTGTTGGATTGTGGTGTTGATTTGAATGTGCGCGATCTTTACGGTCTCACTGCGCTGCAAAACGCGGAGATTTTTGAAAACACAGAAATGGTGAACTTGCTAAAGTCAGCCATGGAAAAGAAAAAGGATGCGACTGCCACGTAAAAGACAAAGATCTCTAATTGATCGTTGTTTACCCTGTCTGTCTCTTCCATTACAAGGCGCCGTTTGTCTTGAAGTTTATATAAAATGGAAATGTACTGATTCATTCCCTCACAGCGCCTTTGGAGTTCTTAGGATCTTGGTACAGAAGTGTTTGTGCGTTTCAGATCGAATTGGAATTTAGATAGTGCTGAAGAGGAGAAGGAAACTGGCGTATTCGGAGAAAAACCTCTTGGAGCAAGCAAGAAAACAATCAGCAGACATGTCAACACAAATTTAAACTTTTTTCCTACTTGTTTTATCTTTCTGATCCATCCGCCATGCTCAACACTTGCAATCGTCACGCATATTGTCATTTTTTGTGGGTAAAAGTTAAAGTAAAGGGTGTTTAAGCGGCTTGAAGGAACCCTTGAATCCGGGGGTTGGCTGCAGTAAATCAGACGTTTCATCAGATGAGAAATCTGAACTTCTTGATTCCTCCTTTTATTCACAACATTGCCAGAACAATTGAAAAACAACAAACATGCAATTATAATCTACAATGGGACTCTTACAATACTAGAACTACCGATGGTGTAACTTAAACATGTGGCCAACACCACCCTTACTTAATTAGTACTAGACCCACAACATCGTAACCTAGAACTAGGTTGCAGCTACAAAAAGGGACCCACCCCATCCTAACCTAGTACTAGGGTGTAACGACAACATGGACCCGACCCACCCCATCCTAACCTAGTACTAGGGTGTAACTACAACATGGGACCCACCACTCCATCCTAACCTAGTACTAGGGTGTAACGACAACATGGGACCGCCCCATCGTAACCTAGTACTAGGGTGTAACTACGACATGGGACTTACCCCATCCTAACCTAGTACTAGGGTGTAACTACAACATGGGACCCACCCCATCCTAACCTAGTACTAGGGTGTAACTACAACATGGGAACCACAGCACCATCTTAACCTAGTACTAGGGTGTAACTTCAACATGGGACCCATCCAATCTTAACCTAATACTAGGGTGTAACTACATGGGACCCACCCCTTCCTAACCTAGTACTAGAGAGTAACGTCAACATAACATGGGACCCACCCCATCCTAACCTAGTACTAGGGTGTAACTTCAACATGGGACCCACCCCAGCCTTACTTGCTGAGAGAAACGGATGGAAGCATTGATAAACTCACGTGTGAGATTATGAAAAATACCCCTCTCGGGTCCCGGAGGTAGTTTTTTATGAATTTTACGAGTAGTATATTTTACAGTAAACACTGGTGTCTGTATAATAAACAAATCTATTTGATCGGATTACCTCGCCATAGCCTCTTCCTCATCTTCCCGTTGGTAAGTCCTTAACTAGGTGGGACTTGGCTCTTCATTCTCCGAATTCAGAGAAGTTCCCCTTACAACATCAGCGTAGCTTTTACCTCGGTCCATAATGAGATAGTTTTAAAGCCGATCGAAAGGCAAAACCTGATTAAAATCTAAGCACGTATCTTGTACACTGATAGCCTTAGTGTCTGGAAATATCTGGGAAGAATTTTTTTCGTTAAGATCTGGTTGTATTTGGTCACGGAGCAATTGCCTATCAGAGCTGTTTGTGGGAATTGCACTCACAATCATATGTTTTCTCACTCTTTATCAATAAAAAAATTATAGTCGAAGCGTGAATTCTCCTAATGTATGACGCAGTGTGATTGATTTCACGTCTCACCCATTGTCCATGGGTGCATGTCCGAAATGACCATAAAAGAAAAGAAAATACAATACAAAACAAATTTTATTGTCAACTCCCCATGGGGGCTTTTCAGAGACAAATATTAATAGTACAGGTAATCAAAAAAATAAAAAAATAAATAAGAAATACAAATACTCAAGAATTGTCAATAAACAATTATTAAGAAACTATTGGCATATAGAATTTATGACATCACAAATTGATCATCAATAAACTATTAAGAAACTATTTACATATAAATTTATGACATTAAAAATTGATTTAAAAGGAAGGCTTTCATTTTACGTTTGAAAATGATAAGAGATTCACTTAATTTAAAATGGGGTTTTAACGCATTCCACAATGTTACAGTTCTGTAATAAAAAGATCTCTGTCCCGACTTGGTTTTAAAAAGCGGTATATTAAGCTGGGAAGATGATCTGGTCGTCCGACCACTGATATTCCCTCTGGAGATAAAATTTGAACTGAGGTAGTTTGGTACCTGACCTGTCATAGATTTAAAGGCCAAGATGGCGTCTCTTAGATACAGGTGGGACTTAACTGGTATCCATCTCAGGTCTTTCAGGGCTGGAGATACGTGATCAAACTTCCTTGTCCCAGAAACTATGCGAGCAGCGAAATTCTGTACTCTTTGCAGTTTGCGTATATTGCTGGCAGAAGTATTCGACCAGACGGACGAGCAGTAATACAACTTACTAAACACGAGAGAATTAATTGTTGTAACAAGTATGTCTTTTCTAAATATATGTTTAACTCGGCTAATTTGTCCTAGGGCAGATATACAAGATGATGCTGTTTTAATTATGTGCTCGTTGAATGAGAGTTTACTATCAAACATTACACCCAGGTCCTTAACAGAGTCGACGGGTAAAAGTTCTTTACCTAAGAGGGTAAGGCGAAAATCCTGAAGTTTCGATATCATTTGCCGACTTCCATATACAATCAGTTTAGTCTTGTCCGGGTTCAGGAGTAGCCTATTATTAAAACACCAATTACGTAGTTTAAGAAGATCATCGTTCATCACGGCCATAGTCGGTTCACAGTCCCGCACTTGGAATGATATAAGCAATTAAGTGTCATCAACGTAGCAGTCCGCGGAACAGTGTTGTGGGATTGATGGCAAGTCATTGGTGTAAGCCGTAAAGAGCAACGGACCGAGGATGCTTCCTTGGGGAACACCGTACCTCATTAGCAGTTTTTCGGAGAGAGCAGTATTTATACGCACAGCTACAGGATGGCAGAGGGTGACAGGCCAATAACTTATGTGAAAAGTCACATACACTCTCTCTCTCTTACACACACACTCACGCACACACACCAAAAAGAAATTGACAGTGTAACACTTTTTATAGTCTTTGTTAGCTCAAATAGCACGACAGCTGTACGATGTTGTAAGCCAAAGAACCGGGAGCGTGGACAGTGGACGTGACGTTCAAGATCGCATTTGATAACTCATGCACTAATCTTGCAGATTGATTCGTGAAAAAATTGCATCATTGCAACATCCGGTCTTACGAAATGCGATGACTCGTAAACTTTTCTTCCTAGTTATTTCACTGCTAAATCCGCCGCGAGCGCAAATCTTCGATCTCTGTTAAAGAGCCGGAACTGAAAGTCCGTGATTCGTGATTTTGTCTTTTAATTTACAGTGATTAGAAGTTGAGGGAGGGGTTGGTAATACCCAAAGTAAACTTTTTCAAAAAAATCGTGTTAAGCCGCTTAATAAAAATTTTACAAGCGACCTGATCGGAACATGCGTTGCATGACGAGCTAGTCGGGGCTGTGGATAAAGATAAAGGTCTCTTGTCTGTCCAAAGCGCTTTTTTTTAATTTGTATTTTTATTTGTAGATTGCTAATCTGTATGAAAAATAAAAATGACTTGAAAAAATGGACCCTTGACATGAAATAATCGACCCTCGACACCTCGACCAAAAGTTAGACTCAAATTGAGTTACAAGTAAAAACCATCAACTGTGTGAATTTGATAGAAAACACAGGAACTATGAGCTAAAAACACAACCAAAATAAACCGATAGAGGTTATTTACTGGAAATCTAGACAAGGGGTCAAGTTAAGGTTGAAATGTCAAACGATCTGATATTTTTGAAGGTAAAACACAAGCCTTTGTTGGAGCTGGATTGTTAAAGGGTTGTCGTGGAGGGGTACTAAAAAGAACATATTTGTTTAACCCATTCTCTCCTGGAAATTTTGCCAAAAACGCGTTTTGGAGCTAGTTGAGAGGTTTTGGTCACAGTCTTGCTAAAAAAAACTTAAAACTTACCACAAAACGTTTACAGGTTGTGCACTTTGCGGCCTTCTGATCGAGATGCAAAATATTAGCTTGCGATGTTCGGGCATGCGCAGAAATAAAAAAGATGGGTTTATAAGTGACACAGCAGTCTTTTACATTTCGCTTCTCTCCTCCCCTCTTCTTTCGCTTTTCTTGCGTCCTCTTTTGCGTTTGCTGGGTATTTAGTGGGCTGCAGTTTGGTGGGAAACGTTTTTAGGGAAGCTTTTAGGATCTTACGATAAGATGAAAGGAAAGGTAGCTGATGATAGTGGAACAAGATTTTCCTGGAAATTTTCTGGTCGACGTTACATGGTTTTCTGACTTTTTCTCCGGTCTCTTTGACTGAATCGTGCTCATTCTGGTATAGTTTGAAAGACAGCTTCATCCTGCACAAGTTAGCGGACAAAGCTCTCCTTGACCGGTAAAACTTATGATGTCACAAGCGGTAGAAGGGACGTGGATCCGCACGGGCGGTTATAGCCTGCGTGGCAGGCGTTCGAAAGGGAAGGGGAAGGGAATCCTGCCACGCAGGCTCGGGCAGTTAACCCTTCAAGCCCTTAGAGTGATCAGCATCTCAAATTTCTCCTTGTAATATCAATTCTTTGTAAGACAGAGTAGTCATGAGAATTACGGACATAATCACACAAGATGAATTTGCCTGATATTTTATCAACTTCTCCCCACTACCTCTGTAGGAAATGAATAGGGGCAACAAATGAGAATTCAAATTTTGATCTTAGGGTTTAAATGGTTAAGGGCGCTTCTCCGGGCGCTTCAGGGGCGAAAGGGTTAAGATGGAATCCATGACAGAAGGAGGTTTATGTTGATGATTGAACTTGTGATGTAATTCTAAACAACTAATAATTGAATCTTCATAATACCCCACATTACATCCCGATAAAACCGCATCCCTTAATTAGTATAACTTATCATACAGTAACCACTTAAGAACATCCTCTTAATTTTAAGCATAAATCAAACCGGGTAAGATAAACATTTTTATTGTTTAACAACTGTCAACTGCCACTCACGAACAAAGATTCTTACAAGCACCGATTATCTGGTTCACATTTGCGAGTGAAGATATCCGCGATGATTTGAACAGCTGAAGAAGAAGTAGAACACATAGCCAGATAGTAAGATGTATACGGCGCATTGATCAATAGTGTCCATAAAGCGAGGTTAATGTAGCATTTCCAGTCGCTCGAGCCCCACAAAAAGTATTCGTTATCCGTATCAAACTGTACAGAGAGCCCTGGATATGCGCCTTCTGACAGGACAAAGAAAACTGTCCGTTACTGACCGGGTTTCCTTAAACAACCGGGGTTAAATTGACAATCAAGTTCTTACGTATTCTCTACCCTTGACATGCCGTGTGAACATAAAATGCATTTAGAAAAGGAGATTTTCTAGTTACTCGTTCTCCTATTGTTAACACTGACAAAATCCCATTCATTTAGACAATGAAACGTCACTTAGCTTCCAAAAAGGTCAACAGGTCGGTTTTTCCGCTTTTTTCATTTTGTCTTTTTCAAGTTGCGCATTTTGAGTGATCTTTAGGCACGTGTAGCTGTTAGCGGTGCTTTCATGGTCTTTTCCAAATAGTTTAACACGGCTAGGTAATGCACGCTGCTGAGATTGCAGAGCTGCGTTGTAGTCATGCATGTTGTTTTGTGTTACACCGAGTTGCCTGTAGCTGTCAGTAGTGCTTTCATGGTCTTCTCCAAATAGTTTAATACGGATAGTTAATGCATGCTGGAGTGATTGTAGAGCTGCACTGTAGTCATGCATGTTGTGTCGTGTTACACCGAGTTGCCTGTAGCTGTCAGCAGTGCTTTCATGGTCTTCTCCCAACAGTTTTAATAGGGATAGCTAATGCATGCTGCTTAAATGTTTCACTGTCAACTGTCACAAACAAAGACTCTTACAGCACCGATTATCTGATTCACACTGTCTTGCAAAATTGGATACTGATAAAATGAATTTCGAACCTATTTTAGCTACAACTAAAAACAAAGATAGCGGTTACAAATATTTTTAACAGTTTTTAATTTTGAATTGTACATTTGTTTTTTGTGCTCCTTATTTTTCTCATAACTGTTGCAGGGGCGGATCTAGGGGGAGGGTGCAGGGGTGCCCCCCCTGAGATGATCTGCGGTTTTCTAATACAACTAGTATTCTGCAAAAAAAAAACTATGTGGTTTATTGGTGTTGAAGTAGAGCAAGAGACGAGTGCACCCCCGCCTAAAAAAAATCCTGGATCCGCCCCTGTGTTGTGTGCACAACCCCACCAGCAGTGCGGATCTTCTTATCGTGCTAAAATAAAGCATTTCCAGTCCCTCAAGCCACATAAAACGACCCGCTATCCGTATCAAACGGTACAGAGGGTTTGTTTAAGGGATATGAGCCTTCCGACCTTCTGAAAGTGTCCTTTATTGACCGGGTTTCCTTAATAAACCGGGGTTAAGTTGACGACAAAGCTTTTACGTATTCTCTGCCCACATGCCGTGAGAACATAAAGTACAAGAAAGGGAGATATTCAAGTTACTCGTTCTCTTATTATTAACACTTACAAACCCCCATTCATTGAGACAATGAAACGTCACTTGGCTTTCAAAAAGGTCTACAGGTCGGTCTTTCCACTTTGTTCTTCTTATTTTTTTCGCGTTGCGCATTTTGAGTGAACTTTAGGCACCTGTAGCTGTCAACAGTTTTCGCATGTTCTTCTCCAAATAGTTTAATACGGATAGCTAAAGCATGCTGGTGAGATTGTAGAGCTGCGCTGTAGTCATGTACGTTGTATTGTGTTGCACCGAGTTCCCTGTAGCTGTCAGCAGTGCTCTCATGGTCCTCTCCAAAGAGTTTAAGATGGATAGCTAATGCACGCTGCTTCGATTGTAGAGCTGCGCTGTAGTCATGCATGTTGTTTTGTGTTACACCTAGTTGCCTGTAGCTGTCAGCAGTGCTTTCATGGTCCTCTCCAAATAGTTTAAGATGGATAGCTAATGCACGCTGCTTCGATTGTAGAGCTGCGCTGTAGTCATGCATGTTGTTTTGTGTCACACCGATTTCCCTGTAGCTGTCAGCGATGCTTTCATGCTCCTCTCCAAATAGTTTAAGATGAATAGCTAAAGCACGCTGCTTGGATTTTAGAGCTACGCTGTAGTCATGCATGTTGTTTTGTGTTACACCAAGTTGCCTGTAGCTGTCAGCAGTGCTTTCATGGTCCTCTCCAAATAGTTTAAGGTGGATAGCTAATGCGTGCTGCTTGGATTGTAGAGCTGCGCTGTAGTCATGCATGTTGTTTTGTATTATACCGAGTTGCCTGTAGCTGTCAGCAGTGCTTTCGTGTTCTTCTCCAAAGAACCCTGTTGCTATGTCAAGCGCTCGCCTGTTTGACTGTAGTGCCTTTGAGTATTTTTTTCTTTCCTGGTAAACTTTGCTCAGGGCTATGTAGCACTTCACAAGCGTTTCACTTTGTATTTGACTGTAACGGTTACCGCCATATTCATCATTAGCATGGAGACTTTCTTGGCATTCTTCGAGTGTTTTTTCAAGATATTTGATTCTTGACCAAAGAGAATTCACAGGGTCTTCACTATTTAGCTTCCACAACAGTTGTAGTACAGCTCTATGGAACTTTAGCAAGCCAAGTGAAATTATATCTTCTTTTTCAACACACTCTAGCATTTGAAGAACCAAGTTGCTTGTATATTGCTTGGTTTTAGCGTCGGAGAAAAGCTCTGTAGCTTTGCTTAAAAGATAGGCAAATTGGAATTCAAGCGGTTCATTGCGCAAGGTTTCTGATTTCTGTCCAACTTGAATTTCATTGTTGGCGTCCCTTGCTTTGCTTTTCGCTGGCGGAATAATAAGAAGCTTCCAATCTCCCACTGCAGAACACAAATGTACTGATTTGCAATAGAAAAGACTCGCATTGTCGAAGTCATTTAAGGACTTATAATAACAAGCCAGGATCTGAGAAATAAGAAGCTTTAGAATTAACGACTCTGGGTCCTTGCAATTTTCCAGTGATGAAAGTGCCTCCTTTAAGCACTGGACTCCGCTCTTCGATTCATTTGCTGTAAGGTAAAAAATTCCTAAATAGCACAAGCATTTGCCTTTTTCTAGATCAGAGACAGTGGATGATGCTGCTTGCTTTTCTTTTACTTCAGAGAGAAGATAATTTGTCTGTCCAGTTGGCCCCCAGGTTACCTCACAAAAAGCTTTTGATGAAAGTAGCTGCCTGTGGTATTTTTCGTTCCCATGCAGATTGGCTGCGTTTATGGCATCGTCGTACATGTGAAGAAAAATTTTCGCGTCACTCCAAAAAAGCGAGTCAAGAAACAACTCCCCTTTGACCAAAATTTGAAAGACGCTGTCGGCTGTTTTGGAATCAAAGCATCCCTCTGTTAGGCTTTGAATAATGCTCTCTTTATCCTCATAGAATGCAACATATGCAGCCAAGGAATGCCCAGTGAGAAATTGTTCATTTAGCTTATGAAAGTGTGAGACATAGAATGCATTCAAACGAACTTTTGCGTTGAGAATCGTCTCTTTCAAATCAGTGTGTCCTTTCTCTCTTGAAAATGACTGCAAGAGTTTGTGCATCGTGAAAGCCCCGGGTTTAGAGCTTGAATCAATCAGAGACTTCCTCCGAAGACTTTGTAACATTCTTTTGGCTTCGTACGCGGTTTTCGTACCTAAAACGGCTGCAGCGACCTCTGTACTGAAATTTTCGGGGAAAATGCTTAAAGAAATTAGTGCTTCTTGTTCTTGCTCAGGAAGTCTCTGGAATGAGGAATCAAAGACGAATTTTAATCGATGACTGGTCGGATAATCCTGATTGTCCAACATTTTAACAATACTTTCTGAGGAAGATGTCATGAAATTATCCAGAAAATGGCGCGGTGAAGCACTGTCTTCAGATATCAAAGAACACATTAATTTCATGGCTAAAGGAACTTGTCCGCAGAGTTGTGCGATTTTGCTGCAGTCTGCAACGTTCGCATGTGGAAATAACTCATGAATTAGCGTTTGAGCAGAGGCTTCACCCAATGTTCCTATTCTTAAGCCTCGATGGCCTTGAAAGTGGACGTCCATAAACTCAAGGGACTCTCTTGTGGTTACAATGAATGTCACCCTTGGATTTTGCCTCAGAATTTCTTCAAGAAGTTGCATGACTTCTTCTTTCACTTTTGGTCGACCACTTTCTAACAAATCATCAGCATTATCTAGGATAAATACAGATTGTTTTGATATTTCACTGAGTAGTTGGCAAATCTCATCATCTAGGGATAGATGCTGATCGGACGGTTTTTTATCTTGAATGGTTGGCTGCGTTAGAAGACTAAGAATCTTTGAAGTCAGACCCGCCTTTGACTGAAGTCCTCTCAATGAAACCCAGTACACAAGCAGCCCTTGAGTCTGAAGAGCGTGTCCCACTGCAATTGCAACCGACGTTTTTCCGAATCCAGGTGAACCCCAGATAGACACAAGTCGGGTGGATTCGGAAGTGACATGTCCGATGATCTCTTCAACTTCGCTCTGTCGCCCAGTGAAATTGGGAACCATTGAAGGAAGGTAGGCTCCTGAGAGCGATGGTCTCGTACCTTTTATGATGAGAAAAGACCAAAAGTGTAAAAGAAAAATAAATACATAAGTCAATTTTGACCCGTCGTTCAATGTACAAATGATAGTCTGGCAGTGAATTCAAATCCGTAAATTTTATATTTATAAACTGGTGAAGTTTAGGAAAAGAGCTTGGTTATGACGTCCACCCAAAGCCATTCCTTCATCTGTTTATATAAAGGAAGTTTACATACATAACAAAACCTTGAGAAAGATGTTCTTCAGGCAGTGTCTGGCAGACGGCTCAACAGAAGAAATCTGAGAACTTCCCAACAGGAGTCAACAGGTGCTCTACCACTGAGCTACAGGAGACTAGAGGGTGCAAATAAAACCTAACTGGAAAAAGGTTTACTCTCCGCTGCTAAGACTTTTACTTTTTTTAATTACCTTGCAATCTGAAGGCTCTCATGAAAAAGGAAAACTTAGTAGGCTTTGATATTGTTTATTTGTAAATGCATGGAACTGGCTCAAATAACCAGTCCTGCAATAGAAATTTGCTTACTATTTGTCCAAACCGTAAACTGAGCCTTCAGCTGGAACAATTCCTCAAAATCTTACCTGAATTTTCGGGTAGGTTATCTTGTTCGTCTCTTCCTACTTTCAATTCATCAATCTTTTTTTCCAGCCTAGTAATGTCGTCTTTGCTGGCATTGTCCACTTCGACTCGTTTCTTTAAACTCTCCAGACCTTCTCTGAAGTCCTCGAGACATTTGATGTACGCCCGAGTCTCGTCTCGGATTCTTGTTTCCAATTTTCGAATTTCATTTGTGGGAAAGTCTGACTCGGCCAAACTGACAAGTGCGTCAATTGGTGCTGTCGAGACACCAAGGGCTTGAAACGCGTCTCCGGCGTAATTCACGCGCTGGTCAAACGTCGCTTTGTCCATCTCACTACTGGTGGAGTGACAAAGCGAATTTCTGAGAAGACGAAGCTGATCAATGGCAAGTGCAAAAGTCTCCGCCATGTTTCCACCCGGGCTGACCACACATGCGTGGAAACTACCATAAGGTACTGCACAGGGCTTCACGTACAAATCACTTAGTGTGGTGAAGGAGCCTGTACTGGCTAATGGGGCAAAGGACCGCGCAAATATAGTAGCCTGGAACAGATTAGTGCAATCCCATTCGTTGTAGGACTGAAGAACAGGAACTTTAGTCTTCTTGCCACTTTTTGCTTCTTCAGAGTGGAACATATTTCTGACAGCAGTGGAATCATCCCAGAGCTGGAAACCAGGGCGATGTCCATAGGTGTTGTCCCACATGGTTTTAAAAGTCTGCCGTAAGGCTTTCGGGAATTCATTTAACACTAACGACGAGAACTTAAAGAAATTTAATTGTTCGTCGCTAAACGGCTGCAACGCTGTCATCTCCACTTAGTAAACGCAGTAGGTGAGGGACCTAAAATTGAATAAAGAAAGTTAGAAATTATCAACAATTAAACTCAACTCTCCTTCATTCCCCAAAATTGCGTTTTTCTTCAGTGTGTTTCGCGGTCGCGTGCTTTTCGGCGACCCCATACGAGTTGGGACGGCAAAACCAGATAGCCTTAACATTGTCCCGCTATCAGAGGGAGAAAATTGTCTATGAGAAATGCTACAAAAGTAACTGACAGACAAACAGAAAGCCGGTTTAAATCAAATAAACCCTCATTCAGTGGGAGCCTGGTGGAGTACTTTATAATTAGGAAGTCTTGGGCAGGGACATTTCGCTGGTGCCCTGGAAATCTGAGCCTATACTAGACCTGCTATCCTGTTTTACTATATTTCCCATCTATCGACGCTTTGTTTCCTATCAGACTGACTCGCGACTAAATTTAAATTGCCAACCTTATTTTTCAGTTAATTGTCAATTCCCGGTTTCCCTAGTCTAAACTAAAATCTTCCATTAGCCTTAGTAGCTGACGGAATCGTCTCATCAGCGCGCATTGAGTCAGGGAGTTGCGAATTCGAGCGCGAGGGAATGGCGGCTTCGCTGCCAAAACCTCACTCGCATGCTTATCCTCAATCAATGGATCACCTTTCTCGAAAATGATACCCTATTCTAGACACACACTTTCTGATTTCTATACCCTATCCCAGACTATACTGCTTGAAAACCATACTCTTCACAGCGGCACATTCCTATATACTCCATTTATGGAAATAGCTACTGTGAACAGTTGGATGCGTTATGCATAATTTATTCATGTAAATTAATCTAGACGTTTCGTTTATTTATTTCGCAAACTACTATACAGCACAGCAGTTGTTCTTTTGGGGGCATGACTAGTAAAAACGTTTATAAACAAAGTTGCGGGTAAAAGTCAAAGAAACCGGCAGAATGCGTGATTTGATTTCATAATAAATCAAAGGGTAGTGCGGAAGCCCCGGAAGGGCCACTTAGTGATTTCGTTTTTATTTTTCACTTTTCCGTTTTTGTTTTCAACTTTTTGCTTTTCACTTCACCATTTTGCCTTTCGGCTGAGAGTTTCGTTTTTATTTTTTACCAAGTTCCGTTTTCGTTTTTAACGTTTTGATTTTCACTTCGCTATTTTGGCTTTCAGTTCTTATTTTTTACTTTTCCCTTTTTATTTCTAACTTTTTTATTTTTACCGATCTATTTCGTTCTACTTTTCAGTTTATTGCTTTGACTTCTCTATTTTCGTGTTTTTTCATATATGCCTTAAATTCTTATTTTCAGTTTTTGTTTTTGCTTTTAAATAATATAATGAAATGATTTTTTTCTGAGGGGAGGGGGCGGCTTTACACACTCAGGGTACCATAAAACCTTGTCGCCGACCATTGCGTGACACAGAATCTCATGTGAGACTGAATCATAAACTCATTCAGAACATTGTACCCTTTTGAAAGACTTTCGTAAAAAAAATGAGTACCATTTTTACGTGGGGGCTGTATAGTAACTTTTTAAATTGCACCCTTATGAATAAAAATAAACGTGTTAGCCATTAATTTTAAGCAGGAAACGATTTGCATTACTTTCACGCACCCCTCCCCCAATCCCTCTGTCCCCCAGAATATAGCGTGCCAGTATAACGTGACCAATTTGAGGTAACTGGAAATACCAAAAATTATTGTCGTTCGACGAGTATAAAATGCGACAGGGTAAGCTACTCGCCACTGGGCTGATTTACACCAGACAGAAATATCGTATTGTATGAAAACCAGAAGTTTACTAAGCTAGGCAGCCAACTGCCCATTAATCCCGATCCACGGGCCTCACGTCACGGACTCCACTGAGGCTTTAAATAGACGATCCCAAGAGAGAAGAGAAGTGTGACGTCGCGTTACCACGGTAGCACTTTTTCTGGATGACAACGAAACCAACGATGTCGGCGAGGGCACGCAGAACGACAAAAAAATAAAATTTTATATTAACAAACAACAAATTTGCACGTGAATCACGCTATTTTGTACATTTCTTTGCCATTGTTGCACCACTACCACGGGGGGTCCTACAGTTGAAAAGGCGCGACAAGTTAAGAAGACCGCAACAGAAATATTTGCAAAGGCCACCTTCACTTTACACAAATGGAGCTCAAACGCTAGAGAGCTAGAATTAACCGAAACAACTGACAGTGAAGTTGGGCTTACTTACGCTAAAGAACAGCTAGGAAAGAAACCAGGCGCGTGTGGCCTTCTGGGATTGCCATGGAATAAAGAAGATGATAAAATAGCTTTAACCTTTCCTACAGAGATTGCTGACCCTACCAAAAGAGGTGTGCTGTGCAAAATTGCGAAGATCTACGACCCCATCGGTCTTGCTGCGCCCGTAAGCCTACAAGGAAAGATTGTGTATCGCAATATATGTAAGGAAAAGACCGCGTGGGACGCAGAGATTCCATTACAAATCGCAAACAAGTGGAGCAAGTGCGAAAATAACCTGCCTGATCAAGTTGAAGTGCCCTGGTCCTTAGCTGTAGCCGGAGAAGAAATCCGTGAAATTACTCTTCATGCCTTTGGCGATGTAAGTGGACAGGGATTAGCAGCAGCTGTTTATGCAGTGATCCAGCAACATTCAGTGGTGACGCAGGCACTCGTCGCAGCGAAGGCACGTCTTGCCAAAGAAGGTCTTACTATCCCCAGACTTAAGTTAGTGGCTGGTCTTGTGGCGGATAAATTGCTAACTAATGTACGAGATGCGCTGATCGGGTTTCCCGTCAAGTCCTTGTACGCATGTCTAGACAGTAGTGTCGCCCTACACTGGATAAGGGACTGCGGGGAATACAAGCAGTTTCTCAGCAACCGCGTACGCAAGATCAGAGAGAAAACTGAAATCACATGGAGGCATGTACCGAGCCAAGAAAACCCTCCAGACTTAGCAAGCAGAGGAGGACTAGTGAAGGAAGATAACTCTTTGTGGTGGAATGGTCCGACATGGTTGAAGGAACAAGACAGTTGGCTACCGGACATCATAACGGTTGCAAGCCCAGAATCTAACGCAGAAGCGAAAGCCGCCAAGCAGATTTTTGCCTTAGCAGTAGAAAGCAACGATGTTATGGACGAACAGTTACTAAGATCATCCCTTTGGCCCACATTGAGAGTACAGCAAATCCCCAAGAAATCAGACAATCAAAGGCCAATTGACTACCGAGGAAATTAACAAGCAGAGGTTGTTCTGGGAGAAGAAGACTCAAAAACAGTGGGAGGGATCTGATCAATTACAGGAAGACCAGTTAAGACTTAACCGGCAGCCAAACCGAAAGGAGGTTCTCGAGCGCCGTGGAAGAATCCAGGAAAACTATCCCGTCTATCTCCCCGACAGTGCTCTCTACACTCTGAAGTTCGTACAACACATGAGATTACTCTTCACGGGGGAGAAGGACTAACCATGGCCAAAGTGCGAGGCTGTCATTGGATACCAAGGTTGCGCAAGCTTGCAATTGTTAAACAAGTAATCAAGCAATGTTACGGATGCAAACGGTTTCAGATCACTGCATTCGCCAATCCACCTCAAGAAAATTTACCTCGTGACCGAACAGAAGGAAATTCACCCTTTCAAGTTGTTGGTGTTGACTACGCCGGTCCCATCAAGTACCGCAGAAGCAAAAACGATTTTGTGTAGTGTGTGAGCGAGCCATTGTACTGTGAGGATTGAAGCTGTGAAATAAACCCTGTTTTGCTTTAAACTGTGATATCGTGAAGAACAGCGCTTAGCCGTACGGCATTCACGACAGTCTGCAACAAGAAACTGAATTTTTGGCTGTCGTTGCTTTGCAGCCGAGGGAGGGACGTTGTTGCAAAGGATACCATATGACGAGGGATTTCATCGTTTTGTTGTGCCAATTGACCGGATCGGTCTAAAAGATGCGCATGTTTACCGAAATCC